TATACTTCATAAGGGCCATTTCATTGTTTAACACCGACAGTTTTCTTATATTCCTCTTTAGAGAAAGAGCTTTTCATAGTTATGCAAGACCAATTTCCTCGCTCTAATATCAATTGATAGAGACAAAACAAAACACACTTTGCAAGCGATAATCCTCAGACATCTGAGGATTGAGTTTTTCAAAATGTGCATGAATATCTACTTAGAGGACAAATGTGATTAACTGATTTTTACTTGCTGCCAGTCCTTAGATGTAGATTATAACAAACCTTGACAGATTACATTTGCTTGTCGAAAAGGAAACAAACTAATCTGAGAAATAACATTATCAGAACCCTCCAACGTTTCCTGCTGAGCCTAAAACAAACACACATGATTCAGCGCCTGCTCAGGCTTTCCACTGGTGGGGATTACAGTTCTTTGAAACCTCATTATATCGTGTCTGGTTGTGGATTTATTCTTGAACCTGACATTGACGGCTCCAATGGACCGAGACATGACATCCACTGAGTCAGCAGGAGGGACCTGGATCGTGGTCTGCTGAGACTTTGTATTGAACTGATTTCTCAAATATGGACCGTTTTACTTTATCGAAGTGATAGGCAACAATTCTACTGATCAAATAAATGAGCAAAACAGGTTTTTGCAATTTCAAGAAGCATTTTACACATTTAACCTTGTGAACCAGGTCTTTCATCAGAAGAGGAGGAATTCACAGAGGGATATTAAAGCATAGTGAAAGCATTGTTAAAAGTTTCACAGTCAGTAAGAGTTATATTATCATACACACCCTGATAAATCCTGTGTTGTTATTTTTGGGGCCTAAGTGCAAAAGTGTGCCGATTCCACTCTGGACTTTCTGCGATCAAGGAGGGTGAAACTAATTTCAAAAGATCCAAGTTTCATTTGTTTCAGCTAGAACCCAAAAACCTAGAATGCCAGAGCGATTTTAGGAGTTTTGAGATGCTGCAACAAGGAAACAATTGAACAATATTTTAGAGCGACATAGTCAAATGAAGGTGGTTAGAAAGAACACCAAGGTTGACCAAATGTTGGACTTCTACAAAGAAGTCAACTGTGCTTTTCCTGTTTTCTTTCAACAGGCAACAATTGATTTCTTCTTACTATGACCACATTGTTCCCTGATTTAAACCACGTGGTTATTATCATAGCCATAGTGACGAACTTCCTTTAACCTTAAAGAAAGTTGTAGCACAGTGCTTCCCTAACTTTAACCAAGGATTCTGGACAACTGTCCCTGGACTAACCAAAATAATGTACTTTTCCCCTGAAACCTTAACAAACCTTTACCAAAGCGCTGCCAAACAAGAAAATAGTTTCACTTTTGTAGTCCTGATTGGAAACAGTTGTGAGAGCAAAAATTTCACAGTCCAGCTGATGATAAATTTTGTCATCCAAGTGTTGATTTTAGTTGTCACTTGGCTGTATTTAGACATTTGGTCTCAGTCTGAGTAGAAAACGGTGCTGCCTGGAGCTACACATGATTTCAATAACAGAGGAGGTCATTGTAGTCTGACAACTTCAGTCTTATAAGGAGGGAAATTTCCCTTTTTCACATTTCAGCAGCTGGTTGTCAATCATGGCTGTCGGTCATGGTGCAACCTCTGGCACCAATTGAATCGCATAAAAAGTGTGATTTTGATTTTTCAACATCTTGTGTCTGAAATGGACTCAGAAGCCCTACCAGATCTTAAAAAAAAGCAATCCCCGGTTCTTTAATGTGAAAAATGTGCTGTTATGCTTTTAGAAAAAACTCAGATTTCAAAGCAGCTGCCAAATGAATGTCTTGACATGTCCAATGGGAAAGATTTCTCTTCATGATGATTTGAATTAATGGTAACATAACAGTTTTGTTTGGCCTGTGTGGAGCCTATTAAAGCCATCGAATAGTCTGTTCAGCGTGTAGGGACCTCCAGCTGCGGGTCATGCCAGCCCAGTGAGCTCAGTGGGAAACGCTGACCCACATTTAGTCTGTCTGTCTTTCCCATTGCCTGCAGGAATTCCTGGAGTTTTTTCAGTCGCTTTTCAGCAGATAACTCTGGTTTCCTACATGACAGAAATGGCACACTCAGAGGTGTTGAGCTCGAGTTCTGAACACAATCTAGCACTAAAGAACTGGTGTGTTTTTGCTGTGTTCGACTACTTGTGCCTGGAAAAATCCACATTTGTTTTTAACTTTTAATCAAGTCCGTCTACTTTTTCCATTAAACATTTTCCATGATTGTTTTGGTAATGCAAAAAAAACAGGGTTAGTTTTATGAAGCACTTTCACAATAAAGAATTCTACTTTATTCTGAAAGTTGTTATTGCAGTGTCTCATCATCCGTCTGTTATTGCCATGTTCTAAAAGTCGCAGCATTTTCTTGTGCTGTCCAAGTTATATAACCTAAATCAAGCCAAAACTCCAGTTCCCAGCATGCTTATCCGTTCAACTGTGAACCCAGCAGCTGAAGTGATCCTTGTGGTGGTAAATCTGTCAATATGTCTGACGTTATATACGTCTGTCCCTCACATCTAGCATATCTAGCCACTAGCGTGAAATCAGGAGGAGTCTGCTTGATGTTGGGAGGAAGAGAAGGGTGCTGGGAAAATTTCTGACACAGGAGAATTTTGTTGGTTGGTCCAAGTTTTGTTTTTTACTACGAAACTCTTGTCATAAATTCCCAATTTTCACGACACTCAACAAACTCCTATTAAACTTTTATTCTGGGTCTTCAGTGTCTTTGACCCTCGAGACATTTTAGTGGATTTTATGATGAAACAACACCTCGTAAAAATAGACACCACTGCACAGAGTGGTGGAAAAAAGGAAAATGGACAGTGATAAATAAGTGACCGAGCTGAAGCTTTTAGGGATGTGTGTGAGAATGGGGAGTATTGGAGGGTGGTGGGTGGGCTGAGATATATGTAACAAGCCATGATGTCATAAAAACAATTTGCCTGGGAGATAAAGATAAGTGGTGACGTTGTTATCTAAGAAAGATGGAGGGAGAAGGGTGAAGAGAGGGAGGGTAAATATAACAAAAGATACCACCTCTAGGTTACAGTGTAGGATCACTTTAAGACTTTAAAACAGCTAGTTTTTGTACAACAAACTACTTTGAATTGTTTATTTTCCTCTTTGGAAATTGTGATTTCATTCTTGTAATTGATTGTTGAGCTGCTCTCCTGTTCTGATTGAGCTCTGCCATCTGTCTTTGATGCAATTTATCTGCTTTTTCTTTCATCCCAGAGGTTTTTGAACTGTTGCGACACTGCAGCGCTCTTGCATTTCTCCCTCCGTCGCTCCCTCGCGGGGCAGAGAGATCTTGTAAAAGTCCAGCTGTGAAGACGAATTCCAGAGCTTCCAGGAAAAATGCTATCAGACAGCATTAGCCCAAATAACGTCTTTGATTAATCATTTACTAACAGGCTCTGACGTCGCTTCATATGAGAGACATCCAGAGGCAAAGGCATTACTCACGCCGCCTGGTGTTTCTGGTGGCACACTGACCCACACAGAAAAACATTCCTGCAGAAAAAAATACATACCTTCATGCACCAAAACACTATAAAGAGCTTTTGCATGTGTGCACCCTGCTTTCAGGCTCCGTTTGCTTGTAACATGACCAAATTTAGCTTGTTTCTCAGTCCCCCTTTCGCTTTGAACATTAGACAAGCGAGATCCAGCAGGTGACAGAGACAAAGCAAAATCTGTGTTTTTCGTTTTGCTTTTTTTTCCTGTGAGAAATTAGCCTTGGTCACATAAACAGTGATAAATTCCCCTGATCAGAAACACATGGTTAAACTGCTATGAGGCCTGAATCTAAGGCCCAGATACTCTTGATCTAATGAATTACTCTAAGTACTTGTAGATTCATTGCCTCAGCAGCATCAGCGGATCAAAGCAACATTGTTAGATTGTATTACCCAACTTATAGTAATGATGATTGCTTTTTACAGCGCAGTGCAGGGATGATGAAAAACAGAATGTGATATCTCTTTCTCAGTTATCCTTTCTGTAATGGCATTATTTTCCTGCTGGTGTCTCCCTCATTACAGTAAATCAGAACATGTGTAAGTGGTGTCGTTTGTTTTTGCTGGTAATTAAAGACCCGTCACTTAAAGACTCTTTGGTCTCCCCGGGCAAAGACACACACAGAGAAAGTTGTCTGTTGTAGAGTAACACTAAATGAATCATTGTAATTATTGTCAGGCGGCTGCTTGAAGGGAATACTTCAGGTCCAGCATTATAATGTCACGAGTGCAGGCTCCACTTAGTGAAAAGCTTTGCAGGAAAGATATGACGTGCTCTGGTGTCAGATAAATGGCTAATATGGTGTAACAAAGATCTGACCTGCAAGAAAATCAGCAGATATTTGATGGTATGCTGCCCCATGACAACCCCACAATGATTTTTCAAAGACAGAAAAAGACCTTGAGGCGAAGGACTTATTCACACCAGGCCCAGTTACCCTGTACTGTACCAAAGGATAACCGCCCTCCCTCTCCAGTTCCCCTCTGGGCTGCACTCACATTACCCCAGGCCCACCTGCACCAGAGCACAATCACCTCTGCTACAAAGGTCATCATGTCATAATGCAACACATGCATGACATTGATCGGTAACAGTGTGATCCAAAAACTCAAATTCAGATCATGCTTGTTGGAAAGTTTCTTTATAACCATGTTTAGGCTGGTCTTTACTTTCATTTATTAGATTTAAACCTGCAGTGTAACCTGAGGAAGAAAATGAAGTACAGTTGTGTGAAGTAATGCAACATGTAATATCAGGTTCAGGTTCAAATGCCATGAAATTGAGCGTGTGTGTTACTGAAATACATCAGAGGATGCACCTACAGTCTGCTGTTGATAAACGGTACAATAACTCAAAGATTATGTCTAATAATTTTGTTTTTAGGATATTTTTGAGGATGTGTGGTGTTTGTTTTTTAGTGTCTATGGATCTGTGTTCCTGGCTAGAAGCAGATTCAACAGTTGCCATGTTTACATGTGCAAAAATTTCTTGATCCGATTAAAAATTTGAGGGATCGGATGATCTGAATCCACTATACGGGTGCAAAATCACATAATCCAATCATGACGTACGTATACATGCACCAAGTTTTATACAGATTAGAAGTATTTGGACGTACGCAGAGTTGTCTAATTTCGCTTAAACAACCATAGAAGAAGAGTTGTATTGACGCTTGTGCTGTCAACAAACCAACAAATGCGGTAGTGGCTCACTCCATCCAATTCAGGATTTTCCCCCTGTTGAATGTCGTCACTAGATGGCGCCCTTGTTTACTTATTTTACTGTTCTGTCAAAGGTTGCACTGTGCAGATGTGACATCATTACGCTGTATGTATGCCCTGTTATGTTATCGGAGGAGCAGACACGGCACCTGCGGTTGTGTTTTATGCCAGAGTGTTAATAATGAAACCTCCTGAACTGACCTCAATAAATAAACCAAAGGCCAAAGAGTGAAGACTGCGTCAGATAAGAGAATCTTCATCGGAATAAGTGTTTACATGGACGAGTTTCGGAATAACGATCGGCATAAACCACCCTTCTTGATCGGAATACAATTTCTGAACTGAACAGCCAGTGATACAATATTTATTTATCTTTGTTTGTCTCTTTATTTTACTTTCCAGATAATATCAAACATTTATCCACAAATCAGCTTTTGACTGATACTTACAGGAATGCCTCAAGTATTCTTGTGTGTGTCTGAGGAGTGCATCTGCTTTTCTTCAGATTATTTTATTACATGCCATTATTTTTCTAAGAAGCCAAGTCACATATTTCAAACATCTCCTTTTTCCATGTAATATTTTAAGAGAAAGGGTTTGCCAAGAACTTCTTGTAGATTAAACAAATGCGTATTTGGAGAGAGCAAACTATTTTTTGTGATAACAAAGCCACCTTAGTATTTCCTCCTCTTTGAGTTGTGCTCATCTGCCACAGAGAGTTTTATCATCAACTCTCCTGAGCATGAAACCTTTTACCTCTGATTTTTATACTTTAAACTCATATTTCACTGATCATAATGTAGTCAGTTTTACAGGACACACAGAAATCAATCATAGGCCAGTTCCACAGCTGTTTTTCTCTGTTACTAAAATATTCAGTATTGGGTTGTGAGGTTTTTATCTGATGGCAGTGATATCAGACAGTGTGAATCTTGAATCCTCCAGTTCTGTGTTTAGTCTGAGAGCTGTGTTTTCCCCATCTGCTCAACATCTGTCTGTCAGAGGTATCAATTAGAAGAATGCTAATCGGTCCCATGGTCGATGCTTCATCAAGCGAACATCTAACACACCCAATCAAAAAGTCAGGGAGCACAAGCGCTTAAAGCCCAAATAAAGATACTGCCAAAGAGTTTGACTGAATCATGAATGTTTCGGTCTTTAAGTTTGACCTTGTCACCATCAAAGAGGTTTGATTGTAGTGAAAAGAGAAGAGTTTATACTTAATGTCCCTCAGTTTGTTAAATGATTGATACACACCCATCGGCTTCTCTCTAACCTGGCATACACAGTACGATTGTGCAATTGCAATTGATTGTCTGCTGGCATTGTTCACGTGAATTATTTGTGATGCACAACCAAGGCTCATGAATTATGTGTTCGCACTGTCAGTGTTAAATCAGGAGAAATATTGATTATGGCGATAAAGTTTCCTCAGAAATATTCCACAGTCTGAACCTGAAGTCTGAGGGTCTTAAAGTTTTTTAGGAGTTTACGTCATATGCTGTATCGTCATGGTGATTTTAAATGCTGGCTACTATTTTAGGCAGGCATAGGTCCATGACCCTTGTGGACTCAGGAGCAGCTGATTGGGCCATGATCAGTCTTTGTGCCCCTTTACACACTGCACTGCAAAAAAAGACACAATAAAGTTTGAATAAATATGATAATGGTTATTAGTCTTGCAACTAATAAAGCGTGTCATAGTCAGCTTCAGTTCGCACAGAGTCTGCCCAACCGATGCCTTTTCAAGTATCCGGTGAGTCAAATGAAATCAAAACTAGGACTAGGGTCAAACACACCATAACACTGAGTTAGAGAGCCCCTCGAGAGATGAATGTTGCTGACCTCTTGCTTCTCTAGTTTTACCAACTTTAGTCACGACCGCACGATAGCAATACACAGCGGTCTAAGGAGCCATAAACAAACCTCAACCAAAACGCCACTCTATAGCCACAAATAATGCTCAGAACAGCACCTAACTTCATCAACAGTACATATAGGGTCCCAGCCATAGTACTAGCCACCAAACATCTTTTTAACTTTGCCTGATTTCTTTAGCACAGAGACTAAACAAAACACACCCACTCTCTTCCAGCAGCAGTTTGTTTGTACGAAGACCTCCGGCCAGTCTATTATGGACTGCAGCGGGGTGACGCAGCTCAAGGAAGAACATTTATGATCATTTCTTCATGGAAATGCAATCAGACTGAGACGTTAAGGCAGAAGAACTACCGCGTCTGCAGTGCAAAAATGATTATTTTGGTGATTATTACTTAAAGGAAATGATAAAGAAATGATCATAAAGTTGGTTACTAAAGTTACTTAAGTTGGTATAACTAGAGAAGCAAGTGATCGGCAACATTCATCTCTCGCGGGGGTGTCTACAGTGTATTTGACCCTAAATTAATTTTACGCCAGAATATCCCTTTAATAACCTCTTTAAGACACTTAATTTAATAAAACATTAGGGTGTAATAAAAGTAGAGAAGATCCATCCGCTGGGGCATTAATGTCTAGACTCTCTGTCATGGAAATCAGCCATTCTTGGTTTAGAAATTAGTCCTGATAAACTTCTCCACAGCTTAAAGTTTAGTCTTTCAGTTTGACAACATCTTGGCTGCTTTTGACTGAATTTCTTAAATTGAGACGCCTCATTACGGTCTCATTTCTTCCTCTCAACAGCATTTGAAAGTCATAGGTATAACCTCCACACGGCCGTCTCCTGCCCTTTCTCAGCTCTCTTCCTGAGTCCAACATCACTTACAGTATCTTTTCCTCCTCCTCCTCCTCCTCCTCCTCCTCCTCCTTCTCTTCCTCTTCATCCTCTCTTGCTCCCATGCCCCTCAGCCCTGACACCAGCCTCCCTTTGAAGTCCTCTTTTAAGAGCACAATTAACCCCCTCCTCCAGACACTGCACTCACTTCTCACCTTTTTAATAAGGCGCTCATAGACAAGTGTCAGACCTTTTCTCTTTCTTTCTCTCTCACACACTCGCTCACATACACACTTAGATCTACAGCTCCTTACAACACGCCTGTAAATTCTTTGTCACTTGGCTGCAAACCCGGGGACCCCTTCCTGTGCACTGTACGTGTGTGAGTCTGTGTGTGTGTGTGTGTGTGTGTGTGTGTGTTTGTAAGAGGGAGGGCAAATGAAAGAGAGAGACAGAGGTGGTTTCTGGGGGTTTGACTCAGTGTGGATGCAGTTTCCGGTACTTTGATACTAAGTGAATCAGTGGTGACGGGGGATGAGAAAAGCCATTAAACTAGCAGACCACCAAATTGTCGCTCAGCATGTGCTTTGTTTTGCAGGATAATTGTGGAGCTCAGTTTGTTATAAATCACTTATCTGTGTATCGTACCAACATACACAAAAGTATCTGGACATTCAGTACTGGAACCTGTGCCGCTTCAATGGACTTTCCACAAGATTTGTCCCCATCCAGCCACAAAAAGCACAAGTTTGCATCTTGAAAGTTGGCCCCGTCGCTCCTCGTTCTGTACATGCTCATTGTTTGCTCTGGCACTGGTAGCACATGCGGCCTCCGGCTGCAGGAGTAATTCTGAGCAGGTGAATCTGTCCTTTGTGACTCAGCCTGTAGTGAGACCCTTCAGGCTCAGTGGGCTGATTCATTTAGTCTGATAGCAGGAGACATGTTGAAATAATAATGAAATCCTTCTGCTTCTTTATCTTGTTGTTATAGGAGATAAAACTGTTTTAGTTGATTTAATGTCCAAAGAATAAAACGGTAGTGGCTAAAACTCAAACTTGGCTGCATTCAATTAGTCAAAACCATCGTCTACTATTTTGCCAAAGGAACGTCAGTGAGTTTGAGTTGTGGGGTTGGCAGTGAAAGGCTGGTAATACTCAATAAATTATTACTACAGCTTAGATGAAACCAGGATTCCCTTATCATGAGTTGCGACAAGAAGCAGTAGTCAACAATATCGTCCCCAGTATTCTTATTTAACTGGCTGCTTCTCCAGTTATACCAACTTTAGTAACGACTGCACGATAGCAATACAGAGATCCATCCATCATTTCTTCATGGAAATGCAATCAGACCAAAACGCTAAGAAAGAAGAACTACCGCATCTGCAGAGCAAAATGATTTATGTGATGGTTATTACTTCAAGGAAATGATAAAGAAATGATCATAAATGTTCTTCCTTGAGCTGCGTCACCCCACTGCAGTCGGTGGATTCGCCCGAGGTCTCAGTACAAACAAGCGGTATAACGGTATAACAAGTTGGTATAACGAGAGAAGCAAGCGGTCGGCAACATTCATCTCTCGACGGGGTGTCTAACTCAGTGTTAAGGTGTGTTTGACCCTAACTTAATTTTACACCGGAATATCCCTTTAAGGTCATATCACACTACATACCAGCTATCTTCGTCTCCCTCTCTGGAGGTTGTCTGCATTCACTCCCCATGGTTGCTTCTACACTAGAATCCGTGTTTCTTCCAGCCGCCTTCAGTTTCCTCAGATGTTCTGAATTTACCTCCACCTCTCCCATCTTTAATCCATCCTGTCATCCCGGGGTATTCAGTATCACTACACACGCTTGAGATTTTTTTATATTCGCACTTGGATCTAGGACTTCATATCAGCATGGGGTCTTTTTCTACATCTACATCTCAGTCAATATAAACCGCCAACAAAATGCATCACCTGCAGGTATGCTGTTCCAGTTTCACCTCATGGCCCACTCTTCTGGCCAACACATGATTCTGGCTGCATTAACATCTGCATGAAATAATCTTAACAACTTGCACCAAACTCGTCATCTAAATACGACTTTTTGGGGGGTTGGATTAAACTCTGCAGGATAACGCCCAAGATTGATCCCCAATCCTAAATCTCCTCCGCCAGGCCCTAAGAAGAACCTCCAAGACCAACCAAATATACAACATCACCTTCACCTACATCATTCAGTACAACAGACATAAATCACAGCATACACACTCCTGAATTTTTATTTCATATTTAAACACCTGTAGTTATAGTACAGCAGCCATTACACTTATGTTTCCAGCAACAATTACAATCTACACCAAACAGTTTTTGCTTTTCTAGCATCTCAAACATTTATGTCTTTTTGATGGGTCCTCATTCTGTCAGCCGCCATGAAGGTCCAGAGTTCAGCAGCTTTAACAGGAGTGACATGGGGCTAAGCCTTCAGAGCACTGAGTCAGATTGAGGGGATATTCCATATGCAAACACAGACGTGCTGCCTTCCTATAATAACTTCCTCAGAAGCGACAGCAGTTCAGTGTTGAGCTATTTAAGACCGGCAAGCCCTTTGAGGAGAGAGGATTTTCCTCCCCGTCCTTCTCTCCCTCTCCCACCCTCTGTCTCTCTTTTTCTGTCATTAATAATATGATATTGTCCCATCTGTCGGGGGAGCCAGCGTAGAGCACGTGTTTCCAGTTAGGTTCATCAGAACCTGATGTGGGGAGGCCGAAGTGAGCAAGAGGGACTGCGAGTGGAAAGCCTGGCCTGGAGTGGGAACAGCGGCACAGGGCGAGCTAATTAAATCACAGGGTCCGAGCTCTGTCAGTGTGCAGGTATACACTTCAGGGATGTAAGAAAACTCACAAAAGCTGTTCTTCGGATGGAAAAACTCCTGGGAAAGAGAGTGTGACCTGTAAAAAGTTACGGGTTTTAAACCATGAGTGGACAAAAGTTTTTTTTCAATCACAGTATAAAACATTTCTCCCTTGGATTCTTTAGTTTCAGGGCTCTCTGCCAAATGGACACATGCACGTATTTTTCACCATATACAAGTGATCATTCAATTATATACGTCTCAAATGATTGGTTCACAAAGTGAGGTGAAGCCGCCCAGGGACACAAGAAAGTTGACATCACTATTAACATATTTGTAAGATGCCATAATGTAAAACACAAACAAGAAAATGGTCTGATCAAAGGCCTTGTTCTGCTTGCTCTGACCCCACCCCCAGACAGCACTGCTGCAATCATGCTGTGCTAAATCAGATGCAGAAATAAACATCTTTGGGGTTTGAATCTGCAGCCAAAACTTGCTTAGATCGGGGATCTTGTCCAGGAATCCTACAACAAAACATGGGAGGGAAGCACTTCTGATCTGGGATGCAGCATATGGAGATAATAATGTACAAATTAATGATAACAGGTTTAATTGCATCAATATTTGTCGAAGAAAACAGGGATTTGTTGACACTGGTGCAAGAATATCAACCAACTTGGGTTAAGTTGCTTGTCTTTAAACTCTAGCTTTGTTTTTTTTGGTCTTTACCAAATCGATTTAATACTAGAAAAGCACTCGGAGAGCGCAGACCTCCGCCAAGCAGCTCATGTCCCCCCTTATATTGTGATTCACACCAAAACTTTTACTGTTACGTGTCTTTTATTAACATTTATTTGTGTTTAAACTGGTATGTTCACTGTTCATAATGTTCTTAAAACAAAAAATGCCCTGACCCAAATTTGAACCCAGGACCTTCTTACTGTGAGGTGACAGTGCTAACCACTACACCACTTTACCACCTATCTACACCACTGTGCTGCCCATTGGTTATCTTTCAGCATTGAAAATTCCAATGACACCCTTACTTTTGTGTGTTCTGGATCACAGTATCTGGAATTTTGTCCAAATCATCACCAAAATTCAATGGGATCCTCCTTGGGCTGAGACGCACCTCTGGTGAAAATTTCAGGTCAATCCGTCTGTTACTTTCTCCATAAAGTTGCTAACAGACAAACTAACTAACAAACAAACAAACCAACAAACAAACAAACCAACGCTACCGAAAACATAACCTCCTTCCTCGTCTTCTAGCAGACCACTTTCAGTCCTTGTGTTCAGGACTCTGCTGGTGATCCTCTCTCTCTTTGGTCTGCTGTGTTGTGGTCTTCCCGAGCTGCAAGTGTAACTGTATCTCAGTGACCCAGGTTACGGCCGCCCACAGATCTGCAGTCAGCTCGGTGATGTCAGGCAGAGCCTTGGCGTGCCCAGAGATGGTACTGTGGTTTCAGAAGAAGGCTGGTTGATCTAAGAAATCACTTCTGCTATCGTCGCCGTCAAATCTCTTTCTCAGGACCCGTAGCTCTTCTCCCAAAGAGAGAAACTTGAGAGCGGAGGTGGTAATCTGTGATGTCATTCTGGTGCGCTGCCTAGAACGAGTATCAAGATGAGACTGAGAAATCGATGATTTTTTTTTCGGTGATGTTAGATTAGATAATAAATGTATGTTGTTCAGAAGGAATGTTCTCGTGTTCTGTTACACTTCCCTTTTCCAACTTTTCCCAATTGATTCTCTATGCACCTGGGTGCTGGTCACAGATTCTTTATCGTAACTAACTGATGACTGTGACCATACGTTCTGATATAATATATGGATTTAACGATGCAAGAAATATTATATCTTAATGTTTTTTAAAGGAGACCCCTTTGTGGTTTCAGGAAGGCCTCATATGCTACAGAAGAAACCTCTGCTGTCCCCCTTCTTTCTAAACCAAGTGATTATTTCTGTTTATCCAAACTTCATGGGAAACCCAAAAGCATCTTTGCATTAATATCATCTTTTATCCAAGATTGTCTCATGATGCCTCAAGGGATAAAACCTGTAGATATTGAATCTTTTGGTAGACTTCAGACCTTCAGATCCACCTTGTTTCTCAAAGTCTTGTTTTCCACAAGCAAACAAACAAAAAGATGTGTCTGCAAAGTTTGACTACAAGCCATGACGCAGATATGACAATATTTTGTAATTTAGTAACACACTACATCAGTTTGTTTTCTTTTCCGCATATACTTTGTGTACACAAGTTTGATTATGTGTTTTGTGCGCTCTGTTAATGTGTATGTGCATCTGCATGAATGTGAGTGAGTGTGTTTGTGGGCCACAGTAGGCTGCAGGCGAGGTTACATCTTGCAGCAATTAAGCTGCATGCGTCTCTTACGCCCCTCCGTTCGTCTACTGAGGGGTCTTGTTTCAAGGCCGGCCTGCGTTGCACAAACTGAGAACATTTGGCGGCTTAGTGGCTGAACACAGCAACAACATGTTGCACACATCAGTTAATTACTTAGCAATAAAGTGCGGTTGTATTAGATAGGAAGAAAGCATTTTAGCAATGTTGGCAATCCGAAGGGATGTGCAGCAGAGGGAGGAGATGAAAAGAGAGAGAGGAAGAGGCGGGGGTGGAAAGAAAGCAAGAGAAAGAAAAGACAGTAGGTAGATACATAAAAGGCTGAATATTTGGTGGTTGTTATAACAGGAATAAAAAGACAACTCGTAAAACCTGTTTCACTCCTTCACCATCCCATCACAGTCCACATGTAAACTCCCTTGTGGTCTCACCGTTCTGCCAAGCAGAGAACCGCGGGTCACTGACAATCACTCTCTTTTTCTGCCATCAAGTTCCTCGATGACAACATGGCCAAACCATGCAAGCAGTTATCGTGGCAGAGATTATTATTGTAGCAAAAGGATGCCAAAATCCAATTGTCCCCAGCACTAATCACAGCAGAATGTCACAATGCAATTATTTCTAAGTGTAGTTTGAGGGATAAACAACAAACAAATAATCCATTGTCGATGTAGGCTCACATGAGTGTTGTTTATGGAGATGATGGGCGTACTGGAAAGGCCTCGGCTTGGAGAGGCTCTTCGCATGAAGTTACGCACGATGAGATACACCAAGATTGTGTCTGCAAGGCGGAGCAAATGAGGTCAGGAGTTGAAGTCTGTTTTAACACTCATCACAATGCTTTGTGCAAAACTCAAAACTGATGATATTCAGCAGTCTGAGAACGATTCTGGTGATCATCTGCTTGTGAAGATGGCTAAACATGTGAAGAGGTCTGACAATTGACGACATATTACCAAAGCAAAAGACAAGAAGAAGAATGCAAACAGGAATTTATGAAGCCAGATGATTTTTGTGAAGGAGAACACCGCTTCTATCAAATCAAACCAAAATGCTTTATTTCCTTTACTGTCTTCAGATTAAAAAATTAGCCAGTCGTAGTTATTGATAGTCAACGGAAAGCAGTGCCATGTCATTGTACACACGTTTATGTTTGACTGTATTTAAGTAAACTAAAACTAACACTGGTTAAACTCACCCACCCAGCAAAAAGTGGTTGAAAAGACGTCTTCACCATACGTCTAAACAACGTCTCGATTCAGACCGTTTAAGTAAAGCCCAGTTTTCAACGTCTTTTTTTGGGCTAAATTACGGCAATGACGGGCTGTCATGATTTAGCCTGAAAAAAGCCGTTGGAATGATGTTGGGTGTTTAGTGGGCCAGGATCAAGTTGGTCATTTGGGGTGTTTTCTTAGAGCGAAGGTTTCAACGATGAGGGTTGCATTTTATCTGCTTTGAGTTACTTTGCGCAGATGCTAACAGGCTAAGACAGTTTTTTAAAAGAAGAACCAAACAACCATACTTCAGATAAACATGACAGATGAATGAGGGTAACACATGTACTGTGATACACTGGTCTCGTGACCGCTACTGGTCCTGTGGTGGCATACTGTTCACGACACGACAAGCCGCAGAACTGCTAGCTTGTAATGTGGTCACTTAGTGGTACGCCATCGGTCACTCTTTGATCTGACTGCTGTTGTAGCGTCTCTGTAGCAGCAACTATGAAGTCCTGTTGCTTAAAGAAAAATAATTATCCAAGGTTGAACTCTGTCTTGAAATCAGCAGAGTTCAATCTAGTTTGCCAACTAAACAAGGCGACATAAAGTTGGGTCAGTGGAATGACAATCAGGCAAAGTTAAAAGACACATTATCAACAGTAAACGGTAAAATGCTGTTTTATCTTCCCTCTAAATCGTAGAAAAGTATTGACAGTAGAATTAAAGATGGCTTCAACCATCATGGAGGCGTAATAATGACATCAATATCATCAAATTGAACGATCTCCATCCTGAGCCTCGACTCTCTCTGCTAGCGTCCTCTAACAATTTGGCCTAAAAGTTGATCATGGGAGCTTTTAGTGTATAGAATCAGATAAGTGTAGTAAGTGGTATACTCACAGAAGTCAGGTACTCTAATACAGGAGTATCAGACGCTGGTAGAAAACATGTTTAAATTTTCTGACTCTTATAGATTAGCCTTCTCCAGAGAAGAAACTTTAAGCCCTGTAGATACACAGAAAACCTGCACTGTGACATGTGTTGGTGTGTGCACGTCACTTCATGCACAAATGTCAATCTGTTTATTTCCTGTGGTGGGTGGAAAATGCAAACCGCAGAGCTGTGATGCTCTTTGATAGTCCTTTTGATACCACATTTTATTTTGGGTCAAACTAAACCACAGATTTATCAGGAAAACAGGGTCATCTGCTGCCCAGATATACAGACGGTTGTCAGCTTTGGGGATTGAAAATGCACATTTGAGGAGGTTAGACTGAGCTTTGTTGACAATGTATATAGTTGAGCGGTGGATATCTCTACACTAACACGGGACATTTTTATGTCTTTGAATAGCTGCAGAAATATCAGGTAGAATGAGAGCAAAAATACCAAAACTTGATTACAAGTACCAACACTCAAGTGGATACAACAGATCTGTTTACTACGACCAAGCATGCTCCATATGAGGCATATTTGTGAGAAGATATTCAACAATATTTACCCTACATACTGACTTGATTATAGGAAATACGCCATCTCAACACACTCTTAGAAAAGACACTGATAGAGAATTTTAAAATGATCTGAAACTAACAAGCTGGTGGCTGAGACCGCTGTGCGTAATCACCACAGCGACATGGTTGTCAAGAAGACTTAGAAAAGGTAACTTCCTCATGAGCTTGTCCCTCTCATGCTTCCAGCAGCTGATACTGGATTGCATGCCACTTTTAGGGAGTCTCTTGGTTGCAGATTAGTCATCCTTCTAGTGATTCAACAAATACACTTGCTCTCTCTCTCTCTCTCTCTCTCTCTCTCTCTCTCTCTCTCTTTCCTGATGTGGTGCTCTGACTCCTCCATATTTTTTTTTTCTTTTGGCCACAACCTCTTCTCATTTCCTCTCTGAATGGCTCCTTTAACAGCACTCTTCCTCCCTTCAGCTTTGACCTTCCGTTATGACTGCTTCGTATCATTTAAAATCTCTCCTTTTTTTTCTAGACTGTTTTTCGCAGCATAAAACTAAACAGGATCATTGGGTGTTTCTAGAATTGATGGGGAAATTATTTCACTTAGATATATTCATTATTACTCAAAAACACTTCTCTGCCTGGGTGTTCCTCAGGGTTCTGTTCTTGAACCCCTAAACACATGATAACTAAAAATTCAGTCCCTCAGATTGATTATCGAAAGACTGTTCTGCAAACTAATTTGGATCAATTATCATAGTTTATTCAGCTCCATGATATGCATATTTATAGGTCTATTAAATGGCTGTTTCTTATATTTCAACTTCTATCAAAAAAAGCGAACAAAACAATCACAGCAGTATTTTTCTGTTGAACTTTGGAGCCTCTAAAATAATCTCATGTGGCGGCTTAACCCTCAATATCCTCTGAGCAAAGTAACCAACAGAAATTAATATTGAGAAAACCTCTCATGTTTGAACTTCCTCATCAAATATCATTGAGTTGACTGTTTGAGTTTAGTCAAGCAGAGTTCATCCTGCCGTTCAGACTCCAGAGTTTGACATTTCACCGCAGCCTGGGATGCTTGACAAATATGGGTCCTTGCTGGATTAGGATCACAGCACTGGATCTCTCTCCACTAACCCCCGAAGGCCTGAGGGCAAAACGTGTGGGAAAGCAAGATTGACAGGAAGTTGTCGTGTAAAGGCAGAGGTGTGTGTATATGTGTGTGTTTGCTTTCTCGCGTGCATTTGCTTATGTGTGTGTGTGTGTGTGTGTTTGACCAGCGGGCAGAACACAGGGCCAGGGCAGGAAACAAAGTGGTTGTGCCACCGGTTAGAGGAAACAGAACGGCAGATAAATTACTCAGAGTTGGGTTGGCAGGACTTCTGAAGGTCCTGAGCTGAGTGGACATTGAGGGTGGACAGAGTGTTGACATGGAGGCTGACGTGCTGAACCCAACAGGAAGATAAACAATACATCTAATTATTTTTATTCACCCACTTTTTCAACCTCAGTGTGCATGACTTACTCTTCTCTGGGAGATGTTTGAGCAGTTCGAGGATGAAAATAAAACTGTATTTTAGACCAATCAGATAGGCTATCAATTCTATGTGTATGTGAGAAGATAGTGGGGGTATAAAAAGGACAAATCAAGCTCCAGCCCAGCTTCAAGGGTGCTTTGTTGATTTTTTTTAAGTCTTTCATGCCACTGAATAAATCACCGCTCTTTACGAAAAATTCTCTCATTTGGTGTTTTGACTGTGATTATGCATCCCGATGAATTTTACATTTTTGTGTCTGGTTATTTATTCTTTAATTTATCACTCATCTGTACATCATACAAACTGCATGGCTATGATGAGAAATTCATTTACGGTAAAGTGTGCCATCTAGTGGTCAGTGTTCACCTTTTCCTGCATATAGCCCACAAATATAGCTTAAAGTGAGCCCCCTTGGGAATCAGTGTCTGTCCTGTTGTTTGCAAAAGTTTTATTAAAAAAAGAGGAAAGTTCAGAGTTTGTCTTGGTTCTCAGATTACGGGGTGTTTGTAGATTTGAAAATATTCAGATTGAAAGCAGAACGCATGAGCGGCGTGATTTAAGAAAAATGCGAAGTGCCCCTTTTCTTACTAGACACACACCTGATCAAACATGGACTCCACCAGATCTCTACTGGTATACTGTGATATCAGGCGCTAAGATCCTTTGAGCCCTGTTCATGGTCATGGATCTGACTTTAGCGGCGGACAGGAGATGGGGGTCAGTCCCACACATGACAAACTGTGACACTGTGTTCTGACACCTTTTTTTCAGAACCAGCATGAACTTTTTCAGCAGTTTGAGCTCCAGTAGATCTTCTATTGTCAGCCTCTCCTTTCCACTGGGATCAGTGAGCCTTGGCCACCTACAGTACCTAGTATAAGTCAGTACACACCCTATTAAAAGTAATGTATTACTCAATATCTAGATGAGCAAAAGTACAAATTTTTGACAAAGCTGAGTTTAACACAACATTTTATTTACCATAAGATTAAAAAATAAGGATAGTGGTGGTGACTAAAATTTAACTTTGCTCCCAGTACTTTGATCGGGTGTACTCATTTTTGTATGCAACTTAAAAAATCTTGTTTGCAATCAATGGTCTACATTTGGGGGAGTATTTTGTTGTATAGTCTGACTTAGAAAATGTTGATTTTGAAAGTAAACTTAAGGTTTTCCGACAACTCTGAAGGGGTGTACTCATTTATGCTGAGCACTCTACTGTCAGTAGTTAACCAGTCACCCCTCCTTGGACCTCTTTTATAGGTAACAACTATAGGACCTAAGTTTTTGAGATGCTCTGACCCTGTCATTGAACCATCACAGTTAATCTCTTGACAAAGCTGTGCTTGCCCATTTCTGCTACCTCCAACACATCAACTTCATGGACATGGTCTGTATGCTGTGAAAATGTAGCACCATTTATTCAATATGGCTCAAAGATAGGATAGTATAGAGGTAAACAACGTCAAAGTTATTTTGCCAAGTGTTGCTAATGTTAGCAGAGCTGGCACCAGCATCCTTTAGTCCTCCTTCCAGGTCAGTGTCCACATGTGTTGTTAGTGGAGTGGTTATATGTTCTTTGAACCAAACAGACACAGACAACTTCTCCTCCACTCTCTGGACTGATCCTGACAAACTACCCCACAGGAGGTGTCATCCATCGTCTGTGCTTGTTTCTACATCCAGAGCATTACAGTAAGGCATCAATTTGATTTTCAACCCCCAGGTAGTTAATCACCTTAATGGACAAGTATGAATGAGTAAGTGATCAGTAAAAAATATACACACACACAAAAATTGTTGCAGGATTTTGAAAATTTATTAATGCAGGCAAGAAAAGCAGTTTGCAAAAGAGCTTTTTTTATTCCATGTTACTACAAAATTGTCTGTGAACAAACAGAAAAGTTGTTTCTGTCTTTTCCCTTTTTTTTTTTTTCTTTGACGTATTTCATTCGAGGCAGAAGAGGAAAAAAGATGAGTTGTTAGAAGTATTTTACAGAAACTGAAATATGCAAAAGCTCAACTCAGGATCTATCAAATCTCAGTCAGTTTGAAATCGCTTCAGTATAAAAAATGTTCCTGAGAGAGAGAAAAACCCTGGATGGCAGCTTCAGTCAGGTATGAATTCATCCAACCAAGTAGCAGTTTTACAGAGCTCGGGTTAAACACTGTTTAGGAGAAAGGTGAACTCTGAGGGCGTATGGCTTTAAGTACTTTAATAAGGCAAAGGAGTGTAGAGTAAGACAGTGAGCGTGCTGTAAAGAAATGCATTTGAAAATGTATTTCCAAGCAAAGCAGAGTTGATAACCGTACCTACAAAGAACACTCATGGAAATATGACATCAGGGTTTACGTCAATAAATTAATCATAAAGTACAGGGGAAGTAAATATGACTTAAATTTGCCTTTGCATGCTTTTCAAGTAAGTAAGACCTTATAGGGGGAGTGGAGGACAGGTCTATAAGAGAAATGGTGTAGAAGTTGTTGGAAACACTGAAATGTTTCTTTTTTTTAACTACAGCGAACAAATCTAGTCAACCAGTTCAGTAAAGATATGAATAATAATATACTGTGGGTAAATGAACTATTTCAGGTGTCACTAGACTGAATAGTGCTTTGTTACACTCAAAGACAAAACATGTTATTCACACACGACAAGGCCGTCAAAATACAGCTATCAAACCTCTTCATAAAGGACCATGACTTGAAAAACATAGAAAATACGATTCAGTAAAATACATGTTTTGATATTTTAGTGCTGATAGGAAAATATCACTACAAACAGTATCATGCAGGTTCTCCAGAGACGCGCCGCCCGAAACCAGGGTGGCTGACGCTTAGCAAAGTCACATGCATGTTAAAAGGGCAAAAAATAATTTAGATTGTATCAGAAAATGTTGACAACCAAGAGACACTGGAAGCTCAGAAAACACTGTTGTATCATAAAATTGATACTATAAACAGCAGCGCCAGCTGAGGCTTTCTTACTCTCTTTTTTTCTTTGCAGCGCGCATCGTAACAGCAACAAACAACCTTACTCTTAATATGCCTTACTAATACGTGGACACATAGGTGTAGGTTTATGGTACACAAATCTTTGCATTGTTTGACTGCATGTGCTTCTAGGTTACTGCACAGTTACAGTGTCGTGTTTATGTGCACATGAGATTTGAAGTTTGGCTGTGACACACCTGTCTCACCCAGTATATTCAATAATCAAATGGCTGATTTGCAACACTCGAACTATTCAACTCGATCATTTGAAATGACAATATCAAAGGCATTGACATAAGACTGTAAACCTATTCCTCGTTAACAAATACTCAAGGTTAATCCAGAGGCACCACGTGGAGTTGGCCTTGCTTGTAAGCAACACAAGCAACATGTGAATTCGGACCAGGAGACGTGCGAAGGCGGATGAGCTGCCGTCCACTTTTTGTTTTAGTGCCCAATCTGCTTTTAGAAAACCCTCAGGACTCAGCAGGCCTCCTTGGCTGGAGCTGGCATCTTGCACATCATCAGGATCTGCTTCAAGGCTTTCTGGACATCCTCGTCCATCTGACCCTGAAATGAACCCAGAAAAATACGTGGTTGAAGGATGTATTGCTTGAAAGTTAAAGTTGTGGAAGCTTCGGGCTGTAATGAATGAATGAGGGTTTCATGGATGGATTTACCTGGACAGCATAAAGAAGGTGCATCCTGTAGACGGACACTATCTCATTGTGCTGCTTCTTTGACTCCTGCAAAGGACATACGAGTTAATGCAAATGTTTTTTTTGTTGTTGGGAATCACTTCCTGAAAATAAAGTCAGGATCTCACAGCGAGCTGGTACTGTAGCTGTTTGATTTGTTGCTGCATCGTCTCCAGCTGTTGGTTTTGCTGAATTCTCTTTGAGGGAGATCCTGAGCTGTAGGAGAGCTGTGATAGGCTGTTCAAGGCGTCCTTCAGCTTTCCTACCTCCCGTGACAGATCATCTATCTAAAAGAGAGGAAAACATAAACATGGATGTTAAAACAATTCATCAAAGGAGTTACAAGCACTATAGTATTTAGTCTTTATTTCACAGCTGACCCTCTTGTTCTTCTCCCTCTCAGAAGCGACGTGATTTTCCACCAGCTGTTTGAGCTGACACACCGCGTCCTGGGACTCAGCCAGCCTGGAGGTCAGCGTGTGATTCTCTTTCTCCCTTGACATCACCAGCTCCTGCAGAGCCTCCCGTTCTGCACGATTCTCACGCGCCTGGTGGGGCAATACATTTACATTTCAGAGGGCTGGACTGTTCAGATAAAGCTGCATTTCTGTTTCCTTCATCACCATGTTGAGGTTTATTTCCTCTATGATCACCGACTCACTAATCATAATATATCTTATCTTAAACAAACACAATCTTCAATATCTCTGTCCCCCAAATGATGTGAGACAAACTGAGACACACAGGACATATTTCTGCAGATTGCTCCACAAGTTGATGTGGAAATGTTGTGTTGTTTACAGCAGTTGTCTCTGTACAACAATCACTGATGGTAAAACGCTATAATTGAGCGATCGTAGTCTCTCCCCTCTTTGTCTTCTTACTTTCTGCCAAGCATCAGCAGCCTCCAGAGCCATCTCGTCCTGCTTCCTGAGGGCCCCCTGAAGGAGCTGCGTCAGGTGGTTCACCTCACCCTCTAGCTGCTCTCGAGTGGTCTCATGCTCCACACGGGGTACTGAATCATCTGGGGGTCCCTGTTTTTCTGCTGTCAGCCTTTAAGTGAAAAAAAATAGAAAACACAGTGACATCTAACACTTTTGTCTACATTTTTTCAGCAGACAACCAGCAAGTTTGACAAAGGGTCTGATCTGAACTGGTTACAACAAAGTGGAGGAAAACACATGGCATCTATCGTTAATGTGAGAGAAGTTTTTCCTCCTCACCTGTTTTGAAGAGCCTCCACCTGCTGGGTTTTCTGATGCAGCTGCTCTGTCAGTGCCTCTAACTGGCTCTCCAGCTCTTTGATGGCGTTTCCCAAAGACGACATCACGTGCGTGTGGTCGGCGAGGGCGACTGAGCTTTGCGCCTGGACTTCGGCTTCCTGCCTCAGCCGAGAAATTTCCTCTTGAGCAGCTAAGTTCTTCTTCTCCGTCTCAGTCAGCAACGTCTGCAGCTCCTCGACCTTGCTGTTCAGCGCTTGTGCCTGCTGCTGTTCTGAGGTCGGAGACGAGCCGGTGCTGCTCTCAAGCTGGGCCTCGGTCAGCTGTTTCTGCGCGGTGCTGAGCTGACTCTTGGTTTCGCTGTAGGAGTGTGAGAGTTCCAGCAGGCGGCGCTGCAGCCCATTAATGACCTCGTCTCTCTCAGACTTCATTTCTTCAAAGTCTTTGGCTGCGGCTTCAACTGGCACGGTTCCCCTCAAAGCCTCCTGGACGATGACAGAGGAAAAATAAAGCCTCGTTTAATGAAGTTAGGGGAAACGCTGTCATGGCAGAAGCTACGGAAGGTTTTAACTCAACTTGAAATTATATTTTTCACTCAGAGAATCTTAGACAAACATCTAAAAACTGGATTTCAACTTTTACACAAACTAAGTTCAGAGAGTAGCAGAAGCTCATGTTCACCTGAAGCACTCTGATCTCCTCCTGCGCCTCCTTGTACAGCTCCTCTATCTGCTCATTCTCTGTCCCATCCCGTCTCTCCTCCCCCACCTTCCTCAGCGCCTCCTCCAGCTGTCTGATTTGTTGTGCTGCTTTCTCTCGCTCGCCTCCTAACTGGACGAGCTGGACTTTCAGCTGTTTCACTTCCCGTTCAAGTGTCGGTGAAAAATGTCGCTGGCCATCTTCTCCTTCCCCCATTCCCATATGCACTCTCAGCTCCTCCAGCTCCTCCACAGCCTGGTGGTATTTCTCCTGAGTGTCTGTCAGCTTTGCCTGGAGCTCTGCCAGGCTCTCCATCAGCTCGGCCTCTCTTCCTTTCTCCCTCACACCTTCGCACTCCTCTCTTTCTCTGTCTGGCCTCAGCTGGGCCTGAAGTGAGCGGTTCTCTTTCCTGGTCTCTAACAGTTTGATCTGAACCCCCTCCAGCGCCTGCTTCAAGAGTCTGATCTCCTCTTTGTTCCCTCCTCTTCCTCCTTCACCATCTTCATCCTCTCCTCTGACTGAAACGCCACCCGTGCCTGATTCCCTTTCCATTTGTGGCAGGGCTTCAAACTCATCTTGGGTGGAGTGGAAGGAGGAGTTGGAGGCCATGCTGTCGGGACGACTGTCCTCCTTCAGGTCCTCGTTTCCAGGGATGGACGGATGTTTCTGTGAGGTGACAGTGGAAAGTAGAAGAGTAAAGAGTGATATGAAATTAGTAGGAAAGTCCTGATCAGCAAAAAAATGAATATCAGATTTCATTGGCCTGCATCTAATCTAATTTTCTGATATCAGAACTCCAATACAAGCGGTCCATTCCAGGCTCCGCTCCAGCACCTCTATCTAGCAGTACCCAGATCCAGCATGTAGAGCCCATGTGATCACAACAACAGTGTGTACCAAGTTACTAACAATGTAGCAAGGAGTAGGAGTGATGTCGGCTGTGTGTCGGCAGTATTTTTTGTCTAATTCCGACAAAGACATTGCGACTGAGTGCGAAACTTTTCATGCACAAGTTTGTGCCAATATCAGATCAATATCGGTATCGGCCATTACTGAAGGCTACAATATCCGTATCTTATTGGAAGTAAAAAGTTGTTTCGAGCAGTGTTGTTTTTGGCAGGCATTTTAGATTTAGTTTTAGTCTTAGTCATTTTGACGAAATGCTTCTTCGTTTTAGTCCCATTTTGGTCATTTCTATCCTTGATAGTTTTCGTCTAGTTTTAGTCGACGAAAACTCAAAAGGTTTTAGTCTAGTTTTAGTCGACGAAAACTCAAAAGGTTTTCGTCTAGTTTTAGTCGATGAAATCCTTTTGAGGTTCGTTGTGTTCTTTCCCGACAGTTTGAAGCCGCAGCATGAGGAAGCTGTGGCTCCACAACTGTCGTCTGTCTCGTCTCCCCGTCCCTGTACAAGACATTGTGTTTTATTGTCACTTGGACTGTATCTGAAGTAGGACCATAAATCATCCCTCTTTTTTCGGCCACCGGGCACCGCTGCTGTGCCTGCCACCATGGTGTGTGTGTGTGCGTGCCTTGTCCACCTGCCACTCTGTGTATGTGTATGAGTGTGTGCACGCAGCTGTGCACGAGCGAGGCTTTTGGTGCGTGTGTGATGGGGGCGTGACTGTTAGGACAAAAAAAAAAAACATGTTTTGAAACTTTGTTTGTCCACCTAATAACAATTTAGTCTCGTCTCGTTCTCGTCTGATGAAAATGAATACAATTTTCGTCACATTTTAGTCTTTACAGAGCTTTGGTGACGTTCGTCTTAGTTTCATTTTCGTCAAGGAAAAAAGGGGTCTGACGTCGTCATTTAAGTTTTTGTCCTGCCTGACGAAAACAACACTGGTTTCCAGACACCCCCATTCAATGAGTATGGAAAATATTGGTATCAGCGGGTAGTTAGCTCAAAAGTGAAGAATCATGATAGGCAGACATGATCGTTTCTGATGATATTGACGACTGATCAGGAGGCACATTCATTATACCCCTGGTGTCAGCTCAAGCTTGCCAACAGCAGGCCTGAGCATACTGGCAAAAGACACAATCCTCTGTCTGTATAAAAAGTTAGTCACATTTTTGGGGCTCAGCAGCATATATATCCTATCATATCCTATATTCTTATTATTACTGTTATTATCATCATTATTAATATTATTATTAGGGCATCGTGCAACATCTTAGAAAGCTGATGGCCTGACTTAGCCTTTTTAATGTAACTGCATTATTTGTCCTCCAGTCACTCAGATAAACAATGCACTTCCCTCTCTCTGTTCATTCTTTGGTTTTTGTGATGAAACAAAAAGAGTTGCGTACCTTGAGTTTGCTCGCCAATTGCTGGTTCTCTAAAGTCAGAGCGTTAATCTTGGCTTGCAGGGCGGAAACCAGAGCTGCAGACGCGGTGAAACCGTGCTCGACCTGTCAACGCATTCAACAAACATACATTCCCCATGCAGAGGCACACAGAGACATGAAAGCAACGTTAAGGACCACTGGCTTCCTCCTGGAAAACAAAACGAGTCAGGACACGTCTGGAGCTTAGTTAGACCTCTTCAAGAATGCCCAGGGTGAGAAAGTTAAGTAATGCACAGCTGTGTGGAGAATATAACAAAGAAAAACTGTGTTGACAAATATTTTAAGAGAGAGAAAGTCTCTCAGTGAACTTGTTAAACATAGACAAATTAAACAATTAATCTATGTGAATGTGAATATGTGAATTCAATCTCTAAAGGCTTTAAATTCCAGTAATGTTGAGTTCAAAACACGCTTTGCTCAATCCTGTTTTTTAAATGTTGGTCTCTCAAACCAAAAGTCTGACGTCATTTACCAAAACTGTGTCCTCTGCTGTAGTCAGCATGACTCCTGTTAGACACGCTCACACACAAGATAACTGAATCACTCAAGTCTCTCATCACCTTCGTATCCAATTCAGGAAAAGTCCCCGTCTGCTCCACCGACTGCTTCAGGTCTTCGATTGTCTCCAGCAACATGTTTCTTTCCTCGTGGAGCTTCTCGACTTCTTTCAGTACCGATCCTCGAACCTCATCCTCCTTTTGAGCGAGGGGGAGGAGTGGCAGGACAGATGAATGAGAGGGGGAGGAGAGCAGAAGGTGGACAAAGGGAATAAGGAGGAGCAGGAGGGGGGGGAAGGAAGTATTTATCCAAACTTTCCATATCTCATGGTATGAGTGTACATTTACAATCATACCATGAGATGTCTCTGCAGGGATAAATGAGTTTGTTTCAGTCCTGCAGAGATACGAACACCTTGATTCTTTTTTTAAAATCAGTACTGAAGCCCCTTTACTTGATTTGATGAGTTTTACCTTGTAGTTGAATCTTTTGGGAGTGTCGCTTTTGTTTGAGGAGGGGGTCCCTGTGGAAGTAATTAACGAGGGAGAGGAGGGTCCGGAACTCTGTAAGAAGTATGAAGATCATAAAACTTCAGTTTGACGAGTTTATTGAATTTCAATTTACTCACTAAAAGATAATGAATTGAAAATAAATGATCTGCTGTTAATTTAATTGCTGTGTTGAAAACAGATTAGTACTCTGTCTGAACTTAAATTGAATCATTACTGTCTCAGTCAACAATGAAAAGCATCAGAAGATACTGCTGCTCTAGATGCTTCATCCAGATTTAAGCACACTACTTATGATGTCTTTTCCCATTCTGTGTTAGTCTTCGACTGACTGACAGAGAAAAACTACTCATAAATAAATGAACAGTTACAGATCAGACACACACACGTCTTACTACTCATTTTCCGGATATACTGCAGACATGCATAAATGTAAAGAGCGGCACACTGACACAAGCAAGGACAGATACACAGAGACATGCATTTACCTGCAGTGGGCTAATAGGAGGTGGAGGTGCTTTTCGTTTTTTGGGGGTTGTGATCCGTTCATCACTTAGCTTAGCTACTTGATCATGCTGAGGAGCCAGCAGAGGAGATGGAGAGAAAAAAAGTTTAAGGGAGAAATGAGAAAGGTGGGATTCAGTGCTGGTTAGTGAAAGAAGAGTCGATCAATAAGAGCTACAGTGAGAGTAAGTTTTGTTCTCCAAATCTACACAAACTGAGCAGTTTGATATTGTCAGATTACATCTGCTGGTGTTAATCTACTGATGAGGTGTAGCTGCTCAACAGAAAGTTACATTCAAGGCCAAAATAAATCTACATTTTGTTTGAATAGTTGATTTAATCTTTTGGGTGTAAGTGTTTGAGGCTCTGTTTGCCTGCTTGTGAGGAAAAGGGTTAAGGAAATTGTCTTTTGTCTTACCTGAGGACTTTTGGGAGACTTCATATCTGTCAAACAAGACAAAGGGATTATTACAGTATATATATTTTAAATCACAACTTCTGCTCTCTCACTTTGTAAATATTAAGAGAAATTAATTTTCTAAAGTGAAGAAAAAAAGTAACACCATCAGGAGAAGTCCTGCAGGTGGCAGTGTGGACTTAGTGTAAAACTGAAAGCAGTGCATATCTCCACCACATGGGGCTACTGCACATTTCTGCCTGTGTTTGCACTGATCATGCTGTTGGGACCGTGCGCCCCATTGATCCTTTGTTTCTGTGCCTGTTTCTTGGCACAACTCGTACCTGTGCTGTGCTGTCTGCTCAGGGCAGCAGTGAGGGCAGATTTGATCTCAGAGTTTCCAGATTGTTTGGCGTAGTGTGCAACGTCATGGCCCTGTGAATCCACGGCCGACAGATCTGCTCCTCGCTGAACCAAAACTTCAATAACAGATGCAGCGCTGGACTCACAGGCGTGCATCAAGGCTGTCCTGCAAGACAGCAAAAAATATCCTCATTAAACATTTGTCCGTCATCCAAGCACAGAGGTGTCTTGAGTTGATCAGTTCAGTGAATTTTTTTGGTGTGTGCAGCTTTTGTCTGTACCTTCCACTGTTGTCAGAGGTGTTGATCTCAGCACCACAGTCCAGCAAAGTGCTGCACACTTCAGCATGTGCATGTTTGGCTGACAACAGCAAGGGGGTGAGCCCATCCTTTGAGGAAAACAGAGATGATAGAATATTAGTTATGGCTGAAATGATTAAAGAGAGGGACCTTGAGCCAACATAACACATAACTTATCCTGTATGACATCAGGACGTGGGCCTTAGCATGTAGAATTTAAAGTGCCTGTGTGGTGAGAGAAATCTCAGCTCCATGTGAGGAAGGAGTTGATGTATCCCAGATGAACTTCCCAGAAAATAAAAAGGGAAAACAGCATGGAGTTTTTGGAAAATCCCCCATAAATGATACATTTGCAGCTCTAAATAAACAGAGTGACTCAGAGGAGCTTCATGGCAAAGACCAGAAAACTGAGGCTGTAATTCATGCAGCGTATCATCCCATATTTTCCACAGGATTGACAGATCCTGACCCCAAGCGTGACATTTAACCTAACCCTAACCATCTATGACCTAAATCTAACCGAGGCACACGATTGGCTGAGCTTTGAGGGTGGTGCTTCGTCCAGAAAGAGCAGTAGCCACAAATGCTGCATCACCCTCAAAGCAAAGAATATCCGCTCGTGAAAATATGTCTTCAGATTAACTCTAGAGGCTGTTTTTCAAACACAGTGTAAAAAAAAGGCATCTCGAAGAAATGCAGTTCAAAATGTACAAATAGACACCCATGTTCTTGAAAGTGAAAGCACAAAAAAGAAAAGGAAAAGAAAACAGCTGGAAACAAGTGATAGCCAAGCAACAGTTAAGTGTGTCAGCAGCATAACTCTGTGTTTTATAGTACAAGGAGGCTGCTGCAGCTTCCACACACCACAGTGAACAAAACTATGCTGTGGGTTCCTCTGAGCTCTGCTAAAGACTTTAACAGACTTATGTCTGCTCTGCTCCGTCTGTGTTCCTCCTGATCTGTCTCTGCTCTGGGAGCTCAAAGACAGAAAATCATCTTCTTCCTCTCAGGGCTACAGATCAAATATCCGTGTGTGTGTGAATGTGACAGCTCAGGTGTAGTATGTGTGTTTACGTGCACTTGTTTCCAATCTGATGCCATTTTTCTCAGTTTCAAGGCTGGATGCTGGATTTTTTTGAGCAACAAGGTGAAGTCTGTTCTGAGCTAAAATGGAGCAGCAACCCTCGCAGTGAAGTGTGATCACTTAAAGGCCCGTCAATCAGTGCAAACTCCCACACATTCATGCCCCAATTTAAAGCTGAACACACTCTTATCGGTACAGTTATTAACTCCCAAATACACAATGGAGTTTTAGTTTGTAAAGTGGTAACCCAACCAAAGTTGATCAAACATATCAGCAACTGGACTGACTGAACCAAACATCGATTATTGCAACAAGTGTCATCAGCTGTTCATCAATATAACTAATGATTTAAGAGTCAATCTAGTGATTACCTGTCAAAACCTGATCAATCAGTCTTTGCCACCCGCTGTAGATGCCCCTATTATTGTTATTTCAGATGCAGACTATGAACAAGGAGTCTGTGCGTGTGTGGAGCAGCCTATCTATGAAGTCCATCATGAGACAGACTATTTAGAAAAGGTGTTAAGCATAACCTAAACGACAGTAGAAATTGCTGAAGTGGTTGTTGTGCCTAATAGAGAGCTTATTTTATGAGCTGCTGAATGAGGATGAAGGTGAAGAATAATATTGATTAATCATTCTCAATCTTTTCAGCATGAGCACCTTTAAAAGCGGCAATATTATTGTGTGTGTTCAGAAACCTTACCTGACAAAAGTCTATGAACGTCTTAGTAGGGCTGTATCCTTTGACTAGACATCTGACTATTCTCAGCTGCATGACTCAACTCTCACTTGAAGAAAGTGTAATCGTGTTTTCTTCAAATTTCCCCTTTTTTCATGTCTTTCAGGACTCTTTCAGCCACTTTAACCAAATTTATGGATACCAAACCGTGTCAAAGCCGAGCACCATTTAAAGAAGTCGAGAAACAGATTTCTTCCCAGCTGAAAACATCAGGAAGCTTTTAAACTACATCGTGCCAGTGTCTCTGAATGTAAGTTCACTTGATTTTTGTAAACATCCTCTGTCAAACACATAGAAGCAGATGTTCTGTTTCTTTTCATATCCCCCTGTGCGTTTATCTCAGTCAAATATAGATCAGGTATGGATATTTGCTGCAGCCGTGTTAGTATGTGTGCCCCAGGCTAACAAGCTGGCATGTTTTGCTCAGCCAATACGTTCCAGACCTCTCTGTGGTTCTCAGTCTACATGTCCACTTCCAGCTAACAGAGCTGCTCATGGCTCACACACATTTGGATACGATTATGACCAGAAAAGAAAACGATGCTCAATCGAGTTTTTATGTGAATAGAAAACAGCACTAAAGATCGATCTCTTTCAGCGAAACAACATTTTTTTAAACTTACATGCATAAAAACCCTTAAAGTGAGAGCAGAAAGTCTTAATTTTCGGGATTTACTACAGAAGAAATGTGTAGACTTTACTCCGTTTCTTAAATCCAGTAAATGTGCAATTTTTGGGAGCGGTTTAGGCAAATATTTATCCAGTAAAAATGCCACGAAGAAAAAAAATCTACTATATCTAATGTCCAATTAGGTCTGAAACCCTGTAATTTCACTCTCAGAAATCTGTACTGCCAGTTTTGAGAACTGGCAGCATGTACGAGTCTGAAAAACAGAATTTTTACCGGCTTATACCCACATGAGGTGGCAACAACAGAACATATTTACATGTAGGCAAAGAGAGAACACCGTTTATGTTAATCTCCAACACAGCAGCTGTTCGTGACTATAAAAGGGATACGCAAAGCACAAAGGAAACCCATTCCCTTTAACATTTCTTCTCTTACTTTCCCTCTTTTTCATTTATACACACACACACAGACACACACAAAATATCATGTTCACACACAGCAGTTGGGTTAAAAAACCACAGGCATGGAGCGTCGCTGCAATGGAGACCACATGTCTGCGGCTTGAGAGTAGAGTTCCTTGAGTAAAGTGACCCTATACCCAACACACAATCAGGCAAACACACACACACACACACACAGTCAATGTACCATGTACCGCCACAAGCATCTTCAATATTGTAGATTTTGAGCTGTAAGTGACATTGACAGCGGTGAATTTGTCTCTGCTCTTTTTACAAACCTACATTTTAAAAGCTTATAAAAGAGATGCAATTGAAACTATCATTGTGAAATTACATATCTGGCTAATTTAAACTCAACTATCACCCTGCGGTAAACACAGAGCCGACAGAGAGGTAAATCTTTAAGGAAAATCTGCACCGGCCTACAAACGGTGTTTACCAAATTCCTGAAACAACACAGTCGAAGGTTGATAGGAACAAGACTGAATCAGAATTTTTGAGGTTTTCACTCTGACATAAAACCCTTTTTGGTATCCTGACAAGAGGACTAAGTCTGAGTCAGAGAGACAGAGTGGGAAAAAGACGGAGTACTCACTGCATCTTTAAGGTTGATAGGACTTTTGAGTTCACACAGCAGCTGGACGACCTGGATGCTCCCGCTAGCAGCTTAAGACAAAAGAAACAACAGTAAGAAAGTTAAAGAAGAGCACAGAGGTATCTGGATCCGTTTGGTCTGGAAATGAAATGTGTAGGAAATCCTCTACTTAGACCATTTTGTAAACTTTGGAGAGTCATAGCACACCAATCCCAAGCCCCTGGTGTAGTGTATAGTGTGAAAGGAAACCTGTGAGTGTATTATGAGAACTTTGAGAAACTAAACAGGCTAAAATCAGGTTTTAATCACCTATTTTGTGGTATGGTGGTTGAATTTAATAAATAAAGGAGAGCTTGAACCCCAGCTCACTAGAATTGTTCCCACATCTTTAGTCTTAGTAGACTAATCTCCGACAAAAGCACTCCGCTTTAATTAACTCTCAGGATAGGAGACACTTACCAGCGTGATGTAGGGCAGCTTTCCCTGAGCCATCAACAGCATCAATAGGACTCTTATTCTAGAGACAGAGCAGAGATGTACGAAATATACAAATCAATTTCACACATGAATTATGAAACGTTTTCAATGAAAAGTCCCTTTCATGGATACTGTTAGACTTCTCTGTGTCATTCGACTTTAGTAAAGCCTGATACAGTATTTTCCCGAATAGCTGGAAAACTGTTTCAGAGAATTTAACTGAGTACTTCTAAAGATCTGTCCAAATACTTCTCAGAACCCCAAAAAATACTTTAGTCTGCAACCACTTGTTTCTTGACTATCAGATATAAGCAGCAAATTCAGTTTTGCACAAATGCAAGCAAAGCAAATACATCATGACATACAGGCAATAAAGTTGTGTTATTAGCAGCAACCAAATGACTTGTAAAGAAACAAAGGTTTGTCAGAGCTTGCACAACAAAGTTGTTTTATGGCACAAAAGGAAAGGAGAATAGAGAGAGTTTTGCTTTTTCAATACCAGTAAGATTTTTATGGATGTTTTAGCGGGCAGGTGCGTGTTTATTTTGATGCGGCTGACTCTCATGGAACAGTGAGGTCCACAGATCAGAGCAGAAAGATGGTTGTGTAATCGTGTTGGGTGCGTCTTTGTGAGTATGTGCTCCTGCTGATCTGCACGGACATTGACTCTCAAACACACTCAGCAGCAGGCTGAGGAAATGAAGCGGAAAAGCTGTTTGCTTTCAGACTTCTCAACAGAGGAGTCAGACTTTTTGAGGTAGTCGGTTTCATTTGGTTCTTGCTGCTTCTCAACACATTTCCTTATTTCCTGCTTCAGCTACTGTGTCCAAGCAGACGTCCTGCTGAGGAGCTGGAAGTTGAGCTCTGAAAAGATTCTGACTTTTAATATTTCTTGCACCTCTTTTGTGCAACACATCTTGGAAACTTTAACCTGAAACAGCATCCAAACATTACTGTAAATTAAAGGCACAGTGTTCGACCAACGCTGTGAGACTTGTGTCTTAATTATACCTAGCTGTTTGGTTGCACCAGAGACAAAAGGTTCATCTCAACCAAAATAATGCTGAAGACATTTGTTTTTTACTTACTCTTGCCAACCAGTGAAAAGTACTTTTTTAAATGCAGTTGGCCTTAACAGGTTGATTACAGTATGTCTTTAATCTGTAACAAGAGTAAAATAACAACAGTGACATTCAGTGATGAAACTGTTGGCTGCGACATATTTTCTTACCGTTAGCGATGAAATCAAATCAAATTAAATCAAACTTTATTTATATAGCACCTTTCATGCTTTTAAGCTGCAACACAAGGTGCTTTACAAAAAGATAAAAACAAACAACAGTAAATATAAGGCAATTAAATAGGCATAAATAAGGCAATTAAATAGGCATAAAACTACTTCCACTCATGGAAAACGAAAGCAGGAGAACAAATCAAACTAAATGTAAAGGTACATTTCTAAGGGAGAGAGAGAGAAGAGCAAAGCATTTCCCATCTTTCAAAATGATGCGTGATGACTTAATCCATAGTCAGCGTTAAGATGTAACTTACGCCTAAACCGAAACAGTCTCAGCTGTTGCAATTCCCAAATGAAAAGATGGAGTACAAAAACTCCACCCTAACCTAGAAATTAGGTTTAAACTAGGCTCTGTATGAACGTACACATTACTGATGCAAACGAGTGCAGGTCATTCAAACTGCAAAGCTATTAAACAGGAAAAACAAAACTGTATCTTCAACTGTATCCACCTTACCTGGATGAGCTTTTTGCAGCACTCAATGTGATTGTTTTTGGCAGCCAGCTGTAACGGATTCAAACCTGAACATAAATCAAGAAAAGCCATAATTAACATTTTGAACACATCGCAGAATTTTGAGACAAAATTGGGAGAAATCGATTGAAAAAAGCATCAGCTTTAGCCTGTATAGTGGAAACTAAATGGCAAGTCCCCAAAATAACTTCCAATAAAACCTGTCTATGTTTATATTTTTCTATTCCCCTGTATAACATCAGAACATACCTGCAGCATCAGTGATTGACAGGTCGGCTCCATGAGACAGAATGACAGAAAGGCAGTCAGTCAGACCCCGGGCAGCTGCCACATGAAGACTGTGCACGAAATAAACAAAATCAAGAACGAGATTTAAAGTTAAAATCAGCTCTTTAAAAAAACAGGACACCAAGGACACGTCTAAGACAGCTATTAGAAAACTGCTTTTGCTTTGCGAGTTTTTAGAGTAACATTGAGGACCTCATGATGTGACACAAGTTTAACTTCCTTGGAAAGTCATGCTTTGGAAATCTCCAGCTGTGACCTCACACTGATATCAAGCTGTAAAAACAGTCTCACAAATACATTCACAGCATTTTCTATTCAATCGCACTTTCCCACCAGGTTTAAGTTGCCTGATAAGACACTGTTTTATCTAATAGGCTGATCCTGAAGTGTCTACAGTAAATTTGATGCTTCTTCCAGAACTCTGTTTGATCATCCGTCAGTAATTCATGAGCTGTATCTTGTTTTTAAATGAAATTCTGACCAGAGTAAATCAGATCACTGCTTCTGGTTATGTGAATAGTGCAGCACGTACAGTGAAAAACCACAGCATGTACTTTTTACACCTAATGGTCTGTTAGTGCATATGTGTGCAGCAGGCAATCAATACGACCCCTTTTCCAGCTCAGCAAGCAGAGAGAAAAAAATCTGCACATACCCAGCCTTCCCCTGGTGTGTGCGTGGGCTACACACTCTCACACACAACTATGCCCACATGCCTTTCAATCAGGTTTTATCACCATAGTGATACTGTAGACTCCTCCTTTGTGCATTCTGAAAAGATCGGAGCGTCGAGATCCCAAACCGCATTCACATTCATGCTGATTTAAAAAGCCTGCGAGCATGCATCTGCATGTGTGTGTCTGTGTTCCAGTCGCACACAGAGAAAAGGTCAAGGATGTGAACTGGCAGGAGAACAAAAAAGCCTGTGTGTTTGTGTCGGCATGTGCAGATCTGCACATTGGTTTCTCCCTGCATTTTGTTCTTGTGTTTTGATGTTCCTGGCGCTGCGTGAGCTGCTTAGCACATTGAGGTCAGCGGGTGTTGTGTTTCAGAGAAAGAAAGAGGTCAAATATTAACACTGAGCCTCTGTGTTATCAACAATCTCAACCGGTGAGTCGGCAGGCTCCACTGCCTCTGCAGAAATGAGCTGGTTCTCAAAACACTGAATGTCAGAGAGACTGAGGGAATGGTGGAGAATGTCAACCTTTTCACAGACCAAGAAAAACAGCAGTATTTTTAGTTCAGCCATTCATTTTTTATCATTGTGCTGTGAAGCGTGAACGCGGTTTCATAAGCTCAAGACTTGAGAAGTTTAGGAGTGGATGTAGAAATGCTACATTTAATTCAAAAGAAACAAGATTAGGTTTCCCCTGAAATTTTGACCCCCCTTTTTTATATCCCTTTATTATCAAATGCAAACAGGAAGGAAACTTGATCTGAACATTTGATCCCTTCTAGTCATGTCAGTGTTTTAGATCCGCATCCAAATGTCTCAGTTGCTCCTCCAGGCTTATATCGTACAGATCCCTCAGAAGCCACTGGAGACTTTTGTCTCCGTCTCTGCCAATTAATTACCCTGCAGGAGTATTTCTTGCAGTAAGCATGTTGTGCTGTGGATGTACTATGCCTTCTCGTAATTGGTTCCACCGGGAATCATGCGCTCATAGCAGAGGTATAAATCAATATAAACTGCACGAAACAATCCACACCTGAGAATAGCGAATCTGTAACAAAGCCGTTTTCTCCGCTTTATTTTGTGAAACAAAATTTCTATACTTACGCTGATTTTCCTTCGCTGTCTAGTTTGACTGCGCTAGCACCTTTCTTGGCGAGAAGTGACGCCACTTTCTCCACCTCGCCGTGCTCCACAGCGGCGAGTAGGCGCTCGTCATTTTTGTTCCACTCATTGGTCTATAAGACAAAGAGAAAAGGGAGGAAATAATGAGGTGATGTGAGGTTAAGAAACACATATCAGGTGTAATTATAAAGGAATGGGGAAGCAGATATGATGTGAATATCATCTTTTCAAGTCATTACTTATGTTATCTTTGTGTTGTTTGTATGGGAAAGTACAATTAATCAGCCATTAAGCTTATCTTTAATAAAGCAGTCATTACAAAACTGGACTTGACTTGCATGGTTTGACCTTGACACATTAGCAAATAATACTCTGCAGCCAAAATGGCTGAGATGCCCTCATATGAGTAATAGTCCCCGTAGAGAGAGAGAATATTTCTGCTGCAGCCCACACAAAATATTTATGTCCGTATGTTGGGACACACATGCACACACACACACACACACAGTAAATGCACAATATCTCTAGCACTGATATGCACATACACAAACCAAATAGCCCCACATTTGTATCAGTGACAGACTGCTCAGATAAAGAGATGTCAGCAGTTAGAGAGCTCAAAACATGATCTCACACTCAGAGTGTCTGCTACACTGCAGTCACAGATTACACTACTGTGAGCCTCACAAGTCAGACACAGTATCTGTTTACATCTGGCCAAGAACAAAACACACAACCGTACTGTACCACACTTACAAGAGAGATACTGAAAAGAGCAACACTATGATAATCTGATCGAACAAAATCCGAAATATCAAAATAAAACAGAGACAAGGTTGCCTTAACTTCAGTGAGAAGATAAAACCACCTGTATTGAAATAGTCCTCAATGAGTTTGTTGTACAAGAACTGTTTCATACTTCACTATAAGGGAGGCGAATCCATGCACCCCAATATTAGTGTGAGATCCATAACCAGCTCTCCCAGCAGCCACCTGTGCATACTCACAGTATTAGATTTGACCTGATAGCCTACTGACCTACACTTGATAACGGGGTGAACTCTCCAACTCCATAAATACATGTGAGGGCAAACTGTACCCTATTTTAGGACAGCAATAAGTCAACAGTGATACATGGCAAACATTCAAAAGCAATCACAGCAGTACATTTTGCACAGCTGGTGGAAAAAGGCAGGGCTATATAAATCTGTTCTATTACTAAGACAGCTGGGATGACCAATAAGCCCTGCAGCCATTAGAGTCATGTCTCTAGAGCAGTGGAAAAATAAAATCTACTAAAATGTTGGTGTTTTGGAACCGGTAAAGCAAAGTCGAAAACCACTTAGAAACATTCTTGATTTTCTGGCAAAAAGTTTTGGAAGGAGTTAAAAAAGAAGAGGAAAAAAACCCACACATGCTCTGAGTGATCCAAGCTGCAAAGCACTGAAGTTGAGATTCTGTTCGAGGGGGTTTAGTCAGACCTGAAAGTTCTCTGACAGATTAAAAAAACAGATTGGATATAAAGACACTCAGCAGAGCACTGAAACAGACATGTGTGAGAGATATACGAATGGACCAGGTGCTCTGCTACATCAATTATAGGCAGGAATAATATAGGCAGTAACACTTCACCTAGTGTTTCCAAAAATACACAAGAGAGCAAAAGCAGGATTGGGGAAATCCAGACTCTGCAATAAGACTTTTTTGTTTATTGTAGAAAACTTAATAATTCCATAGTAACGAGATTTTAAATCCTGTTCAGTTTTGTTAGAAAATGAGGACAATACTAGGAAATTTAGGATGAACGTAGTAAGATTGCAGGATATGGAGCAAATTTACAACAACACCAGTTCACTGCTGTTAAAAAATGAGCAAATACTGAAACTCACCGTGGCAATGTCTTTGAAGAGTTTCAGTATTTGATATTACGTCAGATCTGGGAAGCTGATTTCAAATTTTTTCTTCTAACAGAATCAAAGTGATGTTTCGATCACGTTAAGTTGATCCATTTGAGTTTTGTAAAACAACATTAATGCTAAATTGAGTTCACATGTGAGTCCTGGTTTTCTCGTTTGATCATGCTCACACAAGAGCCCAGTGCAGGACACAGAAGCCTGCAGGCTGTATGATACACACTGATACTGCTGGATTCATGTGATTTCACTGGCAGCTGGAGATCAACATGAAATCCACATGTTTTATTTGGAATAATATTTGTACATATAGATTTTAGGCCTACAGGATAAAAACAATGCATTCATTGTGGTGTGAAATGCTAAAACATCACTTTCCCTTGTACATTCCTAACTTAGCGCAACTTTTATTTGATAATTTTTTAAAAATTTCCGTCAGTCTTTACAAACACAACGCTTATCTTCAGGAGGAAAACTAAGAATACTCCTATTATTCTTGTCAGTGAGGCAGATGTTTAGACAGTCATCTTATAACCAAACATTGTATGGGTGGTATGTGTAGAGACCTGGGTCCACAGAGGCAGTGGTGTGTTTGCTGTAGGGTTTAGAGTAAAAGAGACACAGGAGCCAGTCAGAGAACGTGCATCTGTCCGTCACTATGATTGGTGTGCAATGAAACATGACACAGCAGGAGGTAGCTGGAGCTATTAATGACATGACATATCCCATATGGTGTAGAGGCAGGTTTGGCTTGTTTTCAAAGAGGTTGGCTTGATTTGCCTCCCGGTGGGTTGGAATGAAAAGTCTCATGATTTTTTATTCGGGCAGTCATGTGTTCAGTCAGCGTGCAGGGCGCTGAGGTAGTCAGATACTAAAAATAGGTTTACTTAGGAGACGGGTGAGGAACTGAAAAGAAAAAGATAAACAACCACACAACTGAGTCATTATTGAAGTGAGTTATTTTTTTAAATACAAGTCTGTGTATGAACATATTCTGTTAGGGAGTTAACATAAACCTACAAAGAGCTTGGAGAGGGTTTACTTATGATTAAACATGGCACCAGTAATCCTCTTATCATGTTTTGTGGACATCAGGAAGGGTGGACCTTGCTGCTGTAATTGAGTGCCTTTATGACCCGGAAACAGCAGCCAAATAAACCCACTACTGTAAGCTACATATCAGAGTTTAAAAATAGGAGATATCACATTTTGCACAGTGGATGGTGAGATGCCGAGGTGCAGCATTTGAGTTTAAACCTGACTTTATTTCAAGTGGGAGCTTTAAAGTCTCAGTAGCTCATCAGATTGAAAAAATGAACTAAACAAACACACTGAATGACTGTGAGTGCTGAACTGTATTGTTACAGAGAATTTACATTCCTTCATATTTTCTCCTCTAGCAGTTAAGCCAGATTCAATCAATTCAAAAATTTAAATTAAACTCTGATCTTTCAATCTTGTCTTTTAAAGGCCAAATGAATATTATGAATACACATAAAATACATCATAATACACATAAAAGTGTGTTCAAATTAGGGCTGGGCGATAAACCGAAAATTTCCCGATACTGAAATTTACGACAATAACCGACGTCATTTCGCCCATATCGGTATATATGGTGTCAAAATAATAAGTAAATAAAAGTTGGTTTTCGGTATGTGTAGGTAGGCTATGGTCTCATGTCCCTTTAAGATGCTGTCCTACGTCAGAGACATGACTCCACCCCATCTAGTCCATAACAAAGACAGGTGAGGAGATAGAGGACGGTTCAAAAGTTTTAGCGGCTGGAGCAGCGGCTGAAGTTGACAAAGTTAATGTGGGAGGGGTTGAGGAACTAGTGGAGTAGTTATCGTCCTTTTATCGTTATCGAAATGAACTGCTCAATATATCGTGATATATTGATTTGTGGCCATATTGCCCAGCCCTAGATCCAAGTTTCTACTCTAGCAGCAAATTTTCAAGAAAGTTATTTGCAGAGTTGTTTAATCCGAGAAATATATCAGAATAGACAAAGACTAATTTTGTGAAGAAAAAGGAAGTTACAATACCTAAATGTAGGAAGTATCAAGTTATTAAAGCTTCAAATTTGTACTCTAAAAATGTTACATTTAGAGAAGAACCAAAAATACTGCGGGGTTTCCATGAGTGATGGTTAACCACGTGAACCAACCACACTGTCCAACTTAAGAGGGCACTCAGAGGAGAAACCTGGCAATTAGAAGGAGAGACATTCAGGAGACATAAACTAGAAAAAAGGAAAAATGCATAGAGCTTTTTTATTTAAGTTCAGGGATCTAAGTGCTGTATATTTTCCTGATTCAGAGCTTTGAACTACATAGAAACACTCCCAGTCAAAGTAAACAACCAGCTCTCTCAGTTCTTCTGCTGGAGCACTTGCTCCAGAAAAAGCTTGACCACGCTGAGTCGGTTGTCGGAAGTGTTGGCACGAGAGACTGAAGAACATTTAGGGACATAAATAAAAAGCGAGGCCCTCTACCCCGTGTCTGTGTCAAACTGCTTTGCAGACAAATTTCACTGTGAAACTATCCAACACCTTCAAAAGATTTATCCAGGACTAACCTCATGTGAACCTCTCAAGTCTGATTTCTGTGTCTTTACCACACAGAAATACGTAGTTATCAATTATTACAAAACTTTTTATCATAATGCAAAGAGGCAGTATTAGAGATATTTATACAACAGTTCCTCTAGGGCCATGGTGGAGTCATTGAGTGTGATCTTATGTCAGATCAAAAGTCCAAAGCTTGATGTTGTTATAATTCTCACAAAACGAAGCATGAAAAATGAATGAAAGTTCACATTTGAGAGACCACATCCTTCAAATTACTACTTGTCAAAGCAGATGCCAAAAACCGCATGTTCGTGTACTCGTGGGTTAGGTACGATAGGTACGATACTGATATTGTAGCCTTCAAAATTGACCGATACTAATATTGAGCCAAAAATTGACACAAAATTGTGCACGACAAGTTTTTCACTCAGCTGCAACGTCTGTTTCGGACTTAAACAAAAAATACTGCCACAAGGCCGACATCACTCTTACTCCTTGCTACATTGTTAGTACCTTAGTACACACTTTTGTGTTGATTTCATGGGCTCAGTTTGTTGTATTCGGGTGCTGCTAGATAGATGTGCCGCAGCAGAGTCTGGAATGGACAGCTTGTATCGTAGTGCTGATATCAGAGGTTTTAGATGCAGGCCGATATAACCCGATATTTGTTTTTTTTTTTTGCTGATATCAGACCAATATCCAATATCAATATCGGGACAGCCCTACTTGCTTGCCCTGTAGAGATTAAAACGTGAGTATTTTGGGTCAAGGTAAATACTAAGCCTTTTTCTTCATAATAAGGAAAAACATCAAGTCCAAACAGGCAGGTAAAAAGTTATCAATTACAGTAAAGGAACCGACTTCAGTCTCATTAATAAGACCTGCATGCTGGAGAAAAACAGAAATAGACTTTAAACCCCATCAGCTCTACCAGAAACTTCGAGGAAACACTGGTGTACTGTTGAGCATGATCGTGCCTAATGGCCTCTGTGATTTTAATAGGCTCAACAAAAAGTGAAAGGCTGTCACGATAGAGCAGCATGACACCGATAGCATCAGACTACATTGTAATGGACAGGTTTAAGTGGAGCGGAATGCACTGCTCCACTTTCTTCCGCACACACTCACAGCGTCGACGTAGGGAGGCGAATGAAATGATCATGTGCTGGAGGAGACTGAGCACGAGTAGCAGAGGTCTTGACTCCACCACAAAGTTTTTGAACGAAGAGAGAGTAATCAAGTTTCTCAAACATAAAAGAGGCACATGCAGGGGGAGTTTTTCCTGTTGTCAGTGAAATGAGTGAAGAGACAAGCTACACTAGGTTGGAGACGCCTTGATAGATGTTAAATGTACTCATATCAGTGCCCTAAAACAGACAACATACAATGAATCAGTGATACTTCTTTTAGTTGATCATTTTATGACAAATATCACCTTGTTTGAGCTTGTTGTCTGCTTTTAATTTCAGTCATGGTAGTTTGCTGTCCTCCTCGCCAGTTAAACATGGACACAACGCAGTCGAGAGCATGTTAAAAATGTGCAAACCCTGCACTCTTAAAAAAAGCTCCACCAGATCTCCACTCATGAACTCTGACTCTAAACAACATTTGCCAACATTAAAAGTCTGATGACTGACCCTTCGTTGACAGCATGAGTTAAGCCCACATCAGTTTCACCAGCTTTAAGTCACTGGCCCCTAATCCTGAGATACTACACAAGTAAAACCACAGTTGGGGCCTTTCTCAATCTCCCCACCGCTGCTCAGTCCCAGGAAAAGTTCTGTTTACGTCAGACTCGCAGCTGAATCAATCACTCTTTATTAAGATGTAGGAACAAAACACTACGGTAAACTTTGGTCGCCTAAGTTTGTCTTGAAGGTTCTATATCATAGCATCATTAATGATCTACATCAGCTGATCTGTGAACCGTGAGATTAAAGACCCATTAATGCACAAAGTAGAGGGGGGAAAACAAGTTATCTGGATGACATTTGCAAAAATGTTTTCATTGTTCCGTCATGTTTTTAAACTGTAGCCCACTTGAGTATGGCATTTTCAATACTTAGACTTTATAAAGGGGAATACCATAGACTGTATATACTATGGACAACTTGTTCCCGCCTTCCACCAGTATACGGATTTAAAGCCAAAAAACTCTCAGTAATTTCGCGTTTTTTCTCCACTTCCTGAAACCAACGTATATTCTGTGTAATTATTTCTAAAGTTTGTCCATAGTCCCATAAGCTTTGCTGGCGGAGGTGGGATTTATGACCTATACTGCAGCCTGCCAACAGAGGGTGCTGTTCTCGGAGTGGCTTCACCCAGCGAGGAGGCAGATTCTGTCCATTCTATATACAGTCTATGGAAAATACGCACATTCAACAGTCTCATAAGTGTAGCTGCATAAACCATAAAAAGCAAATCCTGCAAACTATTTTTCGATGTTATTAAAAATCAATAATCAAAGTCATTGTCTGTTTGGTTTTATTATAGCATTGTGTCTAAAACGACATGTTTGCACTTGAAGTCAGTTAGGCTAAATCAGAGTAGACTCACTTTTGGAGGGTTTGATACGACTCCACACTCTGCAGTTTTAGATGTCTCCTAATGTGGTGGATCTAAAATACAACAACACAAAAACACAGTAGTGTGTACTGGAAAGAGTTTGGTGCTGGCCTTTAAAAAGTCCACGTTCTATTTGTGCCACCAGGAAGTGAAAAAGGCTCTCACTTCCTGTCTTACTCGCAGTCCTGTTTCCCTGCCTGCCCCCTGTCCTCCCCTGCCCCAGTCTGCCCTCTCAGGTTTTCCCTCTCTTTCTGTTTCTTTGGCTTTGATAAGTGTGTTTACTGTGGGATCAGGGTGTGGATAGTAGTGTTTGTTCCCTCTCTGCTTTAGCCTAACGCTCATTAAGACACACAAAGAGGTGGCTGATAACATTAAGCGTTTCCTGTTTGTCCAGGACAGAAGAACGAGGAGAACAAGAAGCAAGAGAGGAAAAGAAGCAGAAGAAAAGAGAGAAGGATAAAACTGTTGAGTTGGCAAAGGCATGCTGGAGAGATAAAACAGGCATTTATTAGACTTGTAAAGATCTAAACTTTTATGCACTTCTTTTCCGTGTGTTGCTTCCAAATGTATTCTTCCTCCTCTCCTCATATTTCTAACGTGTGTTCAGTCTTTTCTCCACTGTGAAGTTTTGAAAACAAATGATGAAATCCCAACTTTAGACACCTAGTGATCGCAACAGTTTAAGAATAAATACTAAGTAAACAGCCTCTCAAGAAGTGTGAGTGACTGTGTGTTACCCTCATGCTTTCTGCATAAACAGGCCTGGCTAGTGTGAGTGTTTTCTCTGCCACTCTGGACTTCCTCAGTTCTCTGAAAGAAAAATAAACTTAGATAAGGAAACAGTAATTCCTGCATCTCTTTGTATGTTTGAACGGTTTAGCCTCTAAGTATGTGGAGTTTAACAGAAAAAACATTTTCTTTCAAAAACCTTTAACATCTTTTTTTTTGTCTTATAACAGATACAATTGTTTTTTGCTCCACTGTCGCTGTTGGGGGGTCTTTACAATTTAGAGTCGTAAAAAGTTTATTAACAATTATCATCACAATAACAAATCCTGGTTGTACAAGAAGTTGACAAAATAAATGTATTAGTGGTATGTATTGACAATCGTGCAAAAACAATCAATCAGATGTTACTGAATTTTTTACTGTTTTATGAAAATATATGCTTATTTGGCTTTTGATATTCAAGCAGGGACAGGGACAACCAAACACTGCAAAAATTATGTTATGCTTACAAAACAGCCGCTGGAACAAATCCCAACTAATTGGGTTCATATGCAAAAGTTAGTTAGGTGACTGGGTATGAAAAGTGCATTCCAGAGAGGCTGAGTTTTTCTGAAGTACAAGTGAAAAAAAAAGTTCATCAGCCTGTGAGAAATTATGTGAACAAATTGTTCAACAATTTCAGAATAATTGTCCATTGTGTAAAACTGCAAAGAATGAGAATTTCGTCATCTTCACTGCATGATATCATGGAAAGATTCAGAGAAGCAGGAGAAATCTCTCTTTAAAAGGCTTAAAATTTAATACTGGGTTACTGTCAGGTCCTCTGCATTAAAACAGACACAACTCTGTAGTGGAAATCTCTCTATGGGCTTAGAATCGACGAGTCATTCACTGAGATCATTTCCATGAAGTAATAATCACCATAATAATCACTTTGCACTGCAGACTGGTAGTTCTTCTGCCTTAGCGTCTCAGTCTGGTTGCATTTCCATGAAGTAATAATCATAAATGTTCTTCCTAGAGCTGCGAAACTCCACTGCACTCAGTGATCAACTCGTCAGGGCTCCCCCTACAAACAAGCGGCTGCTGGAGGAGAGTGGGTGAGTTGTGTTTAGTCTCTTTGCTAAAGAAATCAGACAAAGCTAAAAAGATGTTTGGTGGCTAGTACTGTGGCTGGGACCCTATATGTACTGTTGATGAAGTTAGGTGCTGTTCTGAGCATTATTTGTAGCTACGAGTGGCTTTTTGGTTGAGATTTACTCGTGGAGTGGTAGACTGTTGTGTATTGCTATCGTGCAGTCGTAACTAAAGTTGGTATACCTAGAGGAGCAACCATCTCTCAAGGGGGTGTCTAACTCAGTGTTATGGTGTGTTTGACCCTAACTTAATTTTACGCTGAAATATCCCTTTAAGGATGAAAATATTAGAGGTTTCTGCCACTGAGAGAGGTAAGAATAATATGAACACTTCCTGCTGTATCCATTGACACAGTAACACACTTCTGTTTAAATGGGAATTACATGTTCCTGGGGATTACAGTCTGAGATCAAAGATAAAGCTCGATCAATGCAAAAAGAAAAGTAGGTTAGTTGGAAGGTAAGAAACAGAAGCAACATAGACCAAACTCCAGAGGGAGATAACCTCATTTCATGTTAGTCTTTTCTTTGAGAGACAAAGGAGGATGCTATAGACAGGAAATGAAGGAGAGGATGGAGGATGGAACAATGTACAGAATAAAAGGAAAAGAAACAGTGAAGGTCAGAGATTGGCACTTCTGCAATATCTCGGCCCTTTGATCAGCAGTGGCTGTTAACTTCAAACCCCTTATCTGCAACAAAGCAGATGCTCAGATGTCTTCAAACAATACTTCCTTTCTCTAGGGCCACAGCTGAAACCGCTTACTGCTCCAAACACACACACACACACACACACACAAACACACACACACACATAACAATAGTTTACTCGACTCTGAAACTCAAACCCAGAAGAAGAGCGTTATTAGACAGAAATGTTAAACAAGGACCAGATGGTTGCTCTCATTATAAAAGATGCTGCCATGTGTTTTACTATGATGCACAACCTGGAGTGCACACTGACTCTACTGATGTAGCATCACGCTATCACAACAATGTTGGACTAACAACAGACAGTGCATTAAATATCTGTTTGGCTTTCTGACTGAATCCCACAAGACCCACAGGAGTGACATAACTTTAGGCGATTCATCAGACAAAAGGCTTTACTGTAAACAACTTCAGTCACAACATGTGCAGCCGGACTCCTGCAGACATTTAAATGCATAAACTCAGTAAAGCCCCCCTTGACACTTAAAACAGCATAGATGTGATTACTACATGAAGTTGATCTTTTATCATCATAGGTGTGCCATTATGAAGCTAGTTTTAGTTTGTGAGGGGTCAATATGTTTGCAAAGAAGTGCAGTTGTGTTTATTAATACAGAGAATTATTAAATATCTACTCAGACTTTTACTAGAAAGACATGAAGTGTTGAACGAAACAGACAGACCTCTCTGTAACGCTTTATTTACCAAATGAGCCCATGTTAATGCATTACACTTACACTATTTGAAAGAACACTTGAACGCCACTTCAAAAGATTTTATAGTTTTCCATTTGTTAAACTGTTCGATGTGACTTTTGTTATTGTTTTAAAAGCCTCCTCTCTCTCCTTCGGCAATTCCACTTAGACTCTACAGAGAGGAGAATAAAAGGAAAGCAGAGTTGTGAATACATCGTCCATCAGCCCTCTTCTCTTTTCTTGAAGTTTTGATGCTTAAAGAAAAAACTCACATCATTCGACTTATCCCTTTGACCCCTCTAATTACCTTTTATTTTACTGCTTTCTAGTGCTTCTCTTAAAAACATCTGGTGTAGTTTCGGGAGAATATGAGACCACCACCGTGACTTTAAGGAGCCATTGTAGCCATGGGCTCAATCACAGACTCAGTGATATCATCATTTGAGCTCGTCAGAATAATGCCAAAGTTAAAATGTGTGCAACATATTGTCTGCATGTTTTTAAATTACTGATTACATGCTGGTTTTCATCACTGCCCCTCCTTACAACCGTCTTTTTACACAGTTCATTTCATTAGATGCACTCAGGATTGAAAGCTTCAGGTTTGATACAAAAATCCAGCGTCGGACATTTATGGGTGCAAAAGAATCCCAGTAAAAAATAGCTCTAGTGCAACGTTTCCTCCTGACACAAATAGCCTTTCCTGCACTATAAATAAACACTGCTGGACTTGGAAAGCAACCAGGCTCATAACACCCAAGGACTGCTCATAAAGTGATCGGACTAGGGCAAAAATAGTTTGTAGAATCCCTTTATTAAGCTTGAATAAAGATGCTTTCACATTTACGTGTACTTACACAGATTATTAATGACGTCAGTTTATGTAAAAAGAGTCAAAATAGAGTAAATAAGATAACTTCATGTTTATTAAGTTTATGATCATTCTGTTGGGCATTAAATCTCTCAAACTGGAAACAATGTTGAATGTTTGAAAACTCGACTTTAAATCTGTATTCATGAAATCGTCCATCATCCCCCGCCACTTGAATAGCACACAGAACCAAAAACACATCCTACAACTGTTTCAAGGACAAAAACAGCTCTCTAAAGTGTAAATCAAGCAGAGCTTTGCCTAAAGTATCTCATGTAGGGAAAGTTCTCACAGTTTTTTCAGGTGAACTGTGTCTAACCCTTCCTCCATCCATCTTCGAGCAGGAATATTGTTCCAGTTGTTCGGAGAAGGCCAAACTAAACAACCCGTCTGAAACAAACTGGAGGTGGGGGGCCTGGCTGCCCATATAGGGTTTCTCTGCTGCTCACAGTCACTTCCATCATCAGACTCTCTCCTCCTTTATCCTGTTTTTACTCCTCATTATTCCTTAATCTTGGTCTCTTTTTTTTCTCATTAGTCTTTAAAAACTCCTACCTCTTTTCCTCAACCTTTCATTCCAGCTGCACTCATTAAACTTATCAGCCTTCCTCTTTCTCTGGTGCCTCCATCTTTTTACTGCGAAAAGTACCGTCTCATGAGATTACTTCATCTTCATGCATTTCTGCACGGTATCATCAGACTCGTCAGTGTATTGAGTCACATTCTGCTACTTCCACAGGCTCATCTTTCTGGAGAATTGACTGAGATATAACCTGACCTGAAATGTATCTGAAACATAAATACACAAAAATACCCACAGAGCGGCGGAGAAGCTCCTTGCATCATCACTGATATCCTCACACCAACAACAGACGAGGAACAAGCCCATACGCAAACACACACCCACACATAAATGAGCATGCAAACACATGCACAGACACAAGGATCACACCCCGCCTGCCTACACACCACACTCAGTGCCTCATCTATCTGCTGACGGGCAGGTTTCCTGGCTGAATGTCTCCAGTTTATGTACACACAGACGATAAGAAAGAAGACATCCCACAGGCATTTCCTGCTTTAATTGGATCATTGTTTAAATATGCTCTGAGCTTTTTACCTCTGGCTTCTCACAGAGTTTTAAAACCACTCCACCGCATACTTTCGTGCATAAAAATGAAGGTCAACTGTACATTGCTTATGCAATCAACAGCTTTCTGTGGCGTGTAGTGTACAGTAGCAGCATATTCAGACCCTCTTTCTGCATGGCTGAGAATCAAGACCAGAACCAACACACAGAAAGACTCGTCATCATGAGATATCTGACCAGCTCAGCGAAGGAGACCAAAACAACAACATTTCACTGGATAATATTTACTTGCTGCTCATGCTTTCCGTCAACACTTGGATATTGTTCTCATGAGTCGAGAATGCATTTCCAAACTGAGATCGTTTAATTATATACCGCTGAGATGATTGCAGGTTACACGCAAAAGGCTGAATGCAAATGTTTGGTGTAAACAACCAGTAACATGTTTTAATTTATAGTCCCATTTAAAATAACTCTGTAGGAGAAAGCTTGAGCGCAGCACTGTTAACTGTGTGTCAGATCTGTTTTTCAAATCAAGGTTTTTGCACTTATTTTTCTCTCTTTTCAAAGGTAGAATGAACATTTGAATTAATTTAATCCTTATTTTTTCTACATGAGACTTAGAAATAGCAGAAGTGGCTCAATAAAGTTTCTGAAAACTGAGGATGACATCTTAAACTTGCTTATTTCATCCAACCAGCAACAATAATCCTCAACATTCATACTTTTACGAAGCTGAAAATATATTTTCAATGAACAATGGGCAATATGTTTTCTGCCAACTATCTGACTGATTAATCCTATTACCAATCACCTGGCTGTGATTGAATACTTGATTCTGATTGGGCAAAATCCACAACAATGATAACTCAATAAGAATGACCAGCGTTGAGGACGGTCAGATCCCACAGGTCGTATCATGAAAGGAGTTCAGCACATTCATGAAGATCATGATTTCAGTTCTTACTGTTCATACATTGGTAAACAACATGAAGAGAATATTTTTAGTATTACTCCTAATCTGTTTGGAGAGCTTGAGACTGGTGCTTGATGACTGCCACGTGAACAACAGAGAAACAAGGAAAATGGTGCTGAAACTAAAAAGGGGCGTGAAAGAAGAAGAAAAGACTGACAGAAAAGTAATGGGAGGACTTTATTCAAGTGCTGCTCTTGTTTCCTGCGTCTGCTAAGAATGGCGACGAAAGCTGATATTTAGACTCGAGTGAAATCGTTCAGTTTAATGTGAGTATGGTGCACAAGTACGCTGGTAAGAAAACCATTTTAATGGCAGGGTTATCAACTGTTGAATCTGAGGAGGGTGTAACTTTTTCAGATGCATGAATAAATTATTTGTAGATCAATACAATCATCTTGAAATCAACTCTTAGTTTCAACTCATTTGTACCTGTGGTTGGTAACCAGTTAATAGACCTGGATTTCTAATCCTCGACCTGCTCAATGTATAGTATCCTTTACCTAATATTGTGATCATAATTTGGTATGGTATTATGTTTTAATTGTAGCTAAATTACATCTCTCAACTGTCTTTCTGCTGTATTTCAGGATGCTTGAGACAGTACAAGGTGTTTAATGTATTCTGAATGAAAAAACTGAGAAAAAAAGTGATTTTTCTCTCAACACAGCCTTGAAAAACCACACTTTGCTCAATCTTATTTGCCTCCAAATAAACAACCACTTTGTCAAACGATAGCTGACAGCTTCACGCGATTGGTCGGCCTACTGTTTGGTCAAATTCCTGAATGTAAACTTGAATGCAGGACTTACAAATCCATAAAACATCTTTTCTTATCGACCATGATCTTTTGGGTTTGCATGGTTTGTGCATTTTTGTATTGCGATGATTATAAAAAATGTTAAATAAGCAGCCATATTAGCTTCATATGCCTTTTCAATTAATGTTGCTACTTCTTCAAAGTTCTTCTGCATACATTCAAAGATAAAATACTACAGAAGTGCGAACAATGCCACAGTTATCCCCCCAGACGTCCCCTGCCGACAATGACAACAATCACACACACACATGCACATTTACGTATACGCACACACACACATCCTTCCTCCTCCTCTGCCAGATTAATGTCGGGCCATCCCTGAGGTTTTAGTGTCTCTCCCGGTGCTAATACCCTTTCACTACACCCCGCCAGGACAAACCATTCAATGCCAAACCCAGACAGACTGGGCCAAACCAAACAGAGCCAAGTGGAAATACTTTAGGCTTCAGTGAAAAAAGAAACCCTCTATAACTCACTGACGGCTACATTATTGTGTCACTTTAAGATGAAATTCTGCAGTTTTAACTTCCATAGGAAAGTAGGGCACAACATTTCTCTCTAATGGCTCAATTTTCTTTGATGTTCTTAGAAGGAGGAGATATAACCATCAGTGCATAATGCATTATTTAGAAATGTTTTCAAATCATCAGCATGTGATATTTCTCTGCAGGGCTGCTCCACTTATAAAACTATAAACTCTTTACAATCCTTAATAAAACAGGCTCCATTCCTCCATCATATACCTATCTCAAATCAAATAGTTAAGATTTAAATAAGGGCCAGAACCAGTATGGTGTAACCTGAATGAACTGAAGCCATGAGACAGCTGTGGGGAGTGAGAGGAGACAGCATAATCCACACATCAATTAGACACACACAGTCTGGATGATAAGGGGAGGGAGTGTGTATGTCTGTGCATATGCTGTGGTTTCTAGACTATTTGTGTGTGTGTGTGTGTGTGTGTGTGTGTGTGTGTGTGTGTGTGTGTGTGTGTGTGTGTGTGTGTGTGTGTGTGTGTGTGTGTGTGTGTGTAAGCCTTGAGTAATCCTGCTCAGTCTAGCAGCTGGAGGAGGAGTTCTAAGTGGTGTTACAGTATGAAGGCTGGATGAGGATTTTTTAATACTAAAACCACTGTAAACCATTGAATACACGCATGAGATTGTGTATGTGTGCGCACAGCAGCGCAGTCAGCGAGTACTATGCTTGAGGGGGTGATAGTAAAAGCCTGAAAGTAAGATAATAGTCTAAGCAAATTAACCAATTTAGAGCAGCTCTGCTCTAACAGCAGGGATAGAGTTGTTAATGTGGTCTCAGAGGGTCGACGCACACTATGAGATTTAATTAAGATTTCTCAGAGTAATTACACATGACGGTTTTTTTCCGAGGTTTAGGTTTGGAGAGAAACTTATGGAAAACTTTTGTTTTGATTTTCACTTTTACATTTGAGATTGTTCATGTGCTTTGTGCTGTACCTAAAGCATTACAGAGAAAACGCAGTACATTAAATCCTTCTATAACAACTTCTTGTTTTCAGCTAAGGGTTTATATGTTTCAAATGGAGCTTAATGTTTGTTCAGAGTCCTCGCTTTGCTGACCTGATACATATTTAAACTGAAAAATACATTTTTCTATAGCTGATCATTTAAGAATTTGATATTTCTTTGTTTTGAAGTTAATTATATCAAAACCTACTCGATAATAGTCACAGCAGCATAAATATGTAATCAAAAATACTATCAATAATAATCTTTTCTTATTCTTAAAAATTAAAAGTATATAAAATAATGGAAAAAAAAATGTGATTTGCTGACTGAAGACACAATAGACAGTCATTTGTATTAGCAATGATAAATGCACGACTACCTCAGAGTGAACCATAGGCATAGATATTTTTGATGCATGTCAATGCTAAAACCGCTCCTGACGGCTTACTGTGTAGACATTGCTGCAGCAGAATGTCTTTAAGTCTGTCTGTGGTTTCTTGCCAATTCAAGAAACCAGATTATATTGTCTGCTTGTCGTAAACACTCACACATATGCACAGAGAGAGAGGGAGTGTGTAAGTACATCCCTATATTGACAAACTATGTGTTTTCTCTAGAACCCCTAAATGTCAATGGTGTATATTACTGACATAATTCAGGCAAACAAAGACAAACAGAAACAAAAGTCAAACAAATCCAACAGACAGGCACGAAAACATTTCATAACACACAGAGAAACAGAGACACTCACTCACACACACGGAATAATTCCTCTGATTCACTCTCTGGCCTTGCATAACACACCTGCCCACAGAGTCTGATAAAGCAATTCTGGTGTTTCTCCTGTTATGGTACAGGCTGCACAGAGTTTTCAGAAGACAAATTTAAAGCCCCACAACCATCCCAGTGCAGAAAAACACCGTTATTACAGAGTGAGCTGAATAATCTCTGATAAAATCACACATGAAGTGAATCTTTTGTGCAGCATAAAGCTGTTTCATATGCTGGTTTGGAAATGCATTAGCACCTTAAGCAAAGGCAGCATTTTCACACTACTTGCCCTTGCAGTACATTCACAGTGCAACATTTCAGAAAGCTGATCTACTTAACCTGCTGACACATTCTGCTGAGTCTGCCCAGCTGTACTGTTGTGAGCTTGCTTGTGTGGTATTTTTACTGCTCAACATATTTTCATATAACAAAGACATTCACTGTGAAGTTAAAACAAGCAAACATAAGGCCTTTTTAGTCTTTATCATAGAGGGGGTGAAATCTGAGGAAAAAAAAGACTCAACTCAACAAAAACCCTGAAATATCTGTGACCAAACAGAACGACTACAAGACTCTGCAAACACTGAAACTTTAACAAAAAGGGATCAAACCTCAAGATATCAATTGTAGCTGTACCGCTGCAAGAAAATGTGGTTCAGTTCATCAAAGGTTTGGTGATATATAAACAGAAACATAACAGGTGTACCAAATGTCACTCGTAAAGGCGGCACCTTCTTTTGGTTTGCCACTTTCAGGGTCCCTGAGGCATGTCACTGCCATGGCTTCCTGTGACATTTTAACAGAACGCAGCCATTTTGATTTTCATAAGCTACAACTTTGCTTTTTATTGCAAGGGCAAGACAAAACTGACAGTGTTGAGAAAACTCTGGTCTGCTCTCCTTTTCTTTGTATTTCCATCAAACATTTATCTGGTCCTGTAAGCAAATGCGCCCAAGTTTATCATCTATTTGTCACTAAAGTTTCCGCCACTGCAATAACATCCATTGTGTTGTGGCTCACCTTGGTTATGCAAAGCTTCTACAGCATAGCAACGTAAAATAATATCAAAATCTAAACACCATCTATCTACCCGAAAAATGCAACCAGTATGTTGTTGTCAGGCCATGTTATTAAGTTCAACACTTAACTCTTGAACTGTGTGTATCACATTACAGTGATAACAGACCTTACTGTCTCCTACAGTCTCATTCTTCGCATTTCTACCTTATTTAGCCCTCGTTCGTTGAGGTGTTGGAGTGAAAGTTTGGCTCGGTTCACTTGGCAGGTCAAGAATCCCAAAAGTGAAACAATCAGTAAAGATCTGACACTAGAGAGCAGACCTCATTTTCAGGAAATGTCTTGACTTCATAGAAAAGTCATGTACGAAGGCATTAGGTTTCTGTTATTGTATTTTAAAAAACGAAGGGCTGTTAAAGGGGGAACATTCCTGTGTAATCTGTCACCGACAAGCACCGCCAAAAATAGAAGCAAGGAGATATTTTCTTCCTATCAAGGTTGTTCAGGGTTTTCTATAAAAAGCAATGTAATGACTTTTGGCTGAGGGGATAAACATGCTGGTCTGCTGAACATTTTTGCTGCATATCTTAATAGTGGTCATTAATTTCAATCACCTCATGTAGTGAAGGGCTGGCACTATTTACCCAGAATTCCTCTAGAGTATGAGTTACTTGTATCTGCTGTTTTTAAAGACCTCTGAGCAAATTTATTTTTATTTTAAACTGTATCAAGGTGGGTTTTTTTGGTGTATAAACATAATGCAGGTTTTTTTGTATGCAGCTGAATTATTTACCAGTTAGTGTAAACTAAAGAAACTCAATGTACACAATGTGAGAGAGACAGAGGTATGGATAGAAATTGAAAACAGGATCCAAATAAAAACCAGTTCCAGCTAGTTTGAGTCAGTGACATTATTTGACTCTATGCTAAGCATCTCCCTTATCCATACACTAAACAATTAACACATTACAAGAGCCAGTCAGCACAAATAACAACAACGTAAGTAAACATGGCAGATAGAAGACGGACACTCTGCTACAAAACGTTGTGATATTCAACATAATGCTTATAATACCCCCACTAAAAATAAAACTGAACAACAAATCCACTTTATCCATGAGGCCAGTCGCTTTCCAGCAATCTAACCTCTGTGTGTGTTTCTGCAAAATCAAGCGGCTTTTCTATCCGACAGAGAAGATCAGTGTGTTTTCAGAGACGGTTCAGATCCAATCCTTCATGAACGAAGGTAATCTGTGATGATTTATGTAATAATCTTAGTGATTTAGAGTGATTTCTGCTGATAGCTGACTATGCCAATGGAAGGATGCCATCTCTGCCATGGTCCGTCGACCAATCAGAGGATGTATCTACGATAAGCTATCTCCTGCTTATCTAGACTAGTTTCTCTATCACAGCAGAGCAGTTTAAACTTGTAACTTGTTAAGAAATTTGTGTTGACACAGAAAACCTGTTTACACCTACTCGACTCAGAATATCGACAAGAATTGATTAGGACATAAATAAAGATTTGGATCAATAAGCAGCATTGATAATGGCATTGTTATACATAAAATCTTATCAGTTCCCCAAAGGCAGTAATATTGACTTTGACATCAGGCTGGCCTTGGGTCCATTATATTTCACTCAAAAATCACATGAACCTGCTTTTGCAGTTAGATCACTTTTCAAATAACAAAAAATAATGACTCACTGTTCGTGTGCGGTCTTATTATGTAACAGGTTTGCGCTTTGACAACATGAAAATTTGCACGTCAATCAAAATAACTGCCACCAGTTTGAAATGGTCGTCTTAACTTTCATAACACCATAATTCAGTCACTTTTTTTCTCAATGGTGTCACACTAAAACAAACATTCATTCAAATTAAAGAGACTAACTGACTTGCTATTTAACATCCAAGCGATCAAAAGTGACAATGTACGTGGGTGTGAGGTCTGCAAAGGCATGCATGACTGCAAATGGCTTCACTCGTGTTTCTAAGCAACATTCACATCCAACACTTTTCCCTTTCTTGCCTCATGCCGCCTACGGCTGGCTGTTTCCAGGAGGATAGGCATCTCACACCAAAAGCATCAGCCTCAAACTATTTACAACTTTCACTGGTACATGCAGGTTTGACTGGAAAACCCACAGTTTAGGTGAGACCGCTCCCAATCCAGTTTCAGTACGAAGGGGGGAACTTAGAGATCTTGCAGTTTAAAGCTGGATTCCAGATTTTTTGGAACAATGGAGGCTATTGTGCTCCCCCACAAAGCTAACTGAGCAAGCAAAAATTTACCAATATGAGGCTCCAACACATGTTAAATTATAGGCTATTAAAGATGAAATCAGACGCTTAAATTATCCCCTGTTCTCTGCTAATACGTGTAAGTGACCCAAGTCTTAACTAACTGTTTAAAGTGTTTATTCATTTGTGCTTTAAAAGGATCTGCAAGTGGATCTCTACTGATTTAATTTCGCTCTCTACAAACCCAGGCATCACTTACACCTCATGATATATTGTGGATATAATTGAGTTAAAGCAGAGCTGAACTCCACCTAACTCTCCCTCTGTGGGACTGTCTTTCTGGTCAAACCCTGACATTTTACCAGAGATCACCATCCTGCCTCACCACGCATACCTAACCACATGGAAACTGTCTACATGAACAGTATGTCTAACATTGATCCCTTCATTTGCCGACTTCTTTTCTCCTGAAACTTCCTCTATTCCCTCAAAACCTTCTCCGTTCATCCCCACCCCTAAAAAAACTCCAGATTTTTCCTGTCTGGCTTTTGGCTCTGTGTCATTCCGGTCAGTGTGACAACAGATGAGTCAGGCAAAGTGGAGACGCCTCACTTCCTGTGAGTGTGAAGTATCATAGACTGAGTGAATGACTAAATCAACAGGAGGAAAATTTTCACTGAAGACTGAATCATAGTTAGACGGATTAAATCCTCATATGGAGCAATCCAGAGAGAGTATGTGAAGGTATTTGTGGTCTTTGTAATTGCTTGAAAGAATTCCCATCACAGGGACCAGTTACCTTCAAAATGACTCAGCGTGTCTGTATAAAATGGGGCTAAAGCATAAATCCCAGTTTAAAACCCAGTGACCCAGTTTTTAGTTCTTTAACTTCTTATGGTTCCATTATTTACAGCTGACATGATATCACAAAGTCTGGTAAAATAGCACAATTACTGTATTCTATCAACAAAGGCATGGAAGAGGCTAAGGACTCTTAATACCAACATGATAATTGAAATCTTTTTTTCTAATCTTAGAAAAACGTCTAAGTTATGAAGTTTTGACGACTCCATGATAAAAAGAACTGCCATAAATCATCTACTATGACTTAACTGTGCATACACAGACACTGACTCAGCCATGCAAACACAAAAGTGCACATATACACACACTTGACATAGCTGTGAACACATGTTACAGTACTTACATCAGTTTTTCTGAACTTGGCTTTAAGGCTCTTCATGTTCAGTCCGGTCCATGCAGTCACTCACTCAATCACTCAATCAGGGCTGTGGAGGAAAAACACAGATGTTTAGACTTACTTATGTTTGCTCTCTTTTCAAATGTGATTTACATTTCCTGGAGACTAAACTACTGTAAATGGAAAGAACTTCATAATGCTACACACACACAAGATACAGAGGCAGAGTGTCATAAGTTTATGAATACATGTGCTTTCATTGTTATTCAAATTCAAACCTGTTGCTGCTATCCTTCTTTCTTTTGTTTCCCTTAAGGATGTTTGAAATCTCCATTTAACCCTAAAGGATGTCTTGCAAATGTTTTTTTGTGCCTTTACAACCCTGAAAATTTCATGCCTGAAATAACTTCTCAAAACATCCTTGTGAGGAGCATTCAGATCTGTTTTTTCCAACCTGCATACTCCATCAATAATTCTTAGTTTTTTGTTTTTTTTTCTACTTGTACCACACTTCAACCAAGAGCAAAATGTAAGCAGTTAAAGCCTCTTTGTAAGTATGAATAGCATTGAAGTCTTGAAGGAGAGATATCGCAAAATGTTTGCTTTTATAAATGTTCTGCAGGTATGAGGCAAAATACAGATTTCCAAGAGTCTGCGTGGGCAGAAAGTGATGTGCAAGAGGGGGTGTATTGTATGTGGGTGCCTCAAGGACAGCTATGTCTGAGCTCCTTTGGCGAAAAGCCATCCAGATTAACCTAAATGTGCCGTGACAAATTCAATGTATTCATCAGTTCTTTTGTTGAAATTGATGTAGAATTTCTGGTCCTACAATGGCAAATGATCGAAACACCATATAAAGTACTGTAAATGCAGCCTATATGAAGATCTTATAGGCCTGTATGGAAAAATTTATAATCAGAGCAGATGTGTAATTTTTAATCTTTAGTCTCACTGCATAAGCAAACTTCCACACAGTCTTTAAAGTACCTACCTGTGCACATTTGCATATTGCTGCTTTAGTGAAACTGATGCACAAACAGGGGTACAACCATAGTCGGTATAGTCTTTGGGTTCAACCCGTTTAGCACAAAAAGTATGAAATGCGCGCGACGTTTATCATTGCACACCAGTTATTTGAATATCAATTTGGACGAGCGACTCACATGCAGTCTGAATTACCAGAAACCATTTGCTCATTTGGACACTTTGCTGTGTCTAGCCACCGTTTATACCCACATGATGTGAAATAAGTGGACAAACTTACCCCGTAATGAGTTGAAGTCTCGAGAACACCAGACACACAACCGCTTTTTTTTGGCCAAAACCTGATTAGCTACCGAACCGGTGAGGGAACAGCGAGTCGTTGTGCTGCTGAGCCGAGCAGGAGGATGCAAAAACGGACGAAAAAAATAGAAGCAGTGCTCCTCTCCACACTGGCCGGACTCGGACTCGTCCAGCATTCATTAAAAGTTGAACTGTTCCCGGAGTCCTGCCTCCTGCCTCTCGCTCGAGACTCAACTCCACTCAGCGGCTGCTGCCCGGTTTAGGAAAGTGACGTCACTCCCCAAGTGCTCTCGTGACCGCCGCGGCGAGTGAGCCCTCTCCTGTTCTCCATTGTTTCCCATGCATGTTCTGGTTAAAGGGGCATTTCGCACAAAACTACAATTAAACGCCTCTTGTTGGTTTCCCAGAGTAAAATAAAAAATATTTGCAAACTTGAATTCACTGTACTTTGTAAATTCGCACCAATTTTATGTTCTTGGTCTTCTCTATGAACTCCCATGACCCCCACCCCAATCCCCCCAACATGGCTGGCTGCCCTACTTCCATGCAGAGCGATTTCCAAAGGGCTATAGGCCTAACTGTCTCATATTTCACGTCTATTCTTTATTAAACCGTATAAATCAGTCCATTTTCCAATTCCTTTACAAGGTATCGCAGTACTGCACTTCATAAAACTGAAGGAGTTAATAACAGAGGCCAAAATATTTGACTGTAGTCTTCATGGGGCCCTAAAAAGCTAGATTACACATTACCCATAATGCATATCTGACTTGATCAAACCTCTCCAGTGTCATGATGCTTATATAGATATTCAGAAGGGTGTGCAAGATCAAAATCATGATAAGGCAGATTACGAAGTAGGCCTAGGACTCAAGTATATCAATATCAAAACTCCTAAACAGAGTTAATTTATCAAGAATCATTCAAAGTTATGAAGTGCAAAACTCGTCTCAAGGTAGACTCTCTGCCAGTTAGACATGTCATATTGATGATGGGCCTGTTATGCAACAGCACAGCAGTAAAGCACATCAATGCAGGTAAGAACATGTCTGAACTGTCAAGAGTGTAATGTTGACTTTTTTGTCATCTGGATGAGATCACAAAAGGATACCTGCTTCTCTATCATAAACCTAAACCAGTCATTTAGATGTTTCGGTTTGTGATTTACAGGCAACACCTGCTAAATAAAACTCTCTAATTGCAGAATGAACCATGCATAAACCTGAAGTCTTAGGTGTCTATCCAGATTTTCTGAAAGCAGTATCTCTTGAATTATGTAACCTGGGAATCTCACTGTAAACTGTAACAAAAAAGAAAGTGCGTCCAAAAAAAGACACAAGGGGCAGATATAATTGTTCATAGGTATGTCTGCATCACAAAGGTGTGGCACATTTTCTCTTAACTATTGACTCAACAAGTAGTGTGTCTGGAGTTTATGGGCAAACAAGAATGTAGGCCAGGGTATAAAGTCATCACACAGGCAACATAGAGACATCTAGTGGTTAAACTGTTCACTACAATATGTTATATCAACACCTAAAAGAGATAAGAGCACAGTAAAATGTTTTCAAAAATTAAATAGATTTTGCCTTTACAAAAATTAGCCCAAAATAATGAATTATCTTTATTCATACATGACAAATTATTTATCTACTGTAGCCCAGTGGTTATTCACTTGCATGCCTAACCTAAACGTAAACAATTTCAGGGACTTTGTCAATAAGAAATTATTTGTCTTTCTTTTCCTCAACGCCCTGCCCGAGTCCTTGACATAACGATACCCATAAGACTAAAATGACTTGAATGATTGGTAACATGGAAATATGAACTTGGTTTAAAAAAGTGTCTGGAGGCTCTGAAAAACAAAAGAGGATGTATTTCAGGAAACTATAACCTGACAAAGTATGAAGAGAACATCGCTCTGTTGAATTTCCTGCTCACTTGTATTGAACAGTTTGTGGTTATTTTTTAATTCTCTTGTGGGCCTCCACAAGCCTTTGATGTACCAGTAACTTTTTAGAAAGCCATCCAGTTTATTTACAAATTTTATTTAGTTCATCTACCCAAGGAGCGTAAAGAGACAAATGAGTAATCGATGCTTATTCTCAAATATCTATAAACCAATGCTCACAAATGAATATTTAATTTGCCTCTTTGCTTGCTACCTGAGCTTAATGCAACAGAAATGAAAACTGTCCTTTTTTTTCTCACAAGATAATTGTGCAAAAAAATCTCTGGTTATGTTTACACCCAGATAACCTGCTCAAGCCCAGTTTCAACAGGGTTATGCAAACATCCAAGAGCTTGATTCAACTGATTTGACTCCCTCCTGGTTAATGTTATTCTGATTATCTTCTTTTTTTTTTTCTTTTTTTTTTTCTTTTTTACATGTCAAATGTTTGAGGACACACATCCAGTGATTCAAACCCAGATAAGTTTTGTTTAAACATTGCTCTACTGGAGTATTGCTGGGACCCATTCCTGAATGAAAGTGGGCTATTACAGTTATAAGATGATTTTGTGTCCATTGAATTTATTAGTAAAATTAGTTGTAATCTTATTTATCTCATGAGATTAAAATAAACACCACCACATAATAAAATAAATAGACTTATTGACCAAATTCAAAACAAAATGGTCCACAAAAAAAACTGTGGTTTCATAAATGACGTCAGTGACATGTGATTGAAGCCAAAGAGTTAAAAACTACAAGATTTTTCTCTCAGTGGCGACAGGAACCAATTACGAGCTCAACTGGAATTTGCCTAACCGTCCTCAGATTATCCCTTAAATCAAATTTTAGCAGTATCTATTACAACATGCAATTATTTTTGCCTCTCTAAAGAAATCCCCGTCTTTTGTTTATCTCGGCTCAGTGAACCAGTCAACCACACTGACATTGAAACCGGAAGTGGCAGAACGCTACTGTCTTGCACCGGATGTAGCTCTTCGATTCGTCGAGCAAGTTCTTCGGCCATCAAAACAAACACGCACTGTGGCTAATGTCAGTGAAAGAAGCACCATTTCATATCAGCCTGCCGTATCATCATGGCACTGAAATCATGTTGTACATACAGCATCGGAGTTTTTTCTATACTAGTTTTGATCCTGGGCATTTCTTTGGTCCTGTCTAACGTGTTTCCTCACTTTTTACAGTCGGTGGTTGAAAAGGTAAGTGTTTTTAATGATAGCAATGTTGTATGTTGCGTGAGAAAGAAGCTACTGTGATTAAATCTAATGTTGGACATTTCTAATACAGATCTTGTTATCTAGCCTGACAAAACAATAAAGAGAAACGGCGCTGTTTTATTGCGCCACTTTAACTGACAACAAATGCTTCATATAGCCATAATTTAAGGGTGTGATATTAAGTTTAAGGATTTATTAAAGATTGTTTTGTGCCATGTACTGTCAATTTTAACAACCAGTCTTAAATCCCGCTTCGGGCATTTTTTTCAGGCAGGGTGTGGTGTTATAATGAATTCAAGACGATGTTTGTTTACAGCACAAACACCACAAACTTGTTTTTTTTATGTATATTACGTATAGTTATTCAGTTATTCAGATTTTTTATATATTTTTGTACCCTCACCCCTTTGGCCTCTGTAAATGTAACATAAATAGTCTACAAAGATAGCAAACACTCATGGTGGTTTGACCATGCAGCAGTGGCTTTTGTCATATGATGGGAGAAAAGCCAAGTCAGCAGCAGATTATTTCGTCTAAAGTCATGCCTTTTTTTCTTTACTCTGCCGAACAAGGTAACCCACTGCTCTTTGTCCCCTGCAGGAAGTAGTTTTAAAGAATGGCACGGTGGCATTTAAGGCCTGGGAGAATCCACCAGCTCCTATTTACATGCAGTTTTACTTCTTTAATGTGACCAATCCCCTGGAGGTGTTAGATGGGGACAGGCCTGCTGTGGTGGAAGTCGGACCATATACATACAGGTGAGAGTGGAGCAGAACCAGAAGTGAAAATAGGACAGTGACTAGAGAAAAACTGCAGTATACAGCGTGTCTACAGGAGCACCTTTTAAAGGCAAAATGCTTCCTTTTAGTTTATAAAACATTAAAACCTTGACACCACTGATATACAGCCTGACGATAACTATTTTTGGGTGAATTTTTTGTCCCTGGCTGACCTTAAGTAGCTTCACATTTACTACTCATCCAATTGACCTAAAGCCTGCTAACCCTCAAGATATAAAGGTGCCTGAGAGTGGATGATTAGATTAACTTAAAGACACAGACAGTAGTGAAATACAACAGATCCACGAAACAATGCTATCAACAGGTTAGAGCATGCAAGGTAAACCAGTGTACACAATATGATAGAAATGTTTGAAAGTGCAAAGGCAAAGATGCATCCAAATCTATCAATTATATATGAAGCATTCCTGAATTAAAGAGCCTAAAGTTGGCACACTGTGACCTAGAAACTATCATCAGGGTTTAATTGTGATTTTTTTCTATTTTTTTGTTGTTATAAAGCGATACATGTGGTCTTGTTCTCATTTGTTTGAAACATTTCCTTTCACCTGATCTCTACACTTGACAAAGTAGCTTTCTCAGCAGTTTGTCTCGTTGACAAAACAAGAATGTCATCAATGAGACAGACGTATTTGTTCTTCCCTCTTTTCTGAAGCATTTTTCTGTGTCAAAAGGCAGCTCTTCACAATGACTGTATCACAACCTTTTTAATGATTGATTTCATCTTTGTGGTCCACTGGCACATTTCTTGATTTCATGTTATTCTGTAAACCCAGATTTGGTAGACAGCATCATGCTAGAAGCTAAATAGTCCAAAAAACATTATTGTGGAGCACTTGAGGAAGAGACTCAGACTTCGGGGTCATCAGTGAATGTAGCATAGTAACTGCAATGTTGCTCAATAACTGCAAAGATGATTATTAAGGTTTTTTACTGTCATGTGGGATGAATCACGGGAGTTAAATATCTTAAGAGGAACAGCTCCTGTCTTGCATCATGATAAACTTTGACCGGCTTTGGTGACAACTTTTTAAGCACTGATTTGCCATCTTGTCTCTGGAAATTGTGCTGCAAATACTGCGTATATTGTAACTTGGAAATTACATTGTCCTACACAGAGAGTACCGGCCCATGGAGCAGGTGAACTTTCACAGTAATGGCACTAAAGTTGCAGCCGTCAACACAAAGACGTACATATTCCAGCGGAACATGTCCGCAGGTCCAGAGAGTGACCTCATCAGGACAATCAACATCCCTGCAGTGGTGAGCCAGAATTTCATAAGTTACCGGGGTTGTCTGGTCAAACATCCAAGTTAGAAGACAGTTGGATTTGCATGTAGCAAATGAAGCATTACTGCACCCACACGAATTAGGGAATTATTTATTTGTAGCACAACAAAATAAATTTAGTTAAAACATCCAGGAGGCACCGTATTGGCTAAAATCTGGGGATGGTATACAATATGTATTACAATATGGGAGTTGAGGGGTTCAGTATTTTTCCAAAAATTGCAAAACTTTGAGCAAAAATAAAATTGTTATTATAAATTTTAGGAAATCACAGTTTAAATCAGATTATAAAATGATATGTGACTGCATAAATGCTTTTAGATCTTAATTTATGTTAATTCCAGACCTTTGAATGTCATGGCAGTACTTGAAGTATACTGTCCAAATGTGTTAACATGTTTTTCAGCTTCATATTTGCTGTGCTCTGTTGCATTATCATTGTGTAACTTGGTTTATCCTTTAGGGTTTTTATGACTTAGAGTAAATGATTCATAGTATTTTGTAAACTTTCTGTTTTATTCCCATGAAATTTAGTGTTTAAAATATGAGGATGTCTTCAAATCAATCATTTTCCTTTTGCAGGCTGTGATGGACAAATTTAAGGATGATTCTATTGTAGCCAGTCTGATCGCCTCCTACATGAGGGCCACAGACACGGGCCTGTTCACCACCCGCACAGTGGGACAGCTGCTGTGGGGATATGAAGACAGTCTGCTCAAAACCCTCAGAACTTTTGAACCTGATCTGGATGATCATTTTGGACTGTTTTATAAGGTACATTAAAGCATTTATCGACTTTATTTCACAAAAATGTCTAAACCAACATTTTAAACTCGTTACAAAACTCTTTGTTTTCTTCTCTCAGGCTAATGCTTCCAACGACGGGGACTATGTGTTCTTCACCGGTCAGAAAAACTACAAGGACTTTGCAAGAGTGGATACCTGGAATGGGGACAGGTAAGTGTCTTCTACCACCTTAAGGCCAAAAAACAACAACTAATGGAGATAAATGTAGCTTATTAGTCATCCCTATTGATTACAAGTAATTTCAATGGATTAGAGAAAACTCTATCTTTGCCAGACAGGAATGTCATCAAGGTTTGTTTTGTCTTGTCTGATAACATTGAGGGATAGCAGACTGTTTGTGTTTCATATTGATGTCTTATCTTTTCATACATTGCTTGTTATTTAAAGTTAAAGTGACTTCAACCTTCATTATAACCTCAGTTTGATAAGAGATGAGAGGCTGTGTAAAATGTTCATAAAAATAGAATTTGACGGTTTGTGAATTTGTGTGGTGTTTACAGAAGACCTGGAGGAAAAACATCTTGCAGCTAACTACATAAAAATGACTAGCCTAACAAGATTTGAGTTGTTATGAAAACTAATTATACACTAATTATATCCTGTGTGTGTTTGCAGCATGCTGAGCTGGTGGACATCTGATGAGTGCAATATGATCAATGGAACCAATGGGGCGTCTTTCCATCCAGTCATCACAAAAGATGAGAAGCTCTACATGTTCTCCTCTGACCTCTGCAGGTCAGCAGCACACTGTTTAAGTCTTACATGACTGAAGCTTCTCATACGGGTCATTTGGCATCAAAAGAGAGCATGCATATTTGTGAATAATTTTATATTGGCATTGGTATGACACTTCATGATGAGTCAGCTAACCACCTTTGTGACGCTGCTTAAAACAACTAGTAAAGACTCACTTTTACTGGACATAAATCAGAAGAAGGAGTTGGACGTATGCAGACAGTCAAAAGGTCATTCAAGGGTTTATGAGGCAGTTACATGTTTAAGACCAGAGCAAGAATTTAAAACGCTTTTAAAACCTTTTTCTGTGCAAAAAGTATGAACACACTTTCTCTGTCAATGCAGATGTACTTTGTAAGCCAGATTTATTACCAGGAATGTACTGTACTGTAGTGTACCTATTCAAGGAATTTGCTGCTTGACATAAACAGGAGGGTATTTAAAATAAAAGCCGGAGGGATTTGAACACACACATTTTGTTAATAAAGTTAGATCAAATGAAAGAAAAAGTAAAATCTTTTCAAATATGGAAGAAACGTTTCTCAAAAGTGTGGCACAGTTTGTGCAGGATACTACGAAGGAAGTATAAGCAATTTCAGAGAGAGTGCTCTCAATTTTCTGAGATAATAAGCTTTGTGGGTTAATGTAGTGCCTGATGTTTCAGATCGAAACTCTGTATTTGATAATGTCGCATTTATATAACAGACAAAGTCAGATGAGTCTGTGTCACAGGAGGCCTCGATCGTACTAAATGGGGAAATGCTTACAGATGTATCTCATGTGTCGCTTTGTCTCGCAGGTCTATCTATGCTGTGTTCCAGGAGGACGTGTCATTGAAAGGGATCCCTGGGCTTCGCTTCAGCCCTCCTAGCGAAGTGTTCGCAAATCTGACTGTGAACCCAGCCAACGCGGGCTTCTGCGTACCTGCTGGCAACTGCCTGGGCTCTGGTGTGCTGAATGTCAGTGTCTGCAAACAAGGTGAAAGTTAAACCGAGCCGAATTTCACATCGTTGTATTGGAAACTGTTTTCATTATGATTCTCTTTTCTGTGAATTTGCTGCTTAAATTCTTCATCATGTCGCTCTGTCTCTTGCGTTTTTAGGAGCCCCCATCATAATGTCGTCGCCGCACTTCTACCAGGCAGATGAAAGATTTGTTGAAGATGTTTTTGGAATGAGGCCCAGGAAGGAGCTGCACGAGACAACAATTGATATCAACCCGGTGAGATTTTTCAGCTTTGATCATTTAAGTTTTAATCAGCTCTATGGTTAAGGTGTGTGCCTCATGTAAAGAATCTACAATCCTGAATGTGTGTGGACAGGGTTTGGCATGGAACTTTGGCCCTTTGCCTTCAAACACTCCCTACTCTTCATTCTCAGCTTCCTGCTCCTCTTCTCTGCTGTTGATCCTAAAGGCCTGAAGAACTAAAAGATTATCTTCATAAAAATTAGTTCAGTTAGTTGTTTTAATCACCCAAATCTCACCTGATCGCTCTTGAGCATGAAAGAAATAGTTAAGGATGTATAATATGTGTTTTTTTTTAAGCTATCTTGTATTGGTTTATTTGACAAGACAGTGACTCACAGCCACCACCAGATGGCAACCTCTCTCAGCTTTGTGACATAAAGCTAAACAGACAGGAAGTAGACATTCTCATGTTTTCAAAGTAGAAGTCAAGCATTCGAACAGGGGTACATGGAGCAGAGCTAAACGCCAGAGATAAGCTCTTATCATGTGTTATTCTGTGATAGCACGGCTGAGAATGTTGTAAATCACTGATAAGGAGAAACAGACTGACAAACACTTCCAGGAGCGTAGTATGTCCTTTGACATCTGATATAGTGCAGGTTTGACTTCCCGTCATGTATACATCCCTTATATTCTGGTCTAGTCCTGCGTTTGACAGAGCAGACAGACTAAAGGCCCACCAGCAACAGGGACAAACTGCAAGTCCAGGAGGTGATGCAAGATGTTTAATGGTATATTTTCTCTTCAATAGACAGCCATGCAGAGATTCCTTTCAAAGGAGACACTATTGAACTTCTTTTATTGTGTTTTTTTAGTGCCCACACAGTTTGGATCCAAAAGCTGCAGCTTAGTCTTGAATTAGAAAGAAATAAAACAGGAATCTGTGCGCATGACATAACAGAGGTGCTGAAGTGGTTTAGGAGAAAATCATTTTCTGCATTTCTCCAACCAGACGTACAGCTGCACCTCAAAAAGTCTCACCACAAGTTTTCACTTTTTCCCGTACTACTGTGTTAACCCTGCAGCTCCATGAGGTCAAAGTCCTGCAACTGCTGTCATAAATACTGAGTCGCAGTGCCTTACACAAACACACCGGTGGAAAAACATCAAAGAAAATTTATTGCAAGCTTCCCGGCTGAGACGTCATAATCATGCTACTCACGGTTCATATATGTGCAGAAAGAAATATTTGCAAGCATTAAAATCATCAACATGATATTTGATCTTTGTGCAGTGTGTGTTGTAATGAACTAGAAAGTGCATGAGAGTGACATGAGTGTGTTACATCCTGGACACAGTCAGTATTATAAAGTTTCTCTCAAACTTTGTCTCCTTAACTAACATCAGTTCTGTTTTGCAGCTGACAGGAGTGATCCTACGAGCAGCAAAGAGGCTCCAGATCAACGTCTATGTCCAGAAACTATCCACCTTCAGGTAATCAGCTCTCATCAGTCTCTCCCCTGTTACCGTTAACCCTGCTGTCACCGTGTTGACTTTAATGATGCTGGAATAACTCTGTGGCTACAATAGACCAGGAAATACTGCCAGAGTGATACTTTAACACTCTTGTGCCACCATCATCATTATTAATGGACTTTTGGACAGACGTGCCCCGCCTGTTATACGTGTACTTGGCATCTGAAGGAGCCAACAGCGATATGATCTGGAGAGTAGACGGTCCATGAATATAGTGCTGAACTTTTTCTCATGTACAAAGAATTAAAGTCTCCTTCCTCAAATGCTTCTTTTTGATGCAGTCAAATGGATGAAATAGATGAACAGATATGTTAACACAGAAAAGCTATTCTTGTGACAGAGAATGAAAGTGTAAGGTTACTTCAGTAGTTTAATCACATAAATTCAGCTGAGCATATGACGCACGGACGGACCAAACGCTGCTTAAAAAGGTGTTGAATCCAACCAAGTTTTAGACTTCAGGGGTTCCCATGAATATAGATATTTGAATTCACTGTGGGACATATATTGATTGTTTCATTACCAAGATTTTTGATCTTGTTTCAAGTGTAAATTAAATCATTTGAAGTCTGATTGATACTGTTCTATTGACGTCAAAGATGCGTGTTTTGTTTCCCTCTCTCAGTCAAACAGGAAACGTGAGGACAGTGGTGTTTCCAGTGCTTTATCTAAACGAGGTACGAAAACACAAACACTCTGGTTCATCACTCAGTCTTTATTCTTGTACTGAACCATCAATAACATCCCATCAGGACCGAAATCTGAAATCTTGACATTGCTCACACAGTTAACAAAATTTAAAAGTAATGGACATTATTTCTAGACTGAGCTTTTATATTTTTGATTTTTGCACGTGAGAATGATTTTCTACCTCTAACGTCTCTCCTGTTGCGTTTTCAGAGCGTCACCATTGATGACGCATCAGCTGTGGAGCTGAAGTCAGTTGTTACCCAGCAGAATGTCGTGGACAGCATCCCCTTCATGCTAATGGGTGTCGGTGTGATTTTAGGAGTGATCTTTATGTTCCTGATGTGTCGGCAGAAAACCCCAGAGGTGAGTGTTCGAAACACACATGATAGGCGAAGAATAAAAATTTGTTTGTGTTTTTTACTGAAAACGTCCGCACATGTTATTGGATAGATATATATTATAACTTGATACTTGAGTCCTCTGTTACAATAACATTATTTTATCTTTTAGAGCACTGAAGCTGAACGCCAGCCTCTTCTGTCGTCGTAGCACCAAACAGAGAGCAAAAGAAGGAAGATAACCACAACTGCAGTATCACACATCATTTCAGGCTTTTATTGAATCCACTATTTCTACTTTATCCAAATAACAGTTTTCATTTTACACTTTTAATACCACAGTTTATTTTTTATCTAAAGGTTTTATGAAACAGAGTGAAGGTACAGTGTCCTCTTATCGTGTTGTTTGTTACAGTGTTGGGCGTAATGTTGTTTTTGGTTTGCCCGGTCAAATCCTACACTGAAAATTTTCTTCCTTTTTTATTGTAAAATCCAAATCAAAACAAATACCGTTCGGGGAATTTCATGCGAGTTAAATTTCTCAACTCTGGGACTTGAACTCAAAAATAGTTTAATTATTTAAACAGAGCCGATATGTTTGTGTGACAGTGTTGCTTTACACTGTATGTGTGTGTTTGTTTGTGTGCATTTGAGTCTATGTGTCCATGGAGTGAATGAATTTAGCTCATCATAAGCATGTGTGTTTTTTTAAAGGAGGGCGTCGCCAGAGTTCTGCATTTTGATATTGTCAAACAAATTTAATCGCATAAAAAAGCATGTTCTGTTTTTAGTATTTGATATCATCAACATTTTACTTTTTCAGGTATAAGCTTTACAAAATTCCTGTCATGCTGTGCAAAAACAACAGCTGACATTACTATTTTTTCTGAGTGGTTTTGACATAATTTCTGATGCCTGATAGCAGTTGTTCTGGGGGTAAAAAGTAAGTAACGAATCTCAGCGTCTGTAAAAGCTGGCTTGGCTTTATGTGAAGTGTGTGCACTCATGTAATTCACAGTATCCTACATATCCTATATAAGGTGGAATTTTATCTCTTCAGTGTTCTTTCAACCCTGGCAGCATAAAGGTAATATTCAGGCTTTTCTCATCAATGTGAGTAGCATATTGTCTCTTTCCTCTAGTCGACCGTGTTGCCATGAGTGTGTGTGATGTTGAATTTCTGATCCTTTGCTGAAATCAGTGCACTAAGAGCTTAGTGCTCACAAACTACTGAGAAAAACATTTACTTCACAGAACTTCTGTGTTTCCTAAAAACCACTAGGATGAAACTTTGTTGAAGTGGTTAAACTCTGAAAGTGAATTCTTTTTCTCAAACTCTATGACCTAAATGAAGTTTGGTAAGACAAAATAATAGAAAAGTGGTGTAAAGGTGTAAAGTTTTTGCAAGATGGGAAACCTCTGTTTAATACTCATCACTAACAGTTTTTCATGTAATCTAGTTTTGGTCTTTTTTGTACAAAAAAACAAACAAACAGATAATTGTTTACACTTCTTCTCCTACAAAGTAAAGTCAGAGTACACTAAAACCACTTTTCATGTTTAAAACAGGTCACATGAATAACTTTTTGCACATTGTATTGTCATTTGCTACAACCCAAATAAACATGCTTCATATTCTTTAAAGGTGTGATGATTTTCTTTATCACATCTTTGGAATACTTCTTGACAAAGATCATCACGAATCAAATTGAATTTCTTCCACATTGTTGCACAGGTGTCAGGCATCCATCAGCTTGAGGAGCTGATAAAATAACTGCAATAACATGCTACACCTGAAAGGTTTCTTTGCCAGGTGTCCTCTGAACAAGTTTGCTTAAAACCTCTCAACAAACCACTGAATAGTAATTTCAGCACCTACCTGTGCATCAAAACCAGAGTGTTCAAACTTGGGAAAGTTTTTTTACACCCTGGAAACTCTTCAGAAAGACATTTTGACAACATGTACCGTCACATGAGGCGAATATACAAATTGGGAAGGAAGGAAGAGTTTTTTCTGAATTAACAGATTCACTCAGGACACCAGGGGAGGGTAAGCTTGTGGATAGATAGTTCTGTAGTCTTTCACATGTTAAGGTTTTGCCTCCGACGTGGAATTGTCCTCAATTAGTGGGTTAAAGTGTACCTTGGCTCCTCGCAGATAACCTTTGACCTCAGTTGCTGTTATAAAACCAGAAGGTACTGCAGTTCAAAGAGGCTTGCATCTTTGGCTCTGACTTGAAATGAGCACCTCTGCCAAGTCTCTACCTCTCTTCTTATTATTGTAGAAAATTCAGGAATAACTCTTTCATATCTCTGAAACGGTAGCTCCTCCCCAACCCAATTATAGCGTTTTATATAAGTGGGGTGGGACTTCTCACCAGCCCTGACGCGGAGCAACTTCTTTTTTGAACTTGATCTGCAAACACAATGAGGACTCTACAGGAAAAAATAATCATCCTTTCCATTGTCCTGTCTCTGATCTGTGCTGTTCAGGTAATTAAAACAACTTTGATGCTTTAAGACGTCTCAGATTTTGATATCAAAGTTAATGGAATTTGAAGACATCACCACAATATGAGATTTATTATTGCTCTAAAAGGATATAAAACATGCCTCCACAGGTCAGTTCAATGCCTGTAACTGAGGACTGGAGAGGTTTGATCCAACGCACCAAACGGTCTCTTCTGTGGAGATGGAACAGCATGAAGGCTGTGGGTGCCAGCTGCAGGGAAAATCAGGAGTGTGGCACTAAATACTGCAGGTTTGTTAAGACCTAAGTCATCAAAATGAAGTATTATGTTGCATTTATCATTTTAAACATCTTGGATAGTTTGCAAATATAAGAGAATAAAAATTGTGTAAAACCACATTTGTGTCCTAAAATAAGTTCTGTTCATGTGCATTCTGCATGCCATGGCTAAAGTCAGCCAGCAATGGTACAGCAATAAATTTTCTCCTTCTCCTTATCTTTACAGGAAAAATATCTGCTCCTTCTGGCCCTCCAGCTGATGTGGGAATACACACAAAAAAACTCCACTAGGGTGACTTTCTACAAAAACAAACATTTTTCCTGTGGATCTCAAAATGAGCCCGGCATGAGAGGACTGCCCTAGTGTTTTTGCATAAACTAGATCTGCGAGACGTTTACAAGTCACACACTGCATCCAGTTGAATCCAATCTGATTTTTTAAAACTACAAAACCAAACTGAATACTGGTGTCATTAACAATCAATTGGCTCCATCTAAAGCTTGATTGATTCAAATTTTTTATTCGTCAAAATTCCTCACAGGACATCAGAAAATATGCAAAAATGTTTTAATGCATTTTTTAAAATACAAAATACAAATATACCCAAAGAGTGTGTGAGGTTCTTTGAGTTTACTGATACTTGTTTTTAGATATTTATTTGTACATATTGTAAAATATTCAAATATTTTTAAGGAGGCTGTATTGCTCTTATTTTTTTACAAACTGTGAAAAGATGATTAAAGGTTTGATTCCTCTGTTATTAATCTGAGTACCAGAGGGTTTGTGGCACTGTGATTTATAAAAGCTATGTTCTACATGATTTGTATCGCTGCTTTTGCATGTTGAGTGCAAAACTCTGATATCAATATACTTAATTTCTGTTTTAAAAAGTTATAGACACTACTATTTGTTACAGCAGTAACCCAAATGTGTGGAATTTTGTAAAAGATCAAATGAAAAGCCTCTCTTAACCCTGCTTAAGGTGGTCTCATATAAGACTACACTTACATCCACCTGAAAAGCATACAGCTTACTAATGACTGGTGAAGCTTGAAGTAAAACTCCATGTAAAAGGAGTTGTCTGGTGAGGGGTAAACGTATATCAAAGTAAGAGAGAGAGGGGACACACCCCCTTCGATTCAGGGATAACAAAAACATTTGACCAATTAAATGCTTTCCTTACCCAGACCATTTAGTTACGTTGCCTTAGTCAGTCAGTGGTCATTGTTGGCTGACGTGTGTACAGGTGCAGCCCCAGAAAAAGTTCCCTTTTCCCTATAATTTGATCCATGTTTTTACAGGTGGATCAAAGGAACCTCTCACAGGTGCAACAGGTGCTGTAATTGCAGTACCAGGTATTAAGTTTGGGTACAGTAAGAGAACAGCTGACCACATTAGTGTTTTTACTGCTGAGCTATTTGCTGTGGGTATGGCAGTAGACTGGGATGAGCAAAGTGGCCACAGAAGATGATTATATGTAGTGATTCTATGGGCGCCTTGACTAGTATTGATACAGGTATAGCAAGATAGTAAGCTAGTGTTTAAAGTATTGACATTCTGTGAAAACCTGAAAGGAAAATGCAAAATTGTGTTTCTGTGGGTCCCTGCACACTTGGGTATCATTGGAAATGAAATAGCAGACATGCTGACAAAGGAGGTGTTTAAAAGAACAGCCATTGAAGCAGATATTAAACTGTCAAAGACTGAAGGTGAAAGTATTGTGTGGGGCAAGGTGACCCAGATGTGGCAGCAAAACTAGGACACTGAAACAAGAGGAAGGCATTTGTATTCCATATCAAATAAAGTAAGATCATTAAGAAATAGAGGATTTGAGAGGAAGAGCAAGTAATGATAACAAGATTAAGGATTGGGCATGATAACTTAAATAGCACTCCGCAAATCATAACTGTCGATTTTTAACATACTATACTATGACATTTTTACCATACTATAGTATAGCATTTTTATCAAACTAGACTGTGATATTTTTTATCTTTCTTTACGATGGTTTTATCATACTATACTATGACATTTTTATTATACTATACTATGATATTTTGTATCAAACTATACTATTATATTTTTTCATACTATACTATGATATTTTTATCATACTTTATTTTTATCATACTCTACTATGACATTTTATCCTACTATACTATGATTTTTTTTATCATACTTAACTACAATTTCTAACTTATCATACTGACATTTTTTCATATATAACATCATATTTTTATCAAACTATACTATGATGTTTTAGCTTTCTATACTATATTTTTATCAAACTATACTGTGAATTTTTTTCATACTTTAATGATTTAATGATAACATGACTATATTATAGCCATCTTTTACAGTCATATTATAGTCATCTTTAATAGAGATGACTATAAAATGACTATAAAAAATTTTCTAAAAAGAATTGTTGCGCAATTTCACCAATAGAGGGCGACAAGAGCCAGTGTTGCCGAGATGAATGTACCATGAGCTTGATTATGATATACCCAAACTGTGTTATTTTAATAAACAATTTACTTACGCGAGGCTTATCTGCGATTATTATACCCTATTAATTGTTATCTCATTCTAATTTATCAGTAACCATTAAATGTTGTGAGGACAATGAATTAAACCAAATAGCTCACACAAAGGAGCTACTGCTGAAGTCGAGGATCATCGTTTTTATAGCCTATTTTTGGTTTTTAATTGTTAAGGTACAACTTAAAATACGCTTATCATATATAATGTATGTCACTATATGATAACATTATAATATATTTTATGCCATAATCACTGTGTTCTCATTACAAATCTGCTTTTCATTTCTTTCTGTTTTCTTCTTTATTTTCAGTCTGTTGACAAAAACAAGATTCATGTTTATGACCCTTTAACATAAAAAAGTGGAGCCACTTTAGTTCTATCTAGGTCATAAGTGTTCAGCCTCCTCATGTTGTTTATTTTTATCATTCTTTCAACTAAAAAAAAAAGGCACTGTAATGAACTCCTCTCCTCCTACCAGGTGTCTGGGATACACTGAGCGGCAGCAGCTTCTTCCTCCTCATTGGCCAACCCCGTCGTGACGTCATATCTCCATCAATCTGAAGCGGCGGCGTGGTGGTGGTGGAGGGGTACCGACAGTGGGGCTGCCTGTCCGGATCGTCCCAGTGTTTGAGCGGTTCCACGTTACCGGGTGGTGTAGTTATGAAACCTTGTGATTAGCCGGTTGTGTGCTCAGGTAAACTCGAGGGAAATGTTCGCTTTCTAACTGAGCTTTTGCGTCAGGGCACGACGCTCTTTTGCACGAGTTTCATTCTAGTTCAGCTTGATTGCATGATTGTGGACTGTGGCACGTACTGCAGGAGGAGCTACCTGGAAGAAGAGGGTGGATAACACCTTCGTCTGACGACTATATTCAAGTAGGTGTAAATATTGATATACATCAGCTGATTTTGGTCCTTTTTATTTATCTCTATTGTTTTCAAGTCAGTTAGGGTGTCAGTTGTGTCTCCATATTAATGTGTTTGTCTTTGGGTGGATCTTGGCATGTGTGCACACTGTCTTTTTTTAAACACTAACTCTAACAAAACCTTCCTCCTCTGCTTGTTATTCAAATATGTATTTTCTTCTTGGCATTTCTAATATCTGACCTGGTTAATGAGCTTTTGCTGAAACTTTCTGTCTCAGGAATAATGATTATATGCAGTAATGATGTTGTCTCAGGACACAAGAAGACATTACGGATAACAAACCGTCTTCTCCAAAGCAGGACACAAACATGAGTGGACCTCAGTCCCTTTGCCTCCACAGGCTCAGAGCCCAGTCCTTCAAATGAGCTGGCAGACTTGACCTGACAGACATTTCCAGTGCAATGATTCACTTAATCACAGTCATCTCAGTGTGCTCCAGTACCCAAACCACAGGGATGTTCTGCAAACGAGTTTTGAGCAGCAAATTGCTAGACTTCAGTCGTATCCTGCTTTGCAGTAGAAGTGTTCATCCTCTGCGGACGACTAGTCAGTCACAGTGGCCCACTTTTCCCTGATATCGAGCTATTGAGCGGCTGATAGTAAACAGGAGCAGGATACATCCTGGTTGAATGCATGGTGGCCTCTGCACGTGCTGATGAGAGATTCTAATTTTAGTAATCAAATGGAAAACATGTTTGTCTTTTTCTGATTTAAGGCATGTTTACCTGTTGTGACCTGGAGTCTATGTAATTTTTGTGACAGATATAAGTTAAACAGTTTCATCAGTAATCATTTCCTAACATTTCATTCAATGCACCTGCTTTTATGTAGGCAGCAGTTGTGGACTCAGGTGTCATGCTCAAGGACTAAAAACCAACCCTACGACTAAAGGCCTACTTCCTCTACCTCCTGAGCTGCAGCCTAAAAACAGTCAGCTGTGCAGTTATGCAATAAGGTGCTTTACTGAAGTCTTTTTATGTCTGTGAAAAGCTAAATATGCAAAAAGGTCAGAAATGTTAGATTTAGCATTTTATTAATATCATATCTGTTAAAATCAGTTATAGAAAGTACTTCAAAATAAAACCAGCTTCTTTTGTTTTGGAGCAGAGTTTAAAGTCCTGTCAATGTTATTTATAAGTCCAGCCTTGAAGTAGTCCTGCTTATCAGAGGAGGGAGAAATACTTGATTATAGAGCAAACTCAATTTTTACACTAAAAATACACATACGGGCACAAACAGGATCTTATGGACATGCACTGATGGAGAAATGTCAGAGTGAAGGATTCATGCTGATACTGGTGGAATATCTCTACAGCTATTAGCCCAATTTTGTTACTTTGGTCAAGGATTTAAACTGGTGACTCTATGGTTCCCCCAAAGAGACTGAAATCTTCATTCAGTACTTTGAAGCATTTTGCCACAGTACCCCATATATAAATAGAATTGGAGCACCAGATTGGAGTAACGCTCAACCTCAGCTCAGATCATGTTAGACTTGGCACCATATAGAATGGACAGCGTCTGCCTCCTCGCTGGGTGAAGCCTCTCCGAGAACAGCACCCTCTACTGATGGGCTGCAGTATAGGTCATAAATCCCGCCTCCGCTAGCAAAGCTTATGGGCCTGTGGACAAACTTAAGAAATTTATTACACAGAACATACATTTTTTTTCCCCGCTGCTTGCGATGTTGACATGCTGGTTCAAGTTTTCTATGATTGACACTTGATACAGTCTATGGGCGTACAAAGATTGTGTTGCTCAGCCGAGGGTTACGCTGTTAGAGCCGAGCGTCATCTCAGCAACTCTCCCGCCGAATGCATACAATGCTACTGCGCAATGTTGGTTTCAGGAAATGGGGAAAAAATGCGGAATTACCAAGAGCTTTTTGGCTTCAAATCCATATACTGGCAGAAGGCGGAACTAAGTTGTCCATAGTATATACAGTCTATGATTGGCACTCAAACAAAATTAAACATCACTTAGTAAAACTGAGGCTTAACCTGCCGATTTTAAAAGTCACAGTTATAAATATGTCCCCCTATCTTTTCCATACAGAGTTCTTAACCAGCCTATCATACGTTGAATTCATACACAATACACAAAAGAAAAGCTATAAAGAAATGTATTTTTCCTACCAAATAGGATACTTAAACATTTCTATACACTTTTTATGAGGAACTGTATTTCTATCAATAAGAGTGCTTCAAATGATATCACTTCCTTTGTGTTGACTGTTTGCCACCCTGAAAAAGGAAGTTGTTTACAGCAGCGTTATGATGACAATGAGGATTAAGTCTTGATGCTCATCCACAGCAGATGTTGTTTAGGTTGATTTCACAGCGCAGCCAGAGAGATAAACAGAGTCTGACCTCCATGAACTGGCGGCTGATTGACACAAAGCTCATCAGAAAATGGTACATTAAGATTACTGACCCTCTGACTGGGATTGAATTTCTCAACAGTTACTGATAATATTTACACATTTTCATCTTTTATTTTATTTTTCCTCAGCTTGCCTTTTCTTTTATTTGACTCCACAGTCGTCTCACGTTCAGGTTGGGAGATCATCATTATTCCTCCCATGTCGAAGTTTTAGTTTCAAGCCTTCTGTCCGTTAAAATGAGGAGAAATCCCCATGAATATGTCTTAGTATGTTCAAATTAACTGAACTGATGTGAAAGTGTATTTACTCTTAGCTGTGCCGGTGGAGCATCTCTGCAGTGCAGCTGCCCTAGTTACAGAGCTATGGAGAGATTGTGGTTGGCCCAGGCAGTAAGAGAGAGAGAGAGAAGAGAGAGAGGAGGGGGTTCTTAATGGTTGACTGAATCATGGGGGGGTTGTCTGTACTGAGGGCCACAGCAGACACCAGAGTAGGACTCTGACTAGAGGACCAGCAGTGTGCAGTGAGGGAACATGCAGTGAGGGAACAGACACTACTCACAGATGTGCCTCATGTTTTTATTTTTCTCTAGTCCACTGGGATGCTTTAATCCAGAGCTGAAAATGCGTTTTATTCCATTAAAATCTTTAATGAGATCTCTGAGGCTTTAAGATTGTCATAGAATTACAGCTGTGAGAGCAGAGCTGTTAAAAAGCTAATATTCGAATTAACAGAGAGCCAGAAACACACTTTATATATGAACAAGAGGAAAGAGCGTCTAAATGTGCAACATTAAAACACGTCTCCATTGTCCAGCTGTGCAGAAAATAAAATCTTTTCACTCAAAGCTAAGACGGTCGATAAGGACTCCTCTGCTCAGGGAATACTAAGTTTATTTGCCCTGAAACTTTGCTGTCTCATTCCCTCATAGAGTCTCACTCTACAGAATTTAACTTTATAGTACATGAACATGCCTGTATTGAATAAGCCCTAAGAAGTGCATTTAAAGACCGTAAGATTTGTGACTTATTTATTGCATTTTTAAAATCTTCTTGTTACTTTATTCAAAGCTGGTTCAATTTATCTTTATTACTCAGGACATCCAGTGTTTAAAATGAAAACACAGAAATACTGGGGGGAAGTTTTGTAGAGTGACTTTTTTATGTATCCACAAACATAATCTTGCATGGTATGGCTCCACAATAAGAGCTGTAAATATGGCAAAGCAGATTCATCAGACTTACTTACTTAGACTTGAGTACTGGCCAACACTGAGCGCTGACCTTTAGGAATAAAATCTGTATATTTTGGCAAAAAACACTGATATCTGTTGTGCATCAAACTCTAGGAAATGTCCCTGTCCCCTCTCTTATATGACAGAAAACACCACCCTGTGAGGGACATGAGGATATGAAAACTGGTAAATTTCTGGGGAATTGGTCAGCCTACTGAAGCAGGATAGAGTTAAACGTGGCAGAGTGTTACATGATTTGTCCGAGGAGTGTGAGGATTCACATTTGCATCTGAGCTCATCCGTGACTAAAGAACAGATTTTTTCCTACTCTGTGAGGCTCTGCCACTCATTACATCTGAGGTCAGAAGGGAGAAGATGGAGGTGGTGACTGAGTATGAGTATGTTGGTCTCGTTATCGATCACTAACTCACCTGTGTAGATGCTTTTGGAAAGAAAGTGTAACAGCATGTGTGTTTTCTTTGACTCTTTCTTTTGCTATTAATTCCAGAGACATGGAGACAGTTTCCATGGTCCACTCACATCCAACGTCATGATTGGGACCTCCAGTCTCTCAGGGGACACCCTCATCGCATGCCACTTTCCTGTGGTTCAACTTCCCGCTTGGCGACTTCCCGTCCAGGCCCTCTACAGCTCCGCCAAGAGGCCTGGTCGGCTGTGCGCAGCGGGCCTTACTCGAGCTGTATCCCTCCCAGAGCAAGACTCCTTAAATCGAGAACAGACCTTCAACGGTGGCAGGAAACATTTCTCCAGCAGCTACTGTAGCCTCAATGAGGAGCGTGCAGAGGAGGAGGGTGGCAGTGACAGCAGCGGGAGGTATGACTCCACCTCATCACCAGAAGAAATCACTTCTTTCCTGAAGAAGGAAGGCTCTGGGGTGAAAGGCAGTCAGCGGCTACACAACTCATTCCTTCCAAACTCAGAGCTGGATGAGGATGAGGAAGATGAAGATAGCGATGGAGGGAATCTGCACAGATATCACGAGGACTCGTCTTTTGTGCTGCATGGAAATTCAAACTGGCCTCTGAGCAACGGGGCGAGGAATTACACCGTTAACAATGGTGACTTTGAGAATGAATGGGGCAACGAGGGGACCCTTTTGGAGTGCACTCATGTTGGTAGAGCTGGCAACACGGCTTATGGAGAGCAGGACTTAGACAGTTTGAAGGATAACATGTCTTGTTGCATCCACAGCCAACAAAAATGTTCCCCAGAGCTCCTGACAAATGGTCACACAGAGTACGTGAGCGACTCTTCCTGTAACAGCTCAGATGGAGTCCTGGTGAACTTCTGCACTATCTACAACCGCAGCAATAACCCTGCCACTCCTCATGATCTCAGCAGTCCTGCTCTTCACCCCTCCCACTCATCTGAGGGATCTGTGTTCCTCAACCTTCAACCTGTCCCCAAGACTCCAGCTGAGAGCTTCCAGCAGGATGACACAACAGTTTACTCCCCCCAGGAAGGAAAGGAAAAGTTAGAGTGGAGTCCCTGGTCTCCTCAGGGGATCGACTCCAACTGTAATCTTTACTCCCTTGAGCCCCTTCCCCCAGGTCTCTCCTCGCTGGAAGTATCAGACCTGACTGCCTGTCTACAGAGCCAGGCTACTCTGGCCATCGGGACCAACCAGAAGTACTACAAGCTTGTGACCTGTGACCTATCGTCCCAGTCGCCCAGCCCTGCCTGGTCCAGCCTCACAAACTGCCCTGAGGGTCAGAACCCTCAGAGCAGAAGTAGCCCGGCCCCTTCCTCTGAGACACTCTGTGTGGATCGCAAGAAAGAAGAGCAACACAAGGAAAACAAAAAGGTAATTCTGGGGTAAAATAACTCTTCTCTGAGAACTGAGTCAGAAGACTTTGGTGTTCCATACACTTTTTGTTTATTTAACATTTAATTTGGAAGAAAGTGACGAAAAAATTTAGAAAAAATAAACTAGTTTTGACTAATAAGGCTAGATAAAATCTCCAAATTTGGTAAAATATGAGTGAAAATGTCAAGAATTAAGATCCTTACACACCTGGAGCGAAGCAAATATACGACGTGAAATTAAGAAATATTCTGAGGCGAATTTTGACGCACCTGACTATAGACTGACTGTTTTTCAGTTTTGATTAGACACTAGTGTTGAGATGTCTGTCTGTCATGATAGCATGTACTGAGTCGGGGCCAGTACCAGATAAGCACATGAAACTGTAATCCATAAACGTAAGGTAACAACAGAGACCTAATGGTGCTGTGACAGCAACACAATTGAGTTTGAGACAGTGAAAATACTTATGGTATGTTGTATCTGAACAGGTTAGCTTATGGGCTAAAGTTACTTAGACAGATGAAAGTTAAAACAAAGACATTTAGCAAACTGTTAAACCACACAAACCATCGTCATATGAGAAATCTGACGCTATGACTCTCCACAAGTTGTCCTTCAGGTCGTTATCTTTGTAATGTTTGTGTTTTTTTATCAAAAAGCACTCTGTTCTCCGACACGTAACAATCAGCCGGTCGGCCATGTTGGATATACCGGTGAATCTAAGGTCGCAACAACACGAAATCTGATTGGTCAGAAGTGGACACACAGTATGCTAAACTTTAGAAAAATCGAATAAAATATTCACATTAAAGGATATATTTGGTTATCAAAAGGCAGCAGGATGAGATTTTTTAGTTAGATGACAAAATTGAATCATGCATAGGACTAGAGGAGTTAAAACTTTGTCCACAGGGGGCGCTAAACTTAAAAAAAATTGAAGTTCCTCAGAGAAGCTTTTAAATGAATCCAGTTTGAGCCATAAGAGGAATATACACAAGCTCAACTCATCATTTTACTGCTAGATTTTAAGTAAGTTAAGCTGTGTGTTGGTGAGTTTGTGCCTTTACTACACAAATGGTTGTGTTAAACCTGCTTAAACAGCTGGATTCAAGTTATTTTTGCTAACTCAGTGACCAGTGAGGAATGTATGAGCTTTATATAGTGTAGAATAGACCCCAAAAGGGCTTAAGTTGCCCTTCAAAAATGTTTCATATGACAGAAGAGAGCAACAACATTTAAATAATGTATGTCGTTTGGTTTTCATTTGGTTCAGTAAGCACAAGCGCTTGTTTTATTTTTGTGTCACCATCAGGAGAAAGAGGATCAAGAAAAGGATAAGAGTTTCTCCTCTTCACATAGCAACACCTCCCTGTTTACAGCTTATGATTACCAAGAAGCCAGCACCTCCACTAAACGATCTTTCTGCATGAAGAGAAGCCCGGACAGCATCCAAACCTTCTCCTACACTCGGTGTTCAATGTGCCCAAGCCAATGTAGCCCACATAGCTGTTGCTGTCAGAGTACCAGCTCTGCATCCACATTGCCATCTGTGATTTTGGACCAGGAGTACTGTGATACTGATGCTACCACGAAGGGTAATGTGCTCAATGCATTTTTTTGTTTCGCTTTATTCTAGAGAAAATCAAAATACACATCCAGGTTTTTCCCCTTTTTAGAGCAAAGTGACGCTAACAGCTGTTTTCTTTTCTTTCTTCCTTCACTGTCATCACAGGAGCTTGTTCAATGGGAAATGCTGTCATTCGCTACAGTAAAGCCCAGAGACCAACCACGCTCCCAATCCAGCCCTTCGTTCTGGTCCCTGCAGACAAACCCCAGACCCAGCATTTGGGATGTCTTCTGGACCAGTACATAAACCAGAAGTCAAGCAAATCCAGTAGCACCCAATCAGGCTTTAAGTTCAAGGGTAAAAGGAGTCAGTGCTTTACTAATCTTCAGCTGTCACCAATGGGCAGCGCCTGCCCCGTCTTCCTGGAGGCTCCTTCAAGTTCAGATACCTGCTCCACCTGCACACCAAGTCCTGAGTGCTTTAGCCGTAGGCACACATGGAGCCAGTCTAGCAGGAGTCAAGGGTGCCAGAGTCCATGCACGTCAAAAAGTAGCCTGCAGCCAACCCACACCAGCCCAAAGCCAGACCTGGTGCAGGTTCAGGATAAAACAAACCCAAACTCAGGCACAACTCAGGCTAACGCTTTTCTTAAAGTGACCCCAACCCTTCCTCAGCCCAGTCTTGTTAAAGTCCCCACCTACCAGGACCTTATCAACCTCGCCACGGAGCAGAGCTATGCCAACACTAATGCCAAAAGTCCTAATCAGTCCCAAACCTCGTATGATTCAGTGTTCACTAATACACCACCCACTTTACCCCTAATTATGGATGCCCATCACCCAAACCTGCAGGTGTCCATGTCTCCACCTACAACGATACCACAGGAGAAGAGGGCCACACCTGTTGTAAACTCTGGATTTTTTCACGGTAGTTTAACAGCGGCCTTCTCCTCGGTCGCTCCTCTCTCCTCTTTGAGTTCTCTGCTATCAATGGCTGCGTCAGGGTTACACCCTCAGCAAAACCCAGACTCCACAGGGCTCAGCGGGAAGCCGAGCCAGAGTCAACACAGTGAATCTCTGATCCTGAGTGACAAGCCCCCGGCAGAGTTCTGCCTCTCGCCCGATACGTCTTACGAGTCCATGTCTATCAGCCATCTTCAGAGGAGAGGTGAGGAAAATTGAGCATTTTGTACGGTCACCATCTTCCTCTGGTAGTAAACTTAAATCTTGTCATACTACTGCTTCACAATTGATTGAATTTTTTATAAAATAGAAGAACAAATAATCTTTTTGTATATCTTATAGTATAAGATCATAGTAAAAGTAACATCATGTTTGCTAGTAACAAAACTCGTATAACCACTCAATAGCTAACATTATCATTTCACAGAGCTAAAACAACACTTTACTCTCTAGTTAAGCTCCACATGCCAAAGACAGCCTGTTTTTCCACAGCAAAGTGAATTATATTAACAGCCTGGTCCCAAAAAAAGAGAAAAGAAAGAAAAGAAAAATTGAAAGAAAGAGAGAACTATCATTTTGGTCTCTATACTCCAGCAACATCATATTAAAACCGGCTCCCCATCACACTGTGATAGAAGGACACTGCCACCATGTTAGTGTGATGACTTAACGACTAATAAACTGTAGGGGTTTGCATGGCACATGAAATACGGACTGTACCAGAAACAATAGTTATATGCCTCGATTGATTTGTCTCACCAGTCATGAGCCACGTAGAGCAGCAATACAAACTCTCTGTGCTGCAGCAGTGTCTTCAATACCCTGAAGGGGCTTCCTCTCAAACATGACCTATTTTTATCTCTCCCTGCACAGGATTGGCTGAGCCTTCTGCTCTGTAGCCTATGTGTGCGCGACTGCAAGCTCCAACAGAGGAACATGAAGGAGAATGATGCAGTAGAAACAGCACTAATGATTTACAGCACGGCTAACCATTTTGTTTCAGTGCCACCATGTTGGCTCTATTGAATTATACAAACCTGAACCTTTGCAGAGAATAGTCATAGACGGGGGGGATTTTTGCTGCAGAGGTTACCAGTCAGCGTGGTGCAGCACTGCAGGCAGCATCAGTGTGCATTAAGAATTTACTGTGACATTTGCAGAGGCGAGCCAGAATGAGATGAATAAAAACAGGCAGGGGTAAAGCAAGTCAATGAGAGACAAAGCTAAAGAGGAAACAGGCTCTATCATCTTTATCTCACATGTACATTTGCATTTCTGCACTATGGTAATGAAGCTTGAACATATTCCTTCATACTTTTGTGCTTTGACCCAGTTTTTACTGTTACAGAGACACGTATCTCATTAAGATGAGAGAAAAAAGCATCTGCCTGTGCAGTAACATCAAGTCACCGTTTCCCCCCCAAAAAAAACATCAGGTTTACATATATTTTAGAGAAAACTTAATTTTCTTACGTACAAAAGACAGAACTGTTGCTCTGAAAGGTTATATCAGAAATGTGCAGTTTATATTTTATACTGTTACATGCTACATCTATACATATCCGTACCATAATTATTCTGTTATTCTGTTAAAAGAATCTCAGGTCCATATGTTTACATTGTATATACCTCATACTATTCTTGTGTCAAATTTCTATTTCTATACACATAAACATGTGCAATATTCTAAATCACTGAAGGACAATATAGATTCATTTGCACATTACATTAATGTTATTTCTGTATATTTACCATATTTATTCTGTTAATAGGATCTCAGAACTGTGCACTTTATATTTTATACTGTTACATATTTACACCTATGCACATCCGTACCATATTTATCCTGTCAGAGGAATCTCAGGTCCACACGTTTACATTGTATATACTTCATATTAATCTAGTTTCATATTTTTCTATATTTTTCTATCTTGTCTTGCACTGATTTGGGTGTCTTTAATCTCATTGTACTGCGTATAATGACAAAAAAAGGCATTCTGATTCTGATTATTTAGATTCATGTGTTTGATGGAAACGTGAGCTTCTGTTGTCAATTTTACGAGAATGTGAACAGGATCAGGATCAGCAATCTCATCAGTGGATCATTGCTCTGTTTCTATCCCACATGTAAAGCTTGTTAGACCTCCTTCTTTATTCCATGTTCACAGGTTTGCTGAGAGCTGTGAGCAGAGCGGTGGATTTGATCATGGCTCATTTTGGCAGCAGCAGAGACCCTGAAGAAAAGGTATGAACCGGCAGAGCCGAGCAGCTTGAAAGATGTGTCACTGTGGAAAAAAAATGCCTGAATGTTTTCTAAGAATCTGGGACCAGAATCAACCGACTTCTGTTTGCAGTAAATACACAGAGTCAAATTTGTCTTGCCACAGATGCGTCTTGGTAGCAGCTCTCGTAGTCCCACAATTGCTGGGCTGGTCCTGGAGCACTTGTGTCCAACAATCCAGAATATTTTAGAGGATGGACTCAGGGATCACAAACTGGATTTCATCATCGGGCAGCGCCGTAACCATTCCTGGGGAGTGGTGGAAGTTTCTACAAGGATAGGTAAGGTGTACCCTGATCTTAACCGCGACAAAGAAGCATCATTGTGTTAATGCAAAGCATTACCAGATAGTTTTGAAGGAGAAGGAGAATACTCATGCACATTGTCTGTAATATAATCTCAATCCACAATTAATACAATATTATCTCATGATCTCAATTCAAGGTCCATCAACAAGGGTCCTTCACAGTCTGGTCTCCAAAATCAGGCAATGTCCGCAGCTCAGCAGTCACTGTATGAGGCTGAGAGCATTCATCATGGGGTTGTTGAAGTAAGGACAGACTTTAACCTTGATTGCAGCAAAGACTGAATCAAATTACCACACATGTAACATCATCCGTCTTCGTTTATGTCTTCCCTTTTAGCCTGAGAGCGTTGGAGTTCTGGCTCAGTCACCTTCAGAGTCAAAAAGGTGAGTGTATAATTGACTTACTGTCATTCAGTTTGTTAGCGCCTGCAGTCTGCATTCAAACCTCAGCTACGACTGAATGGACTAACTGGAAATTAGGATGAAGGAACCAAAAAAATGTTGATCTCCTAAATTTTCTTGAATGCATTCACCTAAAAGTTAAATACTTCGGTTCATTACAAATACATTCGGTTATTTTTGCAAAACAGCACTTTAAACCGAGCTGATAAAGTTTGTACATATTTCAACAGATGTGGTGACAACGTACTACCATTCTTGGGGTTTCCTGTCCATGTCACTCGGTCGGTGTCAGCCCATGTTTGAGGAGCTGCTACTCTTGCTGCAGCCACTCTCCGTGCTGCCCTTTGACCTCAACCTGCTCCTGGAGCCTCGACTGCTGCAGAACAGACAGCTGTGTTTAGATGAGCAGGATGTGTCTCCACCACAGCCATGCTCAGCCCTCCTAGTGACCAGCTGGCCGTTACTGCAGGCCGACAGACAGGTAGAAATCAGCCGCAGTGTCCAGCAAACCAACACGTCACACAACCCAGATCTACACCGACGACAGGGTCTCAGTTCTCAGAATTTAAGCTGCTGTAAACAAGATGAGGGAGTGATTCAGACCAGCAGAAGTCCATTGTTAGCTCCTATTCCAGAGTGGTGGCCCAAAGAGTCCGATCTAATGGATGGTGTGGCTGAAGGAGAAGACTGTAGCCAGAATAACACAGACAACTGGTCCCAAATAAGTATGGACAGCAGGCAGGGAGAGAAAAGAGGAGAGAAAGACAATGAGATCCTAAATGCATCAACTTCTGTCTCGGCTGAGAGTCCATGTCAAGGGGGACTGCGCTGGGCCAAACTGTTTGGAGCAGCTGACACTCCAACCCGGACAGAGTCTGTTTTTCAAAGTCAGCTTGGAGTCCAAAGCAGGTGAAAGTTTTGCTGTTTTTTATGAATGTATCGTAATTTTTTTTTACTTTTAGCTGTAAAATGATGAAAGCATACTCGCCCCCTAACACCAACACCTTTATAATTGTTTTTCAGGTACAAGCGACCATCACAGTGGCTGCGTCTGGACAGGTCTCAGCTCGGACTCTTGGCTCAATCCATCAGGTCACTAAAACTTGGAGGAGCTCAGGCAGACAAAGACTGTTGAAAACAAACCTGTCGTGTGTGTGTGTGTGTGTGTGTGTGTGTGTGTGTGTGTGTGTGTGTGTGTGTGTGTGTGTGTGTGTGGCCAACAAGCTGTCATGATTTCAAGTCTTCTCTGCATGAAAATAAATACACAATGCACAAACACACTGCTGAAATGATTGGAAAGCACACGAAGTACGGGATCAACAGCTTTGGCGATGGCCCTGATTCATCAAGCTGTTTGCAAACCCATTTTTAAGTTGTGGTCCTTTCCTCCTTTATTGATTTCATCTTTTGGAAATTTTTGGGGTTTTATTTTTCCTTTTTTGAAAGTGAAAGTACCTGAAAGATTTACAGCGAGGATTATATAAATTAAAGGTTCAAGGTCATACTTGCACCCCAAGTATGACGTATGCTCGACTAGCTGAAAGGCAGCCAGTTAAAAGCTGAACCAGGCTGCACTTTGGAAATAAGTTGTCAAGGAAACCAGCAGCTGTATCTATCTGACGAATGTTTGCATTATTTATGTTTATTTGTGAGGGATAATGTGTCGTGATCTGGTTATATGAACTAGAATCACAGCAGGATTGTTATTCTGTCCTCTTTCTAGTCTCCTTTTTTCTTGAAACTTTGCAGCTGACACACCCAAAACCATGAATGATGGGGTAAATATCACAACTTTTAATTGCATTGCTGTTGTAACCACCATAGATAGTTCAAATGACTTTGTAACAACCCGCAGTGAAGAGATGCACTGCCATTGCGGGCCAAGCTGTTGCTCTGTTTTTCCTTATCAGAGATGGCTGGGACTCAACCAGGCTCTTCCATCTGTCCTCAGTAAACTGACATTATTCCCCAACAGTGGAAGAGATATACTCCCATGATGTGTGTGATCAGTAGCCTGGCTGGGCCATCCTGTTGCGTGAATCACTTGCCGCTCCTTCCCACAACAGTCTGGACTTCGGCCCATTGGGAGCGTGTATTGGCGATCAGAAAATAACCGGGCCAATCAGTGACTGTGTTTCCACTGTTCCTCTGACAACAGGGAAAGGCAGCCCCTGATTGGTCCATGTGTAGATGGTGACGTCTAACACATGCTGCGGGACTTTTCAAAGCGCCGTTCATTCAGAACGACGTTAATTCTGCAGTTGACCCTGCAAAGTCGGCAGAAATCGTTCATATCTGCAGAAGACGTCGGACATAAACGATTTCTGCCGACTTTGCAAAGTCAACTGCAGAATTAACGGTTACATTTGTAATTACGATTTGAGCATACTAAAATTAAAATCATTTTACATATAAAGGGGTCCCTCGATACCATTAACACACGTATTGGCAATAAATTCGTTGATATAATATTTTACCTCGGGGAGTGTGGGAGCGAGCCGTGGCTAAAAAAATCGATCCCAATTCCTGACTAAAAAAATAATAATTACATTTGGGACATACATTTTGACATACAAAGGGGTCCCCTCAATATCAATAACACACTTATTGGCATTAAACTTGTTGATATTTTATCATTTTACCTCGGTGAGTGTCTGCCTTGTGGCCATAGAAGCGAACGGCGTCCGACGTGACAGGAAGGCGTGTTGGAACTATTGAGAGTTCCATAACCCGGAAGTGGTGTCCGCCGGGCTGTACAGCGTATGCCTATGGGAGTGTCGCCACTCTGTTTTAGTCCACTGCTCTGTGCACCGCGACCAACCTACAATGTGAGCGTGTCTAGTACCTGAAGTAGCATCTGAAGTAGCATGCTACTCGCTCCGGTGGCCAATTCGGACATGCTAGATACTACTTCGACTACTACTTGGCAATTCGGACACAGTTTATGTGATCAGGTTGTCCCTGATGTGGCTTTTCCTGTCGAGGTTTAATCCCTTTTATGGAGTTTTGACCAATCAGAAGCAAGTATTAAACACAGCCAGGTAAAATACAAACGCAAACACATACAAATGTGTATTCTGAGGTCTGTTGTTATGTAGCTTTTGCAGATATTAGCATAACGTTGCTTACTTTGATGACTGGCCTACATAGAAAGTTGACTCTGTTAGGACTTTCAAACAGCTGCTACTGTTAGCTCCTGGAGTGTCTGTGCCCTGATCTATAAATATTCAGTGGTTGTTTAATCAGTGTCTTTGTATCTTGAGCTGAAAATATGTGGTTGTGAGACAAAGCTTCGTGACTGCATTCAGAGGAGTTAATTTCCAAAAACAGATGAAGCTGTTTGCAAGGATGTAGCTTGATGAATTAGGGCCAGTTTCTCTTATTTATAATTGCACTATAGAATAACCGAAAGTAAGGTGCTTTTATTACCTGTTACTCTCCTTTGTGTTTCCTGTAGGTGAATATCAATCATAAAATGTGACCCGATGTTGACTGTTGGACATTCATGTGGTGCAAAACTCTTCATATCTAATATCTGCATCCCTGTACCTTCATGTTCAGATGATAAAAAAGAAGCAATACATATTTAAGAGTGCCAAATATTCTGCACACCAGCCTTGTGGATTGTCAATGATGTTATGTTTATGGTTACATGAGCAAATTCTCAGCATGGATTTACCGTGGATGCATGACTTACCAAAACGACAGTAGTATTTCCTCGACCTTGTGACTTCCAGTAAATGTTTTTATAGTAGTAGAGTTCAGTTTTGTAATTTTTCTTGCTCTGGAACTAAAAAGGGGTGTTGAATGGTTTGTTAAACTTTGTAGGATGTCTTCCAGTGAGGTTTTTGCAGTTGCACAAATTTAAGCCATCTGGTGGCTGTTTCAGGTATTTCAGTGTGTCAGGTATGTTTTGATAGACTGATGTTTAGATGGGAAGAGAAAAGAATAAAAAAAATAATGCTCTCTGTATTTGTTTAATACAGGCTTTGTAATGTTCTGGAAAAAAAACGTGAAGTGTGAAATTATAATACCCAGCGTAATTTTCTCAGCCCTTAAACCCTTTCTCTGATGCCTGGAGACAATCAAAGTCTGACAATAAAGACTTCATGATTTTACCTGTCTTTTTATTGTATAACAACTGTAAATGCTGTACATGTTTTAATCTGCCTCCCTGACATGTTTTCAGAGTCACATCACAATGTCATCTTGCTGGTAGTGAACATTTTATTGTAGGATTTACGACTTGTCCTGGGAAATCCTCTTGATCCCGCTCTTTTCTAGTACATACCGGGTGAGATTGCCAAAGGTGTCTCCACACATGAACTTATATCCTGTTTGAGTCATATGAACATACGTCTTAACTTCTTGTTACTCCCTTCAGAAGCCTTTTAGAAATAGCTGATTACATTTTTGCAGACACTGACAAACCTGGGATGTGTCCCGAGAATGACGGCACCATCCCACTGTCTGTGGGATAGATGGTGGACTTGGTGACTACCGAACTGTCCTTTCTCCCTGAGTTATTTTGGGACCTGGGGTCAGTCCGCCGCTGCTCTCCAAACTGGATCAGAGCCTGGTTGGTGGTGACAGCGAAGCCTTTGCCAAACAGGAAGCGAGATTTCGGCACGTGTCCAGAGAATCCTTTAAAAAGAGATCACCCGATGAGCTTTTTAGTTATGCTGTTCACATACCAATCAAATCGGAGGTTATCAATCGCTTTCAGTTTGATGACCAATATTTGAGCCATTTTAGCATCATAAGCAGACAACATGCATAACTTCATGTCTATAGTTTAGGGAAGTTAATGAAAATATTAGAGAAGCACAGATTTAAAGTAAGACCGTCCTTTTGCTGATTTATTGATTGTCTGATTTTATAACTTCTAATCTTGATTCAGTGTCATTGCATCACTTGGAGATTTTAACAACAGCTTCCTGACCAAAATTAGAGCTGCCTTTCCAACACTGACAGCAGCAACTTGCAGGTGAAGTTATAGTGATTTTTTTAAAGTTTAAGAGTCAATTTTTTTCTACAGAAGTGTCTAGAGGCCAAAAAAAGATTAAAAATCAAAATGATGATGAGGAATATCTGAATGTGAAGATAACAGGCTTGTCATTTGAGCTAAAAAAAAAAAAAGTGTGTTTGCAGCTGCAGACGTCAGGCTTTATGTGTCTGCTTTTGAAAAGTGTTCTTGAATATACATTTGTTTTTGTTGCACCTGAGATAAAGTGCTTGTTTGGGTCATCATCATCCATGACATATGGAGTTCTGAGGGGTGTAGAAGGCTTCAAAGGCTTGTAACAGAAAACTGTGCCGGAGGTTGCTGCCAAAGAGGGTCTTGGTCTCTGAAGGGAAAAAATAAAGGTAGCAATAAAGATAAGTGACTCAGAGATCATAAGAGCTCAAACAGAAATGATCAATTTACACAGGCCTCCAATGATACTTTCAGGTAGATCTTGTCCACTTATGGCATTGGTAGATTTGTAACCAAAGGAAATGTGATTTTACAGCTATAAACTCCTTAAAAGTTTCAGTAAATGTGAATCTTCTAGACACAATAAGTAGATTTGCAGTTGGTCTACTGGAAAGCTGATCACTTCTGCCTCTTAGTCTCTCAGTAAAGGTGGATTACATTACAGTGAACTGACACTGGAGTTCCACTATGGATAATTAAACAAGAGTGAACCAGTTCAGAGGTGGCATGTCAACATGTCTGAGTAAGAGAGACGGAGAGGTTACTTCAGGATGTGGGTTGGTGTGGTAGACAAGAGCTGGCAGGTCTGATGATGATCGTTGAGTCCTTGTGCGTCTCTCCTGGTTGAACTCAGATATCGCTTTGCGACACGTGTCAGAGTAACTGCTGCCAAAGTAGTTGTGACGTTTTGGAATAAAGCCTAAAACAGCAACAAGCAACATTAAAGAAACAATTTACAATAAAGTGTCCTGTGCACAATGTTCAAATAACTGTATATTTGTGCCTAATAGTTAACAGTGGATGCAGTTCATTCTCTGTTTTCTTTCATGTCATTGTGAAAAGAAACGTTTCAAATTTTGCAAATGTTTGTTAGCAATATTACATCGTTGTCTAGAAGTGATAGGTTTCCTCTTTGACCCCTCTCTGTACGTGTGGTTATCTACCGGTGAATCCTGGTATCATCCTCAGTGTCAAAGCAGAGTCATACTCTGCAGAGGGGACGTGACGGTCACTGACGACCCGGTGAGCGGAGCATTTTATATTAGGAAGGCGGAGCATTTCAGCTGTGAGCTGGCCGTATGACTTCCCTCCATTGAATTTGAGCTGTGGGCAGTGTCCCGTAAACCTGAAATCAACAAGGTTTAAACACAAATTACAAAAAAACATAAATATCCATAAATATGCAAACATAAATATTTTCAGTATGTGGGATCTATTCCTACAGCTTAAATAACTTCATTTTTGAGTAAGTTATTTCAACCCTTTCATGCATGAATTGTGATACTCTCAGAAAGGATTTTTAACTAAGTGTTTATGTTCATCTTAAGTAAGGAGAATGAAAAACAAGGTTTGAACTGGATTTTTGTTTCACTTGCAGTGGTTTGCAATTGTCTGATGTAGGGCAAATGTTTTATTTGAGTGCAAATGTTTGACGAATCTTGTAAATTCTTTTAACTAATTTTGAAAATTCAATTATTATTTGTATTCTTTGTATTGTACATGATTAATGTGATTATGTATTGAAACTATACGTGCTTCCACTCTTGTCCAGGTCTCTCTTGCAAAAGAGATCTTGGATCTCAATGGGACAAACCTGGTGAAATAAAGGTTATAATAATAATAATAATAATGTGCAATTATGTCATCAAAAGTATCGCATAAACAAGAAAAAGCTTTTAAATAGCTGGAAACTTGTGCATGAAAGGGTTAAAATGAAAATGTTTACAGTGATCAGGACTTTGTAGGTATTCAAGTAATTTTATTACTTATAAACACAAGAATTAATTATGATATTTAGAGAAACTCTGTTGGATAGATGCTATTTCTCCTAATGCTAAAAAAGACACAATGTGCTCAAAATTGTTCAAAAGTGCCAACTAACAGTGATTAATGGGGAAGTCATAAGGAGCCCCATGCTTTAAACAGTTTAATACAAAGCAACGATAAAGCCAGGAAACATAGTACAAGTAAAAAACTTCTCTCACTTTTAAAGCAGCTTTTTATTGTATTGTATTTCATGCTGTTTGTGTGCCCTTTTTGGGACTGTAATGATGTAAAAGAAATTAAAAAACAGAGCGACATTATAACCCTGTGCAAACACCTTTAAGATTAATTAAAATTACTGTATAAATATAAGTTGCTGGAGGAATACAGCTGTTCTTACCCCGGGATGTAGTGTGGCTCGGGTGTCAGGAGAGTGTTGCTCAGTTTCGGGGTTTGTTTGTCCATCGTGACTCTGATGCCGGAGGAAAGTCTTCTGCTGACAGAGCTCCGTGTTTGCTGGTTGCTACAGAGTTAGACATAAACATACTGAAGGAGCTAAGTGACATGTTCACGTAACTTTGTGTGCACAAACATACTTTAGTCAGCTAAGGGTCTGTTTTATTACAAGGAGCAGTTACATAGACAGCGTATTGTTCTCAGGAAGAGATGAGACACACCGACAAAGGCACTTTACCTCCGAGTTCATTATTTCTCCAAGAAAGTAAATGATAAAATATATGTTTTAGGTGGGAATAGATCAAACTGGGGGGAATAAAACCGAATAAAACACGAAACAACAATGACTGTTTTAAATAGAGAGATGTTGTTGATATTCGTTGATAAAATGTCAGAAATTCATGTGGCATGCTCAATGGCGCCCTCTAGAGGCCTTCCACAACTCTACACCCAACTGAAGGAATGCAGCATTTACATTGAGCCTGTCTTTTGAAAATGTTTAGATTTGGCATTTAAACATCAATGAAACTACACACAGGAGTAGAAGCATTTTAGAAGAGGTCTTCAAGTACCGATTTTTGCCAAAATATTTCAGAGATATCAATTTTTTAAATGGCTGCTACGGGGAGTTTTCTAAGAAATTAAATCCTGATTAAAATGAATGCTCCTCCAAACTAACAGGAACAAAATTCCACACATTTCTACATTTTTTTATTTTCCTCCTTTTCATTAACTATGAAAACATGTATCTTTAAAATCCCCCACCACCTTTAAATACACATATTACTACAGTACCACAAGCGGTAGAATGACCCTCATACGGACATTTGTGTCATGTATTTAAATACGGAAAACACCCTTTATCACAGAACCAAATACACAAAACTGGTTTGCAACAGTACTCTTTTTAACCGTCTTTACTTAGGAAATTGAAGGAGAATTACTCCTCCTGTCTTTTCTTCACTAAACTGTTGTTTTGTGTGAAAATACAACAAATGGCCCAGCAGGACGGAGAGTAAGTAAATAGGACAACAACAGATGTAGCTGTGAGCAAACTGAACTAAAATACTTAACTTATTGTGAGTGAGCTTTTGTGTTTTAATCAGATGACCCATTCTGTGTCTGTTCACCTGGGGAATGTAGATCAAATCATCAGACGGGACAGGAACACTCATTCTCAGCATTCCTCTACTCACGGAAACATGTTGGTTTGTTGAAATGTAAAAAAAAAAAAAAAATCAGCATTTAGTGTTTCAAATTCATTTTTACAGTTCCTCTTTTTACACATATCTTACTATGCCATGTATCCTCAGGTAAATTATTAGACACGCAAATTCAGGCCCTACATGGTGGCTCTGAGACTTGTTGCTTTGTCTTGCATGTGATTCTATCTATCAATACTTCTTTGTTTTTAGTCTGTCTACAGCACCTCAATATCTGGATGGCCCACTACAACTGAATTTGTTTGAAATGTTCCTTTTCAACTTCTATTCATAAACTGTATCCATGTTTCCTCTCTTTGTGTCTCAGGGTTTTTATAGGTGTGAGGACAAATCCAGCAGGTATGAGTCACTCTTTTTCCAGTATTCAGTGACAAGAAGGAGCGGGTATCAACATGCAGCTTTGAGCTGTGACAGCACAGATGCTGCTGAGAGAGGCGGGGTGAGGGAACGGAGGCGGATCAGAGAGATGTTTTGAATTCTATGCAGCCAGTTTACTTCAGCTAATGGCCGTGTGGGCTGTCTAAACTGCTGCTCCTTTTCCCCTCGAAGCAGAGCTGTGAGGATGAATCTATACAGGAGTTTTGGGAACCTTATGGAGGCTTGGGTGACTGAAGGAGCGCAGAGTTTGGACTCAGAATGGCTTGGAATTAACGACGAAGATGGTGCTTCACCTTCCTCAAACCTGCGCTCAGAATCGGTAGACTCTGGAGTGGAGACAGCTAGCTCAGAGACATCTTTTCCTTCAACATCCCGCTCCCTCTCGATGGATATCGCAGAAACAGATGCATCAACGTCTCAGTCTCCTGTGCTCTCCTCTCCTGGGCTCTCCTCTTCCTCCTCTCCTTCACCTCACCTCCATGCCAGCAGGGTTCAGGACACCTTTCCTGAACAATTAGAGCAAACATCACAAAAGACCGACTCTAAATGTCTCAAGACAAGCTCTGGACTCCTTACAGTGGAGGAGGTGCTCAGGCGGCGACCGAAACGGCACACATCGGAGTTAGTGAGAGGTCAAAGGTCAGAGAGTTTTGGCCCGAAGAGGACGGTCAACCCATCGGCTCCCACAAGACAGATGTCGGATGTTTGCAAACGACCGGTGTCAATGAATTATGACACAAGGCAAGCTCAGACAAGATCAGAGGTGAGAGAGTGTTCCTGTCACACTTAAAACCTTGTTCAAATATTTAGAGCTTCATCAGACAAAATACAAACATTTGTGTCTGACCTCTGTTTGTGCGTAACTGGGATCACGTACAGGGTTACATAAACTCAGCAGAAACATGTGTGGTCTTGCACAGCACGCAGCTCATGAATGTAAAAGGAAAGTTTGACAGAAAGTCCCACGGGCGTAACAAGGCCTCTACTTTTACTGTAGTTAAAAAGAGTTGCAACACAAGTTGCTCTCCCATTTTAAGTAGGACAGGCTCGTCATTACTCATACAGTATCTCTTTCATGCTCACTACCCGTCACGAGTCAGTCTGCGGTGTGAGGGATTGTAAACCAGTCTGCCCAGGTGACTTAACGCCCACAGGTATGACAGGAATGGATGGAGATGTGTGGGGGAGGTTGAGCGGTCTGCAGGGCTTTGGATAAAAGAGGCAGACACATTGTTGAGAGGATCTACAGGGAAAAATTTGAACTAGGACTAAATTTGAAATTTTGTCTTTAGCGACTATAGTAAATCACGCTGGAGACATTTCTCCTGATGTTTGTTTTGTCCTTGTTTGCTTTGCTCGGGCTACACTGTCAGCTCACATAGCTTTTGGATTAATTGTACCATTATACTAATACTTGGGTGTGTGTGTCTTTTACTTTGAATAAGTCCAGGGTTTGAAAGGGTTCACCGGAAGGCAACACTAAATCCCAATGACAAGTTAATACGCTATAATTACTCAGGCGTCTTATTTCTTATCATCACATGTTATTGTACTTTAAATATGTCACCAACATCTTCAGACAGGTGAGCTCATCTTGATCAGTTCACCTACTGGATGTAACCCATATCCTTATATTAGATATATTAGATTGCATTATTAAATGTGTTCATAATATTTAGATAAAACTATTTTCACATAATGAGTAGTTGCACAGTTGATAAAGACACACATTGGCTTGAAAGTATGTAAGTCTTTATAAAGCTCTCAGTATTTCCTTATTCCACATGAACAAAAGATGAAAGTAAGGAATTTACCTCATGTGACTCCCTAATTACTGCTAATTGACGGTGAGTTTGGTGGCCAGCTGTCTTTTACGGTGGCCGAGAACCACCACTACTGCAAATAAAATTGAAGGCAAAAAAAGAAGTCACAACGGAAGTCACCGATGCAAAAAAAAAAAAAAGGAACTGAAGCCTGCTGCAAATAAAAAAAAGAAAAAGTGCAGATTAAAAAGCCACAACAGAAAGTAATTACGCAAAAAAATGGCGGTGCAAAAAAAAAAAAAAATACTTACTGTGAAAATAAAAGGATGCAAGTTTAAAAAGCCACAACAGAAGTGAGCTGCCGGGAACCAATAATGATGATGCACCAGTGTTTTATGATCTAGGCACAGAAGAAGGCGGCGAGAATACGAGCAAAGAATCGAGTGGAGAGTTTATTGTTTAATTTCGCTTTGTATACTTTCCAATGTGTCATTTGGTTAGGCCATGTTGCGCCTGAGTTAATATGAAGTTGAACTGGAGGATGCTGGTGTAGTGTTAGCTTCAGTTCAACTTCATATCGAATCAGGCGCAACATGGCCTAACCAAATGACACATTAAAAAGTATACAAAGCGAAATTAAACAATAACCTTTCCACTAACTTTTTTGCTCGCCTTCTCGCCGTCGTCATGCAAACTGTAAAAGCCCCTGCTAGGGTTCGAATCAGGAAGTGTCTTTCTGTTAGACATCAGCGCTGAAGATTTATCAGTCTCTTCCTGATGTCTTGCATAGCAGCTATGAGGAAAATCTTTGGGCTTTTCAGTGGCTTCAACTTAAACAAGAATTTCTGTATTGAATCCTACGAGGAAACTCTTTTCTCACCTATCATTGTTTGCAGGATGTGGGTGATGAGAAAAAGACAGAGCTGAGTCCTGGTCTTTGCTACCTGGAGCAGGTGTGCCAAATGTTGGAGGAAATTGCCAGACAGCAGATGCAGAGCCGAGCGTTACAGACGGAGATGGAGGCCCTGCAGGAGCATGAAGACATAGAGGAGAGCCAGGTGAACACATTCATGTAACACACTTGCACAAAGCAGTAAAAAAAGTTACCACACTTTCAATTTTGCTCAGGGTTCAAAATCAGTGAACAGACAAGATGTTTTTAAACAGCCAGAGGGTTCATTTGAATTACATGACATTATCTTGCTTGTCACTTGGCTCACTTTCAGGCTCTTGACACCTGTCAGAGGGACTCCAAAGCTGCTGAAGAAGAGATCTTATGTAATCAAAGGGTTGAAAAAACAAACAGTTTGAGACCCCAGCAAAGGAAAGACAACCCTTACAGACATTTCCGTCAAAGATCAGCCTCGGATACAAATATTGCTTTGCTGCATTTTAGTGAGTCATTATCCGTTTTCATTTTTTTAGTTCATGATTTGTGTAGCGTATATATCTTTTAATGAAAATGCATTGCCACAGAAGTTAAATATGTGTGTGTTTGATGTGGACAGGAATGTTGAACACGGACTGCAGAGGGCAGCACCTGTGTACAGATAGCTTGGAGGAAGAGGGGGAGGAAGAGGAAGTCCATAAAAAGCAGGTAGAATACAATCAAATACAGCAAATTATGTGTGTTGAAACTGTAGTACTGATATGAAAAATTAAGGTTATAAACTTTACATCAATTCTGCAGCAGCAAAAATGAAGTGTATTTTATTGAAGGGCTATGACTTTAATGTTTCTCATTATCTTTATTCAACACTGACAAGTTTTCAACTGTTATTTCAGGAGTCAAAAAAGGAGCAGTCCAATGTTACTCACAAGAACTGGAAGTTAAAAATTGGGTCTCTGAGAAGAGAGGAGTCTGCTGTGAGAGATACCAGAGGGTGAGATGTTATATTTATAACCATAAGCTCAAAGGGGGCAGTAATATCAAGCTCCTGTGAAGCATGATGCTCTGAGGAAATGTGTGTGCTGCTTCAACATGGCAGCCGGCCACACTGGCGCGGTGGTCCAGAACTAATGCACAGAAGATGCAGAGGCTTTGCTCGGAGTTCATTTTAAGTCAGCGCTTCTGTTTCTCTTGAACATTTTGCCCCCTTTTTCGCCACACTTAGCACACATACAGCTTCTAGCGTTGTCTTACCTCAGCTCTAAGTGATGAATTTTTTATCTGCACAGCCAACAGATGCAGCCATCTGAGAGAATCTCGGCCCGGCGACGGTTGAGCCAGCTGTTCAGGAGGGGCCGGAAAACTCTGCCTGCATAAATGGAGCACAGTGGGTCTGCCTGAACATCTGAGTAGCTGCTCTGAGGGGGGGAAAGCTCGACTTGAAAAGTCTGAGCCTTGTCTGCTTTAAGCTGACTTATCATTCGGCCCTGTAATGTGTCATCTCTATTTATTGTCAGCTGTTTACTTGCCTTCTGTATTTATAATGATCAAAGCAGCATTTTTAAGTACTCTGTAGCGTATTTCATTATAAATGGAAGCTGTTGTAATGTAAATTTAACAGAGTATTTGAAACTGTAAATAATTTTTATTGGTATGATATTGCAATACAAAAAAACAAACATCTTTCATAACCATTATACACTTTCATGTCTTTACATTAAAAAACCTGATAGAACAGCACTGCATTAGCTTGTTTTTTAAAAACACAGTTACACAGCTCTTTGTTAAATATTAAAATTCACTTGAGGATGAACAAAGTTTTTTAGTGGATGTTTATTTGATTATTTTGCAGTATTATAAATTATTTAGCCAATCCAACATCATAAATTTCCTCCACAGGCTTCTTATTGCTTTTTTAGTGTTAGCCATACAAAAATAAAATATTTGCTATGTGATATGAAATGTGGCTTATCATCATATTTAAAATACTGCGTTTTTGCAAATCATAATTCTCAATGATAGGTTTTTATGGCTGATTGACCTGCCCTGTAATATACTGATCACATACACAGGTATGGAGTCAGAGGGATATACTTGTGAGTTTTCAACAGATTTTCTGCTCTTTCATTTTTGTGTACCTGAACATTACTTTCATTCACTACATAAATGCCATTACTGTACTTTTCTTGCTTATTCTCAAGGATTGCCTTTCCGTCTTTAAAGAAAGGTTCCCAAAACCATTTATCCCCATATGTCCTGTCCAGCAAGCTCATACAAAAATATATCAACAACCATATGTAAAAAATCCATTGACTCTCTTCCTGTAATAAGTACAATATGTGAGGCAAAAACTGCTCCAGGATCTGGTTTACCTGTGTCTTCTTTAGTATAACTGCCAACAGCAGATAACAAGACAGACCACGTGTGTTACTTTAATCTTTTATTTAATCTTTATTCACCTAGGTTGGGGGGATAGACCTCCCCTGGCATTCCCATGTAAAGAGATGTCAATGACAAACACATCCAACCAAACGAGAGAGGGTGAATAGGATTCCAGTCCATACATAAAATACATTTATTTACTATTTATCGAACCACCAGCATCCATTAGTCCCACACAGCATCCATCTGTGCTATTAAATATATAGATAACATCTGTGGAGGGATTTATTCACTGTATGTGAGTGTGTGTGAGGGGGGATTGGCAGAGAGGGTCGAGCTTATAGACGAAAAGAGTGTTGGGTGGGGAGGGGGCAGCCTTGAGTCATGCCTGCAGTGTCCCCCCTTGTCTACATGATGCCACAGGAGGACAAAGGGTTGGCGATCTGGCAGGTGCAGGCTGACTGGCAGTATTGGCGCACAGTCTGGTAGCAGCTGCGGTCTGCGTCCCCGCCCCACTGCACTGGCCCGTTAGGGTCAGAGGGCAAGCGGCTCAGGATGCTGGTGTTGATGGCCAAAGCAGCCAGGCCATAGTCAGTGAACAGCACCGTCTCACGCCGACATGTGGGGCAGGAGATGAACTTGTACTTGGGACAGGACTCGTAGAGGATCTGCAGGCACTCCTCGCACACAGAGTGTAGGCAGGAGAGGATACGTGGACGTTTGCCGGCAAAGTTGTAGGTGTGGCCGCATGTGGGGCAGTCCAGGGGCTCACAGGGCATGACAGGTCCCGAAGAAGAAGAGGAGGAGGTGGAGGAAGAAGTGGAGGAAGAGCGCAGCACATACTGATTGACGATGACGTCCTCCATCTTGTAGTGAAACTGGTGATAGCAGATTTCGTTGGCACTGGTTTTGCGCTGCGCCAGGAAGCTCTGTTCCCTGCGCGTCACCGGGACGGGGGAGGATACAATCGACCTGGGGGTCCCTGTCATCTCTAGGGCCAGATCGCTGCACGCCTGGTTGACAATAATCTCGCCTTCGCCACCACCATCCCAGGCCACTCTGGGGGGCGGGGCATAGCGTGGCTGGGTGACAGGCACGGGGCATTCTCTTGGGAACTTCTCTGACTGGATGATCTTGACGGTGTCCATGGGGATAGTGACGGGCTGACGCCGGAGGCAGGACATTCGCACAGTTTTTCAAGGTGGAAAGGAGAAGGGCTGTGGCTCAAATCAGCACTAGATGACCCTGCCTGGTTTTGGGCAAGGGGAATTGATTATGTACTTTTACTGAAGTCAGCCATTGCAGGGGACATGAGGACGGATAGTTGCCTCCATCTTCTCTGCAGAGATTCCCCTCTAGTTGGTTTTGTCAGCCTGAGTCTTTATGAGAGGAAGACAGATAGAGGAGCTCAACCAGAGCACCACAACCTACTGCTTTTAACCTGTCACTGCTGATATGTACAGATGATTCAACAGTCAAGCTTAAAGTTTCCGACCAGTGTTGACGACTTAAAGGTAGTTTTTTGTTGTTTTTTTCTCACTTTTGCTGATGATCCTGTGCTGTCTCTGAAGCTTATTTGCAATTAAGTATTTTCAAACACAAGGACAGTAATTACTTTTGCACAAAGATTTGTTCTCACTCAGTGATAACACCTATAAATAATCTCATATGCACTGATGCTTACATATATATATATATATACACTCAGTTCAAGTTGGTTTTGTCTTCATTCACAGAGTGGGGGTGGAGTATTAAGTTCAGGCGGTTCAAAAAGGTCCAGAAGGTATTGTCTGAAACTATATCCTGTGGCCTGCCAAGGAAACTCTTGCCTTCTCAAACTAGCCCTTGCATGTGTTTCTCACTTAACTGCCCACTTTACTTCCTGTTTTTGGCCGTGGGTGTGTCACACATTGACTCCCCCGTGTGAGAAAGTAAGAATAACCTCCAGACTCTCTCCGCTCTTGGTCCCGTTTGGGCAGCTGACCCAGTATCTGGGTGGCTTGTTGATAAGAAAGAGGGAGGTGTGCAGTAATGCTCCTGAAAGTTGTTTTTATGACCCCTTCGAGAGCCAAGACTCCTGATTTCCTCAAAGGTGGGATTAATGGTTTATGATGTGACTTTTAGACAGTCCTCCCAGCTGAGTAGAAGATGTGATAACAGTCTGAAAGATGCCACTGTGCTTGTACCCTTTTTCACCGACTGCAACTCAAAGTTCCTTTGGTCCATGTACCTGCGAACACAGAAAGTAGACTTATAAGATACATGAATTACTGCACACTGTATTTACAGTTCATCTCAGAATCTAAATGGTTCGTTTATGACAAGACAAGGTCAGATTCTCATACACTGTATGCAAAGCCATTTTGAAATGTGCCTTTTTTATTTAAGCAGATGTCCTATGACCTAGCGCCTCATGTATCAGAACTATGGTTGTGGTCACAGAGCTGGTTTTATTACCAGCCACAACCCTTTGCTGCAGAACCTCCCGTACTCTCTGCTCCCCACATTTCCTGTCTCTTTTCAGCAGTCCCATCTAATAAAGTTGAAGAAAAAGAAAAAGAGGCCAGACTTTGTGTGAAAGTTTGGCTTTTGAATTAACACACTCCCATGAAGTGTTCAGTGAGTGTGACAGAGTTGAAGGTTTTAAAATGTGGACATTTAGAGGTTGGTCACTGTGAAGGTTCATCAACAAGGCTGCCAATGAAGCTCACATGTTCTGGCCCATTTGCTTTTGTATCTTAGCCTCTGATCAGGTATGTCTCTGTAAAGATAACTATCATGTTGATTCATAATGTGGGGCACAACACAAAGAGTACACCTTACTCAGTGTAAGTTTGACAGAACAGCTTTATAGGGCAACAGGTAATGATAGTTTCCATTAAATACCCTGCGAATAATTCTCATGTCAACAGCATTGCAGAAACTAAGGTGAAATACCAAAACAAGAACCTCTAAACCTTTATTTTACATGACAGGACAGTGGATACAGCAAGAAAAGGAGTGAGAGCAGGAAGTGACATGCCGGGAAAAAAGCCACAGGCTGGAACTGAAAACTGGCCTACTACATAGGCCTACATGGGATGTCCTCGGATCGCTAGGTGCCCAGAAAAGGGTGTTTCTAACTCTGTCTACTTTATTAGATGTATAATCAATTCCTGAAATGAAATGTTTTTTTCACGATATCTGTAATATTCAGGTTTCTTAAGATCATAAAAACATTACAATCGAAGAAACACGATAAATGCACCGCATGGTGGATCGTGTCTGTAAGTTCCTGGGCGGGAAAAACACCTTGAATGCACCCCTGATACCTGCAGCTGCAGCAGGCATGTGTGGATCACTAACAAGGAGGGCGAGCGATTAAAAACATCGGCAGAAGGGCCGCTTTGGGTCGAGAACTAAGGTAGGACAACTTCAGTTTTTTGGATTTAACTTGACGGACGTCAAGCAAAAGAAAATTGTTTGCAAAGTTTGTCAGGCTGTTGTGTCTGCTCCCTAAGACAACACGACCAACTTCCGGGTTTCCCGTATGTGTAATTGATCGGGGTACACCGCCACAGCTAAATAAAAGCCACCACACCTTAAATGTGAGGGTTTCATTTATTTATTTATTACCTTATTTTGCTAATTAACCTGACTCTAACTCGGACTCATATGTATCGGTATGTGCGCGCGGACATGGGCGCTGCACCGCGCAGCACGCGGGCGCCGAGTATTAGCATTTGTAATCGTAGATAGATAAAGTGGTCTGATATAGGGGCAAAAGTTGAAAACGCTTCTGTGGTCCGAGTTTGATCTGTCGGTCTCCCTGTCGGCGTGAAGAGCAGTAGCCTACAGTATATCTACACAGTATATAAAGTTAATATCAACAGTGTATATATACATACTTTTTATGACTTCATAATTTTTTTTTAAAAATCGGCCGATTAATGGGTAACCCCCCCACCAATTATCGGTATCGACATCGGCCCCAAATAATCCATATTGGTCAGGCACTAATATTGTTTATACGTGGTTTTTTTCATTCTCTTGTTCTTTTTAGTATTTCATTTTATTTATTTTACTGTATTCTGCCGGACTGATACAGCAATTGAATTTTCAGTCGGGGATTATTGAAGTCATCTCTTTATCAATCCCTTTATATCTATCTATCTATCTATCTATCTATCTATCTAGCTATCAAGTTTTGAATGAATTATTGTCTTTACTTATCGTGATGTCTGTATCAGTCAAAATAATTGTCATAATTATTTTTACCATATTCATCCATCCTTACTTTGGAGAGCAATATACTGAAAGGATATAGATACTAGATAATATTAGATATTTCTCTATCATGTGGGTAAATAGTTAAGACAAAAAGTGGACACATTTCAAAATAAACCTTATCCCACCGCAAGCCTACAATGATGCACACAAACAAATACGATAAATAATGTTATGATAACAAAGGTATGGTCTACACAGGGCTATAAGAAGTTAACAAAGAAATACTGAGCTCATAGTTCTGAGAACTCCCAATACCATCAAATTACAAACCATTACATCCTAATGTTAGTGTTTTAATTGTAATATCAACAATGCATTTAAGGTGCACATGTAGAGACCTTTGTAAGCTTTAATTTGGACATAATGCATTGCTATAATGGTGGTAAAAGGTTAACAGCGTAGGGACTGTATAGATAAAGAGTAAATTTAACAGACGTGTTAAAAACCTAAGCATGTCCCACTGTCTGGTCTGAGCAGGTGATTGTGACACATATTGCAGTGCTGCTTTTGTCATGTTTCCTGCTTCCTGTAAGCACTCTGTCATCTTGTCAGTTGCGTCAGTTAGACTTTAATATGCGTAGGAACAGGTTACAATCTGCATTGAGGAGTTAGTGTCGTATTCAGTGTGTGGGTTTTATGAAAAAGAACTAGTGTGAGGTTGAAAAACGTTCAGTTCAACCAGAATAAAAGCTGCCAAAACAGCGGAGGATGAGGGAGAGGAGGGAGGATGACACATCTTTCATTCTCTGCATGGCCGTCAACAGAAATGAATCAGTGAAGGAAGAAAAAAACTGAGCAGAGGAGGTGACCTACATGGCGATGAAGAGAGAGAGAGAGAAAAGATTGAAAGAGAGGAGAGGGAGAGCAGGCCCTGGCCTTGGTTTCTATTTATGGTTTGTTTATCTATGCACGTCTCAGTGGTTTCCTGCCCCCAACCCCTGCTGAAGATTCACACCGAATGAGAGAGATATACCTAACAGGCGGAAGTACTTTATCCTATCACCCTCACGTGATGCAGTGAGCCAATTGGGTGAGCAGGCAGACGTTTATTTCTTCCCCTTCATCCGGTCTTGATGAATCTGTTGACATGTTTGTTTACCACACACTCAAGCACACAGAGCTGTTAGCTAGAATCACCCACAGTCTCACCCAATGTGTTCCTCCAGCGCTGCAGTGCTGCAACACTCCTCCAAAAATAGCCTCTTTCTCATCCTTTTGCTAACACAGTATGCATTCACACACCTTTGATAAGTCTGGGCGTTAGCAACAAAAACTCTTGTGGTAATTTATCTTCTCGTTTCTTGATAATGACATAATGAGGCAGAGCTGGATGCCAAAAAAAGACAGACTTGTCAGTAAATACGCTAGGTTTCTCTGTCTGTATCATCAGAAATAGAGGACCTTCTTCTTACAGGAATCTGTGTGCTGAATTGCATAACATTCAACGCAAAGAACAGAACTCAAATGTCGTAACATTGTTATCTTGCTTCGAAGAACTATTTGATTTTTTCGAACTTTATGAAACAACACAAAGGGCCGGTTTGGCTCAGTGGTTGGCGTGCTCTCCACGTACAGAAGCCACAGTCCTCATTGCACAGGTCGCTGATTCAACTTCTGGTCTTCACACTTTGCTTGCATGTCTTTTCTCACACTCTACTCTGCACACTTCCTGTCTTTCTCAATACCCCACCTAAGAACGGCAAAAACTTGACCCCAAATAACTCCTAAAACAAAACAAATTTCAGTTTTAGATATTCTTGATAGCATATGCTTGAAGTAATTGATGATCTTTTATTTTATCAATCGGTAGTGATGGGAATCGAGAAACGGTTCTTGTTGAGAACCGGTTCCAAATGGTTCAATCCGTCGATATTGTTTACATTTTATCTTAACGATTCCCTTAATGATTCCTTTCTTCCAATCGTCAGCTGCTGCTGCCCCGCCTCAGCAACGGCATGGACGGTACGTATGTCCTTTGTTGACATAAGCACAATGCATGCCATACTTGGACTAACTGAGTTAGAAGCGCGTTGAAAACAGTTGACCTGACCCCAAAACCCTCGAAATTTTGTGCGCGACTCCACCTCCCACTTAGTAATGCCCTCTTTTTGGGGATCCAGAATATGGTCACCCTAATTTGACTTAATACTGACTGAAGTAAACGCTGTACAAATAGTTTGTCGTTTGATTATTTTTAGACTTCTGTTATCAGAGACTCAATAAAATTTTGAGTTAACGGTGAAAACCTACAGTCTACTTTTTTATTAAATCAAAGAAAGGCATCGATAAGGGAATCGTTAAAGAATTGAATCGATAAGCAGAATCGATACTGGCATTGATATCGATAAAATCTTAAAAATTCCCATCCCTATAAATCGGCAGGTGTGTCCTTCCCTAAAACAGTTTGCACACACAGCAATAATATAAATTATTGGAAATTATTATAAATTATATCTTTTATTTTACAGCAGCAAAGAAAAAACTGATAGTAGGGAAAAAACATCATGTGACCACAGCAAACAACAACAGTGCAGTGTTGGCTGAGAGAGCAAACAAATGTTGTCTAATATCACAGTATGTCCAAATTAGCGCATATTCCTCTTAAATTTAAAAATCATCTTGTCTTTGTTGATATTGAACGTGCCTTTAATGTACCGGTTGAAAGATGAAGATAGAGTAGAGAGGTGTGGTTGTTGTTGATGTTGTTGTTGTTTTGCTAACAAGTAATGGTAATGAGGAAATGAGGAAAGGTTTTGATAGCGAAAGGATCTTGCTTTTTGTCCTTTTTGGGCCACCGTTTACTTAAAAGAAAGATGAGCAACTTGGAATGACTGTATAGCACTAAGTGCAACACCTTGAGTATAATTGTAACTCTACTATCTTATGGTTTCAAGTAGAGCTTGTCTGTCAAACTTGCTGATACTTACTGTTGAAGTAAAAAACAGATAAATTAAGTTTGAGGAAAGGCAGTGTCTAAGATTTAGGGGTATTTAAAAGTAAAGGTCTCGCCTCCAGAGCTCAAACACATTTAAGAGATCTGAAAAAACAAAAAAAATCACATAATGTATGACTATCAGCTCATTTATCATTACCAGACCTTGGTTGGCCTCACCGATCTGTTATCATTTGTGCTATTGCAGAAAAGTCAAACAACCGGTTCTCACAGATAAATCTCTGGAAACATCTTGGAGGCTTCAAGAGTTTTAGAAAACATGTCTGCCTCACTGTGGCTGAGGTCAAGCTGATAAAGTAGCTGGGCTGTTTGAGGAGCCTTTCAGACTGAGAAGGACAAAGCAGCTAAAATTACCCTCTAATTTGGTGACAGCCTGGACTATGAAAAGGGCTGATAAGTGATGCAGGCTGTCTGCTGACGGGCCAGCTTTGGTGCAGCCTCCTCCTAATCGACGGAGCCCTCCCCAGTTACGTAAGGAGCTCATCCCCGACCCAGCCACCATATTAACACAGTGCTGCAGCTCTTGCACAGTCCTGACATTGAGCGTGTGTGTGTATTTGTGAATGTGTATATGCATGTATGTGTGTGTGTGCGTGCGTGTCTGTGTCCATACATAGCTCTAGCTCTTCTCCCTGCAGAGGAATTATAACACTAATGAAATCATGGCAGGCATTTGACCTCGTCATCACAAGCAAGAGGAGGATGAGGGAAGCTGACCACAGGGATGTCAGAGGAGTCTGTCTCAGCAGCAAATTCCTCATACCATTAAACACACACACACAGTTTAAAGTCACACACACACACTCACACATCTAGAACATTCTCACCCTCGGACGACTCCCCATCATGTACCCGGCACCACCCTGAACATTCCAGCGGACGCACAAACAAACAGATAACAAACAGGAGTATTTCTAAATGTGTCAGCTATCTGTCATTCTGGATTTATCTCTGACTGACTAAACACGCACACACACCTGAAGAGAGAGAGAAAAATTCCTTTCCTCTCACACACTCTCCCACTATTTCCTTTGCCTTTTTCACACACACACACGCTCTGTTATGTTTCAGGTCCCATGATCATGCCGGATTGATCCCACCTGTGTAGATCTAGAGTAGGAAGGGCACCATGTTCTGCATGAGTCATAGAAACCCTGCATCAGTCCGTCTCTCCTCCTGTCTCCCTCTTTCCTCTCAATGGAAACCTGTCTCTCTCTTTCTGTCCACCTATCTTTCGTTCTATCTGAGCATTCTGTCGGTCTGCACTGAACAGAAGGTCCGGTCTTTGTGCCCCTATACCACATACCGACAGTATGTCAGGTATGCCAGCTATGTTGAGATGTGTATCCACATTCATGCTTCGGCTGGTAAAACGCATCGCCTCATCTCTCCTCAGACCTGTGTGAGATATTATGCTGTATTTTGATTACATAACACGTTATGACCTTTGCGTGATCTGAGGACAAATCCCCAGATTTACTGTATGTTCACCGGCTGCAGCTCCTCTCAGGACAGTGATTTAGAGAAATGATATGAAAGATTCAAAAACAGGAGGATTAGCATGTGGCGCATATTGTACAATTTGACATGCTGTATGCTGATGACAGATACAACTCTGTGTCATGCTTTGTTTGTTACAGCCTGAATGTATCAAACTTTGAATACAAGGCTTGTAAATGCGTTTGATTCTTCTTTTTTCTGTTTATTCCAACGGGAAAACGTTCATTTTCCCTCTTCATGCGTGTTGACAGCAGACAAACAGATTAAAATTCAAACATCTACATATTTTTTAGCATGGCTCAGATCTATAATAATATGATGATGTTAGGCTAATTGTAATGTTTATGGTTAATTCATCAAGCTGTGGTTACATGAATAGGCCACTGTTTCATGTTTGTGTTCGAGCATGGGCAGAAAGTGCTCAGTGAGTATGCGGGTATGTGTTGTTTTTAATAATTCAGCCTGCTGTCATTCATGGCACACATCGGCCATTTTGCCTTGCAATTCATTACAGCCAAGTGCTCTTTGTTCTCGTCTGTGTAGTTCTCACAGCAACATGGCAGAGCTGCTCTCATGCAGGCAGAGGAATAAAAGCATAAACCATCATCGCTCCGCCTGACACAGAGCCCGTGGAAGATTTATGAGGGAAAGGTCCGGCAAATTCCCAGCTCTTCAACAAAAACACGGGTTTGATCAGTGAGGAGAATTGATTTTTCCCTTTTAAGGGGGTCGGCTGAGCTGATGCTTTTAAGGTGGAGAGCATCATTGATGTCATTTGAGTTCACATTCAAAAGCGGGCATCGTCTGTGGGATACAGGGTGAGGTGGCCAAAATATTTGGACCGTGTGAGATGGAGCAGCTTTAGCATGAGGGAGGGGTGAGGAGCAGTTATGCAATCGCAGCATGGTGTACCCAGCACTCTCACTGCAGCGCCAATGTATGGCCAATATGGAGATGCCTTAGTGCTGCTGACAGCTACAGAACAGGCAGTTCTTGCCCTGTCCCTATAACCCCCACCCATCCTCCTCTTCCTCCTGCCCCGCACCGTCTGTCTGTGCAGAGGCAGGTGAAATGTCATAAATGCTGAAGACATGACAACCCCGAGATACCATCTTCCTGCCATCATGGTCTATTCACAGATTCTTACCACTATTTGTGAGTGACACAGATAAGCAGATGTGCAGGTGTGCCATATGTGTGTGTGTATGTGTGTCCCCATTCATGTGTTTGCAAAATGGACGGCCATGATGCAACAGCCATGAAAACCCCTGCTCAACATAACAAAGCGATAGATTACCTCTGTCTCTTTTATGCCGACATAATGACAGGGATTAAAATCGGATGTTTAAAGAGCCACAGAAAATATAAACACACAAATGAATCATCTCTGTGAAATGGTTGCATAGTCTTTTCTCATCCTCACCTGTCTGCCTGCGCACTCGTCTTGTTCCAGTCCTTTCTCTCCCCCCTCGTTCCCGTTCCAGTTGTTGCTGTCAATGTCGTTGATGCCGCTCTGTGAAGTTAAACTGAGCCGCTCAGTTTCTTTGTTCCAGGGATGTGTCACGATGGGGAGGATGCTCTCTCCTTTCCATTGGTCTCTTAGCAAGACGAGCGACATGAAGCAGCAACGGGAGGGAAACGCTGAGGAGATGTAAGATGGAGGAAGCTGTTGTAAGGTGGATGCGTCATGTCTCGGGCTGTTTCCTTTAAGCGTAGCATCTCCTGTTCCTCTCCCTTCTCTCTCCTTACTGGTACCTCCGTCCTTCACTCTCCCAGATGTGTTCCGTCTCTCTCAAGCTGTGGGTGAGCGTCTCTCTCCGGTCTCTCTCTCTCCATCACTCTTCCCAGACCTCACGGTGTATTCAGCTTATTGAATGCAGTGCTCTGAGCTTCAACACTGTGTGTCTCTGTGTGTCTTCCTTCCTTTTGCCTGGTCTGGTCTTCAGGTAAAGCCTCTTGTCTCCTTTTTGCCCTCCTCTCTGCTGTTATCTCTCCTCCTGTCTCAGCTGCTGATCATCACTCCTCTTTCTCCTTCTCCGTCTGTTCCAGTCAGTGCGCCTCACAATCACACATGCGCAGTGTTTTCACACATACATGCACACTCACACACTCACTCGCTCTCTGTCTCTGTGCCTCTGGCTCCCTCCTTATGCATGTAGCTTGTTTTGTCTGCCCACCCCCTCCTCTCTCTCTCTCTCTTTCTCTCTTTCCCACTCTCTCTTTTCTCACACACACTCCCTCTCTTTATCTCTCGCGCTGCTCTCTCTCGCTGCAGCATACACTGCAGTGCCTCTGCAGGCAGGATCACGTTTTCTAGTTGCCAGAGAAAATGTTTCAGCCAATGAGAGACGTTGACAATGTTAGCCACCCCACCCCCTTCCCACCAAACACACACACGCACGCACACACGCACACAAATTCACGTACACACACACACACACACACACACACACACACACACACACACACACACACACACACACACACATTCACGTACACACAAACATGCACATTAATATTCAAACATCAGCACACAGCCACACACACACGCACATTTTTATTCAAACATCAGCACGTCTGAGATAGAAAGGCTTTGCACTTGCCATAAATCACATTTTAGATGAAATATCGATACACACATGTACACTTCCACACATAAACACAGACATATGGTTAAGCACACCTACCAGGCACACAGGAAATACAGGAAGCTGGTCCACAGAGATCTAATCTAGGCAGTGCACCAGATCTGAGAAGGCAAAACAAAGCATAACATCACTCACAAATTATCTCCTTATTAGGCTGAAAGCTTCAGAAAAACAGATCCATCATGTCAACACTGATTACATCTTTGTAATTCATGTCAGAAAACAACTAATCCTGCAGGCACATCCTCATACAACAGAGCTTGTGTTATTTGTTTTCATTACTTCTTTCAATTTTGAGAAATGTTCAATAAGGGGACCAGATTGTTAAACGTGACACTGCTGTGATTCTGTAAACTCAAACAGAAACTTAAGGCAGCATCCTGAGCTCCTACCCCTGATTTGCACATGCAACAACACTGCATAATGTGGATTTTTAGAAAGTTTTGTATCTGCTAAAGCCCTTTTATCATGACCAATAACTAATCCTCAGATATGAATTTCCCATCAGTGTAAGAGGGCTGAGCTTACATAATGGGGATGTTAAAAGTGTAATGAAATGAGCCGGAGTACAGCAATCAGCTACAGAATAAATTATTATAAAAACAGAAATAATCCCTATTTTTGTGATTTTTATAATTGTTGTTGTTGTCTCTGTATAAACTTAGTTTAATACAGAACTTCTCCAGAGTTGGATACTTAAGAAATATCTTAACTATGTCCTAAATACAACATGATGCAAGTGGTTCCTCAAACGGCTTATTTGGAAAAGCACTCACACAGCATTAGCTACAGCCTACCTGTTTTAGGTTTAAATTCACGTCTTGAGAGAACAACACATGACATATTCATGTAATTAATATGTATATCAATGCATTGAAATGTTCAACAGCTATCAACCATAGACTATATGTATTATGGACAACTTGGTTCCTCCTTCCGCCAGTTGCCATGGATTTGAAGCCGAAAAGCTCTCGGTAATTCCACGATTTTTCTCCACTTCCTGAAACCACCACTTGTGCAGTAAACGTTGTAGTCATACAGCGGCAGAGTCGCCGAGAGTTGCTGTGATGACACTCGGCTCAAACAGCGTATCCCTCGGGTGAGCTACGCAATCTTTGTGCGCCCATAGGCTATATCAAGTGTCAATCATAGAAAACATGAACCCCCTAATAACTTTTTAAAATAAAGCTGTACAGAAAAAAGAGGACTTGAGCACAATCCAGTCTTACAGTAACTACATGTCAACATCGCAACCAGGGGGGAGAAAAAATAATATTCTGTGTAATTAATTTCTAAAGTTTGTCCACAGCCCCATAAGGATGGCTGGTAGGGCGCGATTTATAACCTATACCGCTGCCCGTCACCAGAGGGTGCTGTTCTCACAGTGGCCTCACCCAGCCAGGAGGCAGACGGCGTCCATTCTACATACAGTCTATGCTAACAACACATTTATACAATGTGTTGTAGTGATGTTGTTTAACAATGTCCTTTAACCCCCCATATTTTGCACTGATAATACACAAAATAAACATTTATTGATTTAAGAACTATAACTCACTTTTACTAGAGTACAGGTGTCAAAAAAGAACAACTAGCTACTGCTCACTAGCAAAATAAAACTGTTTAATATTGTTTAGTGTCTGCTAAGATTAAAGTTTGGCCACTCATTACACTTTAGAAGATAGCACATTTTAAAAATTTTATAAGCTTGCTATATTATTTTGTTTCAGATAATATCAGCTTCTTCTCAGTAAAGTCGGTAGTCAAACAAATATAGCTTTCATACTTACCCTTAAGTCCAGTATTCGCTTGCTGTGGTGAATCCACAGACTGAAACACCTGCTAGCAGCTAGCATGATCTAGCTGTTGCTGCTTGAAAGCTAAAAATACCTTTAACTATATGAAACAGTTGACTTCTTGTCACACCACAATATCCTGTTTTCACTTGAACTCTTTGCGAGTCACAGAGAGAGCATGTTTCAGCATCTCTGCATACCTGTGTTAGTTAGCCAAACTAAGCTAACTAACAAGCTAACGAATAAGCTGAATTGCATACTTATGGCCTTCTTTGCTGTTGACTAATGTTTTAAAACTTTAAACTTGACATGACATTTCATTTATAGGCTTACAGTGAACAGGGACTTATTAGTTTCTCAGCCTGAGAGAATTCATTGGCAAATCCCTGACATAAGGCTGTACAGGAAGTCACTCAGTAGTAAAAGGTTTTTTCACTTAAATGAATCAGCAAAAATGCATAGCTGATGTTCATCAGTGAGTTCACAGCAGAGATCACAACAGTCAGCAACTGTTTCTATAATGCTGTAGGTCTATACTCTATTTAGGAATTTGCCCTTGTGGGACTAATAAAGGAGTATCCTATTTTAAGCATCTGGGGTACATGGCCAGAAGGAGCTTTTCATTAAAAGGTCAGGTTTTCCAAGCTTTAGAAATATTGGAAGTGCAACAGAGATAAGTGTGTTTATTGAGCATCTAAAACTATACAACCTTTGTTATGATCTTTTGTAAATGTACCAAAATTCATGACAAAAATATATGTAGGAGGTTCACAGTCATGAACTCTCTGGGCTGTTAACCTGGGTTTATTATGAGTCTTAGTCAAGGCCTCAGGTGTTATTTCCAGCTATAAGAGTTTTCTTGCAAAGAAAGGTGAAGTGCAGTTCAGATGGAGACATGGAGTTGTTATTACAGATTAAAGATTTGTGCTGGCACTGTCAAGGCTAGACCTGTCACATACGATAGAAGGCTCAACCTGCTGTGAAGAATACTGTATTTATGTTTCAGCAGTGCTTATTAGTTTTTTTTTCTTGTTAAGTAAGTGAGCTGTCAGAGTGAAATAGTCTTATTATGTCATTAAAGAAATACTTGTGATGACATTCCCTTGGTATTTAGCTCGGTATATTCAAGTGGAACATAAAAGGTAACAGACACACTTCTTTAAAGGCCCCAAGCAAGATTCAACTATGTTACATAATGACTGCATTAATTTTAACATACCTTTGACAACAAGTATTCCTCCTGAATATACTGTACACATGAACTCTTTCTTCCCCTCAGTCAAGCGGCTGTTCAGCGAAAAAGGGAGCAAAAAAATCTGAATATTTGGGAGCATTTTTTATTTTTCTTTTTTAACTTTTGACCTTTTGAGTCAAATACTTTTCTGAGAGTGTAAATACTTTGTTCCTCTTAGTGTACTTCAGTATACCCAATCACAACCATATGAAAGACTGCTGACTTGACTGTTGTCCAGGGGACAGTCATCAGTACCCTTTACAAGTAGGGTATGAGCCACACGAGGTCATTGCTGAAAATGATATTTGCAGAGTGCTGTCTTGAATCAGAGTGGTGGAAAATGAACTGGAAGGGAAAAGTGTGGTAGGGAAAGGTAAACATCCAATAGGGATGACTGCAGCCATCAGTGGGTTGTCAAGACAAGCTGATTCAGGAACTTGGAAGAGTTTCATTGCGAGTGGATAAGTAGACTGGGGCTGGTATTGGAGCACTAGGTTCTAGCACACAGATGTCTTCAGGAAAGAAGCTACAGCTGTCAAATCCTGACATTGTAAGATACATTTTACCTGGTCTAAAGAGAAAAAGAACTCATCTGCTCTGTGCTGCATAGTCCTCTTTTTAGATGAAAGTAGATTTTGCATTTTATTTGAAAACTATGATCACAGAGTCTGGAGGAAGATCAGAAAACCAAGTTGTTTGAAATCCAAAGTATAGTTTCTACAGTCTGTAATGATTTGGGTTGTCATGTCCTCACCTGATGTCAGTCCTCTATTTTTATCAAGTCCAAATTCAGCGTAGGTGTCAACCAGGAGATATGAGAGCACTTCACGCTTCTGTCTGCCAACAAGTTTTATCCATAATACAAACGTATATCTTTTAAACAAACAAAAAAAGAACAAAAGGGAAGAAAAAAAAAACCTTGAATAGTATCTTAACATTTTAAGTTGGACCTGTAAATAACTACTCAGCTACATACACTGTGGTTTAGCTGTGGTTACAATACTCCTATACACACAGTGAGAACCCTGTTTAATAAGCTGGCATGTGATCAGTTTTACAGAAGGATTTTAAAATGATTGACTGACACTATTCATATTAAATGTATTAATTCCTTCATAAAGTATCCTCAACAACTTCACTCTTAAAGCCCAGCAGCAAAAAACATTGATCTGATTACAGCACACTGTGCAAACATAGTCGCTGTGTTGCATTGTTGTAATGTGGCACTTTTGCCACAAGGGGGCTGCTCTGCTTTTCATCAATTCTGTGCACCAGGTCATCAGGCTTATACTGTTAAGTACATCTTAGTAAATACAATATAAGCCTGTGTGATTGTATAATTTAAGTGTTTGTATCTAGAATTTATCCATGACTACAATACAGAAATTATGTGCTAACAGGAGGTAATATTAGATAATGCTCAAGGACAGATTCAGAAAATCATGCAAGGAGAGTCTTGTAAAATAGTCATACATGCACAGAGTTTGTGAATTCATTAGCTTAATGTGGTTCTGTGGTGGCTGATACAACCTTCACGTTTATTAGACTGATCTCATGTGGATATGAAATGATTGTTTTGTCCACCTTAGATTGTTACAGGACACAGCCAGAGGCAGGACAACAAATAAGGTTAAAATATCAGTTCTCTTGACATAAGGCGGTTAGGGTCAGAGTTAGGGTTGTGAGAGATGTTAGTTAGTCAGTTAGTCAGTCAGTCAGTCAGTTAGTTAGTTAGTTTGTTAGTTCATTGTCAGAATCTTCTGCTGTGGAGCGGGACAGATCAACCTTTTTCTCAGTCTGAGTCAGATAACCAGATGTCTTGAGAATAATGTATTTTTTGCGGAAGAAAAGCTAAACTGACTGACAACTGTTATGCTAATTTGTCACAATTACATAAGCGGCTTTAAAACATGTCTCTCTCTTCATCTCATCACAGTGAAAAAAAGTACCGCACACACACATGGTGTTTGGTTCTCTTCTGCTTGCTGGGTGTGAAAGTCTGAATGTTGACCTTTGTCTATAGTGTGGTACATTCAGGCACCACACACGCCAGCAGAATCAATGCCAAACAAACGACTAAGGCAGATATAAAGTAGCATGCTGGCAGTGGGGAATTATAAAAAGGATAAAATTGCAGAGAACAAATCATCCAAGTCCAAGGCAGGAGCCATAAATGATACAACAGCAAAGCACATATTCAAGGCCTGCATTAGGTCTGGGTGCACATTAACCACAGTCTGAGATAAGGGCCTGATAATGCATGTGTAATAAAGAGAATGGCTTTTGGTAAAATGACAAACAATCTCATGAGTCATATTTGCCACTTAGAATTTATTAACCAGGAACAAAACAAAATGTAATTAAGCCACAGGAGAGCAGAGTATCAGAAAACAGCATTTGTGCAGTAAAATAAGGAGAGAACCAGCATTGTATTTTCTGCAGGAATAAAAAAAGAGTCAGACAGTGCTCTGTGACATTCACAGCCATTCGTCCCTGAGATGTTTTTATTCATTAACACCTAAAACAACATACAGTAAGGTGCAGAGATTTAAGGAATGACAGCTCCCATGGACTTTGAGCACACATTATGAGACAAGCAGTGCTCAGGTAGAATGAGGTAGCAAGTATGGTAATTATGGTAAACTTTAAAATCTTTTATCTTCTCCTCTGACACTCGTATGAGTTATGTTTCTCAATTATCTCTAAGGGTTGTCTCGTGTTCAGTGATTAATCAGCGAGTCTCATGAAATTAATTAGCTGGTCTAATAAAATTAATTGGCTGGTCTCATGAAAGCAGTCACGCTTGTCGTCTTTCTGTCACATAAGCAACAGTAAAGACAAGAAATGAAGTTCGCAGGTAACGATGGAAGACCAACAGCTTTACGCTGGTATGGGTAATGTGTGGCACAAAGATGAAGGAATAAACAGGTTCAAATTATGCTATCTGATAATAAATTACAATAAGACTTCAGGTTTTTCAGTACAGCAACCAATATCAATCACTCCCCAAAATTGTCAACAACACCTCGGACATAGAGAGTTACATTAGATTTAGGACAGGTATGCACGTGTCTTACCTGTGCATAGTATATTTGTCTCCTGTAGGAGTTCAGAAGCTATGTGGTTATAATGATACAGTGCAACAACATTTTAAGATCAAATTTTACTCAATTGTTGTTGAAAGTTTGAGGGTATAATTTACAGTTATATAAAATCCTCTTACTTACATATAAGTTACAGTATCTGACAGTGATTTGGGTCAGTTAAGCAAAGAAGCCATGGCAGAAAACGGCCACACAAAGAAGGATAATGGCATTGGCGTTGACTATGTTTCTCCAAAGTGGCACCTCCGAGGTGTCTGTAAGCTTCTTTTGCAGCTCCGCTTGCTCCTCTTCGCTCAGCTTGGGGCCCTTTTTCTGGTCCAGGCCGCAGAAACACATCACTGCCTTTTTGAAGATGGAAGGCTCCTCTTCTGGTTCTGTGAGGAAAGAATCACAGGCAGTGAGGGAAATCTGTTTCTATAGAAGCATGTACACTCACCGGCCACTTTATTAGGTACACCATGCTAGTAACGGGTTGGACCCCCTTTTGCCTTCAGAACTGCCTCAATTCTTCGTGGCATAGATTCAACAAGGTGCTGGAAGCATTCCTCAGAGAGCTTGGTCCATATTGACATGATGGCATCACACAGTTGCCGCAGATTTGTCGGCTGCACATCCATGATGCGAATCTCCCGTTCCACCACATCCCAAAGATGCTCTATTGGATTGAGATCTGGTGACTGTGGAGGCCATTTGAGTACAGTGAACTCATTGTCATGTTCAAGAAACCAGTCTGAGATGATTCCAGCTTTATGACATGGCGCATTATCCTGCTGAAAGTAGCCATCAGAAGTCTGGTACATTGTGGTCATAAAGGGATGGACATGGTCAGCAACAATACTCAGGTAGGCTGTGGCGTTGCAACGATGCTCAATTGGTACCAAGGGGCCCAAAGAGGGCCAAGAAAATATTCCCCACACCATGACACCACCACCACCAGCCTGAACCGTTGATACAAGGCAGGATGGATCCATGCTTTCATGTTGTTGACGCCAAATTCTGACCCTACCATCCGAATGTCGCAGCAGAAATCGAGACTCATCAGACCAGGCAACGTTTTTCCAATCTTCTATTGTCCAATTTCGATGAGCTTGTGCAAATTGTAGCCTCAGTTTCCTGTTCTTAGCTGAAAGGAGTGGCACCCGGTGTGGTCTTCTGCTGCTGTAGCCCATCTGCCTCAAAGTTCGACGTACTGTGCGTTCAGAGATGCTCTTCTGCCTACCTTGGTTGTAACGGGTGGTTATTTGAGTCACTGTTGCCTTTCTATCAGCTCGAACCAGTCTGGCCATTCTCCTCTGACCTCTGGCATCAACAAGGCATTTCCGCCCACAGAACTGCCGCTCACTGGATATTTTTTCTTTTTCGGACCATTCTCTGTAAACCCTAGAGATGGTTGTGCTTGAAAATCCCAGTAGATCAGCAGTTTCTGAAATACTCAGACCAGCCCTTCTGGCACCAACAACCATGCCACGTTCAAAGTCACTCAAATCACCTTTCTTCCCCATACTGATGCTCGGTTTGAACTGCAGGAGATTGTCTTGACCATGTCTACATGCCTAAATGCACTAAGTTGCCGCCATGTGATTGGCTGATTAGAAATTAAGTGTTAACGAGCAGTTGGACAGGTGTACCTAATAAAGTGGCCGGTGAGTGTATACTCTACACTGAATGTGTGAACTGTGTGTCTTACCTTCTATTTCCATATCATCTGAACCTTGATTTTCAACCCAGTCATCTTTTTCAAGGTCCTCCCTCTCCTCCGTTACGTTCCTGAGACTCCAGCACAGCCGATACAACTAGATTAAAACATAAACATGTAAGAACATACAGTATTTTTGAAGTTTTCTCGAGTTAGTGGTCATTATTTCACGGACATGCTTGTCATCGATGGGTTTGGTCAGGAGAGAGATTCCCAGGATGATGATACAGGAGACAGTAAACAGGATGATGGAGAAGTAGAGGTAGTGGACTCCACATATGATGGTGGGACATTCACTGGGTTCTGAACAGCTGCCCGTGCCATAAATAAACTCAGCAATCATCCTGGACAGGCCGATACCAAGGCCAATCAGTAGTCCCCAAAAGGCTCCCTGAGGTCGGTAAACAGAAGAAAAATACAGTCAGTTTAAACCAAGTAAGAGTTCACAGTAAGCAGTGGACTCTAAATCTTAGTTAGCAGATCATTGCATCGCCATTATGCTAATTTTCAATATATGTAAACCTACTTTGATCTCCATTTTAGCAATGTGAGGAAACTTGAATCATCAACGATCAAAGCTGAGGCTACTGGGTATGCCATTCGTTCCACAATACATCTGATCATAATTGAGACATAACATTAAAACCCACAAAAGCCAGCCTCTTTATGGTAGTGGAAGAAGAGTCGGGTAATCTTTCTATCTGTGAACCATGAATGTCTCATTTTCAAAATGCTACATTCATAGATTTGAAGACGTCTGTATCTAGTCTTTTAATTATGGTCATAAAGTTTTTTTAGATGTTACTCTCCTTATCTGTAATAGCCGTTGGATAAGATTACATGAAAGAGTATTGAGCAGACAACTGTTGAGTGATTGAGATATGAAATAAAGATGGCGTCGTTAGCAGGAAAATAATTAACAAGAAAGCAGAAAGCACATGTTTATGAAGGAAGAACATCAGCCATTTGATGACATGTATCAGTCTTAATGTTTTGGCTTCGTAATGCGACAACCAAGAGGAAAAAGCAGCATCATCTTGGGCTCAATATTTAAATCCGATCCCATTAAACATGTGAATGTTATCTAACTACTTCATGACATGAAAAGCTGTAAACAAAGAGATGTTACTGAAGACCTTTGGCCCGTAGTTACTTAAGATATATGTAACAGCCAGGTAGCATTTGAGTCCACATAACAAAGCAGGGGTTAAGGTGAGCCAGGTAGCTTCGGGGTTATCTCTGGGTTTACAGCACTATGAAGGTGGTTCACATCTTGGTGAGGTAGTTCACTGTGCTGGATGCAGACTCAAAAGCTACTGATTTCATGTTGTTGATTATTTTAGCCCCAAGCTCAAAACATCTTGTACCGATACACTCTCCAAACCTTTTTATAAAGAAGATAATCTGAATTTACTAAGAAGAGAGGTGTGGAAATGAAACAACAGTTGAAGTAAAAACTCACGGATTCATTGACACGTTTGCAGAAGATGGCGAGCACGAACACAGCTGCGATGGGCGGTGTGAGGTAGCTGGTGATGGACTGAATGTAGTCAAAGAGCTGCCCACTCTGGGCGTTCTGCACCACAGGGATCCATGCTATGCTCACACCAATCAGTCCCAAGATAAACACTCTACACACAGGCGAACACACACATGTGGAGGCAGTTGAAGTCAGGCACATGCATGTCATCACCACCAGTGGCGTCAAAATGAATCTAAAAGGAGTCGTACCTGCCAGCGAGCATAAGCTCCCTCTCTTTGGCTCTGGGACGCATTTTGGTGTAGAGGTCCATGGTGAAGAGGGTGCTGGCGCTGTTAAAGATGGATGTGAGTGAACTCATCAGGGAGGCTAACATCACTGACAGCATCAGGCCTCTCAAACCTAAAAAGATTAGAAAAACGGACTGAAAACCCGGGTGGATAATTTGAACAAAAGGCTGTGATCTTAGCTGGTAAGACAAGGACACCCACCGTCTGGCATCAGATTCACCACCAGCCTGGGATAAGCAATGTTGGTGCAACCCACACTGGTCCCACAGTACCTTTCACATTCCTCTGGGACCACACATGCCACCACATCTAGAATAAAAGGGGAATTAAGCGGAGACCAGTTGAAGCATCATCTCAAGTGAGCATTTATAAAGCATTATTTGCAGATCAGAATGTTTGTTTGGATGAAATTCATGTGGGGAAACCAAAAAAAAAAAAAAAGTATTCAATCAACCAACCAATCAATATTTATTTATATAGTTCATATTAATGACAAAGGGAGTTAGTCTAGACCATACTCTTCATGATATTTACAGTAAGTGTAACGCTCACCCAAACAGCATTTCAATACGTCAAACTAAAAGTAACTATACTTGCAAAAACACTATAATAATTGCCTGTTTGAGTGCTTGTTCTGGTCATAATGGATCGTTTCTATTAGCAATGCCACAATCTTTTACAGATTCCATGAAAACCACCAGGCCACCAGTACGTCCCCAATCTGGCTGAGAAACCAACATATCTTAAACCATCTGTCCCAGGTGAGTAAAACCAGAAACACACTCACCAGTATAGAGGATCCTGCTAATCATCCCAGGGAAAACCATAAGGAACATCGGCAGAAGCTTCAGGTAGCCACATAAGATACAGCCTGCTTTAACGTGGGAGAGATTCTTAGCTGAGAGGCAGCGCTGAACAATCACCTAAAATACAAAAAGAACAAATTCGAAAAGGTCAGTGGTAGAAAAATGGATAAAAGTAAGCTACGGTTGGATTGGAACTTTTAATTTGGAGGTATAGTTTCTTTATCTGGTGTATCTTAACAACACAACACTGAAGCCAAAGACAATAACGACACATCCAGATAAGTCAACCTTTCTTTTCATTGAACAGGCATAAGGTCACATTAAGGTCTGAGTCTGAGCATGGTCGTCCTCAGATGCTCTTGAATACGCTTGAGTGACTAAGGTGAAAACAGACAAGATAAAGGAGCGTAAATGTGTTTGCAAACCAGAGGTTATCAATCAGCTGAGTTCTTACTATGTGTGAGTGGGTTAAATTGCTGGTCTGTACTACGCCAGCCACTGAACTAATGCTAATGAAGTATCCTCAAAATCCACTGACAGCAGTATTCCTGACAGTGCCTCCAAATTGCTTAACTGACCTGATCTGTGCACCAGTACCAAGTAGCTTGAATGGTGAGTCCGAATATGAGGCCAGGCCACGGCAGGTCACCAGTGATCGCGTCTCTGAAAAGATGGAAGGAGTCTGCCCGAGGCTCGTAGCAGTTTGCAGAGACGTTTCCTGTGAGGGAGGGGACGGCCTGCATATAGAGCCGCTGGAAGTTCTCATAGCCTTCCACCCTATCAAAAGCTTGAAATAAGACATACAAGTTACAGTTACTCTGGAAATTTCAGACCACAAAGTATGCTGCTGTGTTTAATAGATGACTTTCATTATGTCCCCTCAGAGATTATCTACATGCAGCTCGGCTATAGAAAGACCTGTTTTCGTGTCCTTTTACAGTTGCTTTGCTGGCCTGTGTAATTAATCTGCCCCAATAAGGACTATTTGCTGAAACATTAATTCTATTCAGATGACCAACAGCAGAGCCATAAACATGGTTACAACTCTCAGTGCTGTTACCCAGAACTCCCTATCAGCGCTCATAGATTGCCTCTAGTCCAGTCCAATCAAATTACGTCTTCATCAACGTTATTACACAGCTAATTAACAGGCTTGGGGCAAAGGTCTTTTTTAACACAAGCATCCTCACCATTATGTGCGTTACACCAGCACTTCAACACTTTGGCACTGTACCTTTCACGTTTGCCAAACCCTGGTTTGTCTCATATCGTTTAATGTGAGCCTTTGCAAAGTTTTACTTAACGCTGTTTGGTCCCTGCTTATTGTCTAGTTTTATGTATGAAAAACAAAAGTATTTCATGCTTGAGGTACATTTTTATGTGTACCACCAATAAGATGGACAACAGATGGACATTAGTCATTGGTTACAGTGTGCCACATTTACATACTCGTAATTCATATCTTATAATGAATAAGTAAACAAACAAATGCATAAATAAATACAGAAACAAATAAACCAACAAATATACAAACAACAGGATCTAGAGGTGATGGATAAAGCTAATAAATTAAAGGATAGAAAAGAGAAATACCATATTACCAAAGCCCATGAGGATGAATGATCCAACAACCATGATGACGGTCTGTAAGGTGTCCGTGTAGATCACTGCTGCCAAGCCACCTAAGGTATCGCATGTTATGTTATTATTCGTTATATATCATACATTTCCTCTCAAATGTACTATTTTTAAAACATATTTTATCTTCACTTTTGCAGATCACATTTAATGTTGTAATCTGTGTTTTCTGAGCTTATGTAAATGGTCTTCCACTTCTCAAGCAAAGCTAAAGTTCAGGTGTAAGCAACATTACAAAACAGCAACAGAAGGCCATTTCCTGCTTATCGCAGTTTATGGGTAATTAACCACAACAACATACGGCAGATAAACTAGCCATGTCTACATATGGTCTGGGGAAGACTTTACCCCCAGTCACGATGCCATTCATACTGTAAAAAAATAAGATAAGACTTCTGGTTTATGAGAGATGTGTGCTCTCAGTGGAAAAGGAAGTAAATCCACCATAAGTGGACAGACCTGTGACAGTGTACAACGCTGTAATCAATAGTAGCAGGATAACAGCCAGGTAGATATTCAGCCCAAGAGCCTGGTTGATAAAGATGGCACCAGAGAACATGTCTGCCTGAGTGGAGAGGGGATCAGAAAACACATCAGTCAGATAAATGAAGTGAAGTTCTAGCATGATGCTGAAATAATCTCCATTCATGAGGGTTTGAATGTGTCGTGACTTACTGAGATCTTGGTGAACACATACAGGAAGAGGGACAGCACAGAGAGGTACATGCGAATGCGCTGGCCTCCAAACCTCTTCTTCAAGTATTCAGGCATAGTCACCACCTACACATATCCACAAACATTAGATTTTTATTTATTTATTTTCATGGCTTTTATCCTCTAATCATGTCACTTTTAGAGGCCCGACTGCTACTTGTTCATTGCTCAGTAATGGAAAAGTTAAACCTGAAGGGCAACACGTACTTGATCTTTTGCCTATTAAATTACACAACAAAACCTCACAGGGTAATTTTCGACAATATTAGTTTAATACACAGTTTTATTGAGAGAGTTTTAACATACAGAGACTGAAATGTTTAATATTTTCAGTGTCGCAGCCTGTGTCTTTTCTTACCCCTGCTTTTATGTAGATTGGCACAAAGAGCCATCCCAGGATGACAACCACCACAAGAGCCTGAAACACACAAAACACATAGAAAAATAAAGCAAATGCCAATGAAACTATGACTTAATCATGCTGCTACTTTATCCACCATGCTGTCTTTTCCATCCATCCATGACCTATAGACTTATCAGTTCACCTTACAGAGATAAGTGACTGTATCTGTGACACAGGTCAAATGTAAAACTGTGTAAAAGCGATTGTGGTGAAATTAGTCCATCAACATAGATGACTTACATTCCATTCAAATCCACCAGTGGCGAGTCCTGCAGCTGCAGCAGTCCCTGCAATCCCTACAAAGTGGCCACTGCCAATGTTGCTGGCAAACAGTGAAGCTCCAATCTGTGGAGAGTAGTGTCAGATTCATTTATAGCATCAATGCATTGTTTTTCACAATTGTCACAGAGTGTATTATCGAACAAAAAATGTTTTTTGGGCGATGATGACAAAGTGATTTGGAGTAGAAATCTCTAATACCTGACGTTTCTAGATTGAAATTGAGATACCGTTTCATCTTTAAGAAAACTCTGACTCTCCTGAACTTTAGTGCACTTTGAAGGTGATAATGCAGAGTTGGGAAAAGGTTTTCATGTTCTGCACCCGTTCCATTTATTATATTTTATATTATGCTGCCTAATAACGCTTGGTCTGATCCCTGGACCGATTCTGAAAATTCTAGCAGATGTGCTGAGCTGTTGACTCCAGCTTTAAAACTAATTTAAAAAAAAAAAGATGTTCAAAAATGCATCAATACACTAATTAACTTAAACTAAACCTGATGTTGCACAATGTGCTGTCGGTGATCCAAAGCATTATTAATGATAACAAGCATTATTTATATTTAACGATTAAAAGTTTACAGCCAGCTTTTGTTTCTGCACCCAGTAAGTTTCTCATTATTAATCAATCCTGCTTGACTAGAAGAATAAGGCAATCTCATCATTTACTTTTCAGACTTTTTGACTTATTTTGAAGAGCAAGACACTCACCGGCCACCACACCATACTCCTCCCAGCCAGGAAGAAGCCACCGACTGTGGATCTGTTGGTCCTTACCATAGCCTGACACATCAGAAGAGAACATTTTAGAAAACCAGAAGATGGGTTTGCGCAAAACTCTCACAAACTCTTGAGTTAGTTAAGAAACTCTGTTTATTTTCTCGTGGTTACATTTTATTTTACATCATAAATTAATAAAAAGTTAAAAACCAAAACAAATTCGCTGCAAATAAAAGTTAAATTATTGTACTTCTCATAAAAGAATTAACATAGATAAAAATTTTCAGATTTAAAAGGTACTCTGATCTGCCATAAAGGAAGTGTGAGCCAGATTATTGAGTAACCAGCTATAATGGCACGATAACAGTCTCTCTTATTTGCTCTTAAATTCCTCTGTAAAGGCGCTCAAAGCTGCTGTAACAATTATTTATTTAATTTTCAGATATACAAACGGCGAGAAGTAGGCCATTTACAGGACAAGGGGATTTAACAATAATCAGTAAAAAGATTGAACAACTCACCCATATTCCAACACCTAAGACGACTATAAAGTAAACCACAATAACAGAGATATCAGCTGGATTGTTCAGAGCCACTTCGTCTGTGCCTTCTCTTGCACTGCTTTTCACTCTAGAGAATCCATAGTAGTCGTAAGCCATCTTGCCGAGAGGGTGACCAGAGAACACACTGCTGGAGTTGCTCCTCTTCGACTGAAGCACCTGCACTGACACTCATGAACCTTTAGCCCTCGACAAGATGTGCGAGTGCTTGTGTACGTGCACGTGTTTGCGTTTGAGGGAGGTAGAAAGAAAGTGTGGAAAGGATGGGGGGCTGGGAGGGGATGTCAAACACAGAAAGTGTGTCGATCTTCAAAATAACTGGATATTGTTTGACTGAAAGTGTACCTGGACATACAAGTAATCACTACTTTTACAAAACAGTGGTTGTGAAAATAATAGTGGAAAAAAAGTGTAATGTTTAAGCAAATTACCTTGTTAATAATCAACCCACAAGGAAATACCACAAGTAGGAAAACACACGTGCATTTAAAACTAAAACGTTAAGATAAACTTTTGAAGAACTGCTGCATCATTCATTCACTAACAGTCAAAACAAAGTGTAATATTTACCTCTGGTAAATTCTTTTTAATTAAATATGGTTGCTATTTTCTGACCAATAACAACTCTGATACATGATCCTCTTCTTCACTTCACTTCAACTTTATTATGTCCCAAAATGGGCAAATCGGGTTGCAGCAGGCACAGACATTTAAAACGCTGCCATACATCATAAAAGAAAATAAATAAAATAAAATACATTTACATTTACATAAAAAAAAAAACAGTTCAGGAGGTAAAAAGCATTAAAGATGATTCAGAAGGTAAAAAAAAAAGCATGTCAGTCATACCAGTATTTTTGCATGAGCGGAGTGCATAAAATGCGGAAACAAAGTGCAATGTGCGGTTTGCATACCAATAAAAGAACCTCTATATGAAGCTTGATCTATAATAATAATAATGATAATAATAATAATAATATCAGGAGCAGTTATCTCCTCCTGCAGAAATCACTTTGGGCTCTGATAGAACCTGGGATGAAGGAATTTTTATACCTGTTTTTGTGGCTGTAGGAACTCGCAGCCGATGGCCAGAAGGTACCAGATTGTATTCTGAGCAGAGAGGATGGTCACTATGAGACCGAATGGACACAGCTTTTTTAAGAACCTGCTTGTTAAAAACATGCTCCGTCAAAGAGCCGCAATGACTTGACAACTCTGGCAATGAGTAAAATTGATACGTGCAACTGTTGATCACCTATCCCTCTGATATTGTGAGTGACAAAGAGCACTTCTCACTCTTTTTGTTTTGATAAGACTTTAGTAATTCAGGAAGAGCTGCTTTTACGAATTGTAAATTCCTTTAATCTAATAAAATATTAATTAACAGCAAACGTTTACTGTCATGAGACGAGGAAGTTTCTTTTCTTTTACTGTAACTCTATCTCTTAACCTCACCTTCACCCCACCCACAGAGGAAACAGAGGAATGAGAGCATATTGGTGTTAATTATTAGACCAAGCGACTTTGTTTTGAGGTAGGCAATGATTCAAAAGTAAAAGATCACCAGCTGCTGAAGGTACAAATCCACGAATGCTAAAGCGTTTTTCATTCATGAGGAAAAGCAATACAATTTGTTGTGAACTAATAATGCAGTACTCTGAGTGGCCTTTAGGTGTCTCTGCAGGCCAGTCAAACCACTCAGAGCTCCAGGACTCTGAGCTGATAAACATGCCAGTTTTACTTGGGGTTTTTTTATGAGTCAGAATAGTTTGATGCCGGTTTTTATATACCAGTAAAATGTCAAATGAAAGACCTTCCTTTGATTTGGTACTTGGTATGTGTACACAGACTCAAACACACGCACACACACCGCCTTGTTGGTTGCATTGTGCCACTATTTTCACACTTTTTACTCACCAAGTTAAATGAGCTTCATCAATTTTTGGTCTTCATTTGCAACATCATACATGTGAAAATCATGTTGGCCCTCATCCACATCTCTGGCATTCAACTGGCCCTTCTAATGACAAGGAAAGTTAGAAAAATAAATAAATATATCACGAAAAGTGTTGCTACACACCATACTAAACAAAACGTTTGACAATAAAACAACAACGCCAAAATTTCATGACTTCAACCACATGTGCAACTCTGAGTAAACATCTGCCACACAGCTTCATTGTGACAGCGAGATCACAGGAGTCAATACCATGTGGGGGTGACCCCGTTTTTTTCTTTTTTTTTTTTTTTTTTTTTTTTTTACTCAGAGAAAAACATGTAAGAGTTAGGTTATCTTTGACAAGAATTACTGATAGGAAGTTGATAAATTCATTTGATCATTTTGGTAGTACAAGAAAGAAACCATCAGTTGCAGGTCCAGCATCCCAAACTCAAACAGCAGGAGATTGTTGAGGTACAGAAATGGACTAGGTTAGTTCTTCAACCTTTGAGTTAAAACCATAGACTGTATATAGAATGGACAGAGTCTGCCTCCTCGCTGGGTGAAGCCACTCCAAGAACAGCACACCCTGGTGATGGGCTGCAGTATAGGTCATAAATCCCGCCTCCGCCAGCAAAGCTTATGGAGCTGTGGACAAACTTTAGAAATTTATTACACAGAACATAATTTTTTCTCCCCCCTGCTTGTGATGTTAACATGTAGTTACAGTAAGACTAGTTTGTGTTCAAGTCCTCTTTTTTCTGTGCAGCTCCGTTTTTAAAAGTTATTAGGGGGTTCATGTTTGCTATGATTGACACCTGATACAGCCTATGGGCGTTCAGGGATTGCGTAGCTCTCCTGGGGGGATACGCTGTTTGAGCGGAGCGTCATCGCAGCGACTCCCGGCGACCGCGCGCCCGAATGAGCGCATCGCTACTGCACAGTGCTGGTTTCAGGAAATAAAGAAAAATCCCGGAAATACCGAGAGCTTTTTGGCTTCGAATCCGGCAGGCGGAACCAAGTTGTCCATAGTATATACAGTCTATGGTTAAAACTGATGTGTTAGAAAGTGTAATCATCCCTGTGTTTCTCTAGAAAAGACTCCCAAGTGGACCTTCGTCTGATTGTGCCCTATTAGTTGGGGCTTGCATGAGAGAAATGGTCAGTATATCACTGTAAAACACAAATGTGCGCTCAGAGGTAATTTTGGTTGTGTTACATTAAAGAAATACTGGAAAGATGTCTGCTGTAACAAACAGCATGGTTGTAGGTACAAAGGCCTTACGGTAAGTGTGGTTTTAAAATGTGAAAGACCCTAATTATGACCCTGTGTAATTAGGAGATGGCCTGAAGCAATGCCCGAAACAAATCTAATTTTCACTCGGGAAGCAAAGATTGGTTTACTGAGGACTCATGTATTGAATTGCTCAAGATGTTGACACTATATAAGCACTAGACTAGAGTGTACTTTCTTTACTCTTGGTGAAGATAGCAGTGGTTTTGCTGTTCCAGACACATAATCTCTCCATCTTTCATTGTGTATGCTTTGAGCTCCTGGACCGCCTTGACCCATATGCTGAGTTGCTGCTTGAGGCTTTATCATTTTATCGCTGACATCCATGTCCAGGGTTACAGTGCTCTGTAACAGCTGAAGGAAGAAAAGAGAGGATGAAGCTGCTTCAAATTGACTTGTTTTTGTGAATGCATTAGCTTTAACCCTTTAATGCCTAAAACCACAAATTATGGCCAGAAAATTCAATTTTTTTGGAGCTGAAATGTTTATTTCACTTAGTGATGAAAACCAGAAAAATCAAAATGTCCTTAAAATTTAACAAATATATTTGATACATTAGATGTTTTTGTAAACTGATAACCCACAAGAGGACATTTTTATCATTTATCGGACTGTATTCAGGTGTTTTTTTAGTAATTTGTTGATTATATTAATTTGATAGAAGTATCATAAAAGTATGTATCAAATATGATACAAAAGGCAATAAAGGGTGTCTGTAAAATTAAATGAGGGGAAAAATATGATCCAAAACATGAACATATTTCATGTTGTGTTCATGTTTTATTCCAGAATGGTGGAAAAAAGTCTCACAATCTCCACAGCCTTTTACCAAAACACAGCAGCACTGTGTATTGCTGAGAATGTGTAAGAAGGTGAGATAAGGGGGTGTTATCGGACTGGCACTGTTACAAATGGCTGCTTGAAATCTCGAAACGGGGACAATCAATATTCACTTGAATGAGAATCAATCACTGGAATGAGGCCAAAGCTCTGTGGGGATTAATGCTCGGTCACACTTGCAGATTTCAGTCCTGATTTGAAGTATCCTGAGGATTTTTTTGGCCTTCCTCTGGCCTCAGACAGGTCAAGGTTTTGGGGAGATGTTGACTATTATGTTCATCCAAAGTCTAAGTGTAATCCCCAGAAGCACTAGCTGTTAGAAAGACAAACACACACCCTGGGGCGGTGAGACCACAAACAAATACAGGTGATTAGAGCAGAAATCGATCTTCAGCAGGAGTCCATTCCCCAAAGAAGTCTGCAGGGTGTGGGGGAAATAATGTGCTCATCTTTGGCAAACAGAGTGTTTGCATCCTCTGGGCTTAGTAGGAACTGATTTCCCTGATAATAACTGGTTTAAAAATGGACGTACTAGACATTTTGGGGTAGTTGAGGTATTTTCGCTCTCTGGCTCACCATAAACATTAAGCTAGTTGTGACTTGTGTTAGGTTTTCTTCGCCTCTTTACTCTTAAAAAAGTAAGTTGTTCATGAGCTCCATTAGCACTGCATAAATTCAAGACTTTGATGCAAAATTTGTTCAGTCAGGTCCAGTTATACTGTCTGTGAGTATAGCAGTGTGTTGTAGCTGCCTGAGCCAGCCAACCCTTAAACTCCTCTCTGTTTCGACATACCAGGCTGATACAGGAACTTCTGGCAGAGGGGCCAGGAGGAGAAGAATGAACAGGAAGAGGGAAACATACCCGCAGGCCAAAGCCACCACCCCCCTTCCACTCACCAGTGGTAAGTGTTTCACATGCTTTATTTGTGTTTTCTCTCGACTGAACTGTGAAAAATTTAAAAAGCTCCAAATTTACATAATTTTTTAAAACATCCAAGTTTCCAAGCTTGATAATCTTGACTTTCAAAGCCAACTACCACCCCCACATGACCTCGTCAGCCAGAGCGGTTTTCAGAATAC